ATGAAGAATCAATAAGCAATCAAAAAGAGTTTAGTCAGAAATAATAGGACAGTGCTTCTACCTCTAATGTCTCAATTACACAAGACCTGCAGTATTTGCAGGGGCTAAACTTAACAGCTAAATGGCTCATATTGAGGGTTAAATCATTTTTTCTATTTTTTCATAGAATCCCTATATTCATTGAATAACTTAATGTATAAACATGTATAAACATGAAAGGTAAAAATAAAATTATTCTGAAATATTTAAGAATGTGCCCCATTTGGTAAAGACGTAACGACCGTGACAAGACCAACAAATTGTAGGCGTATATGCCGGTTTTCCCTGTAAAGGCAGACATCTGTGTATTATCAATTTGTAAAATCTGTCGGTTATGCGGTCCAAAAATTGAGACTATGCTACAGTCGAAATGTCTTGGGGACGAAAGACTCGAGATCTCCCAAATAACTTCGAAATTATTAACGAAAGTCCTCGGGAACAAATTGACATAAATAAATAAACTTATTATTATTATTCATCAAATTCATAACATATTATATGATATGCTTGTCAAGTAGGCCATAAAGTAAACCGGAAGTTGTCGGATTCATCTAATTACTGTACAATACAGTATAGAGAGAACATCTCTCAATATTCACTTTGCTTTATAAACTACATAATTTATTCGATAAAAATTGTCTTTTTCAAAAATTTCTGGAATAGCATACAAAAAATGTGATGATAAGGTACGGATGAGTTAGTTGAATATTGCGAGCCGTCAATCGCTTATCTCCATTCATAGAATACTATGAACCAAAACACCGATAAACACTTACCCAACTTGCAGACGACAGGCTATTCTTATCAGTATGTTTTCGGTTGCGTATCTCACTGTATAAATCGTATGTAAATGTCTGTTATTTATCTTAAGACGTTTTTCTGTTTTTATTTTTGTTTGCGAAGAGTGAAACGTTTTCATAGTTTGTTTCCAGGCTAGAGGTATAGCTTTAAGGAGCAAGTTAAATTCAACGACGCAGTTGCGTTTATCTACTAGCTTATTTAAGATAACATTTTGATCTATTTCACCCTGATCATTAAGTAAATCATTTAAAAAAATATATATTCGATTTAATCCATGCTTTAAAAAACAAACATTGGTTTTTAATTTTAATGAATCTATTGCCCCAGATTATTTGTTTTCTTATTTGTTCAAATGTCAAATTTTGATTTTCCTCATGTAAATCGCGAGTTTTTATCCATATTTTAATAAGTTTTTGATAAAATTCAGTCACATTACTACAATTGAGACTTTTAATAGTGTCTGTATTACAATAAAATATTGAAAAATTGTCACCAAAATCTTTTAATAGGCGTTTCGGAATTAATTTCCAGTTTGCTTCTGATTCATCAGTTAAAGCTTTTACCCATTTACGTTTTAAAGAAGTTATATATGAGTCTAAGTCTAGCCTTGTAATTTATTGCCTATTAAAGTTGCACGGTTTACTTTTTCTTGTTTATTGTCCCATAAAGAATGAAACAAATAAGTAAATTTAGGTATCAATAACGATTTTATAATTTGAAATTTTCCATACATCGTTAACTTACGTTTCAACCAGTTTTTTTATTAGACTTTGACATTCAGTTAGTTTTGACTGCCAAATGAGTTTAGAACACCCTTCGTATTGTATGCCAATATAGACCCCTAGTGCTTTAATTGGTTTATTCGGCCATGTTATATTTCCTACTTTATCAGTCCGTGATTTACTTCTTTCTATCCACATTGCTTCAGTTTTTTTGCTATTGAGTTGTAATCCCGAGTATTTGCCAAAGCGCTCTACCAGATTTATTGCATTCAGAATGTCTTGTTCGGATTTCAGAAAAAGAGTAGTGTCATCAGCAAGCTGTGCTATTTTAATTTGTTTATTATTATTTTCGATTTTTATTCCTTCTATACTGTTTGAGTTTCTTATTTCAATGGCCATTATTTCAGCACCTAATATAAATAAAAGAGCAGATAATGGGCATCCCTGTTTAATAACTCGATTTAAGTTAAATGTCTCTGATTTATGTCCATTTTATAAATAACAGTTTGCAATCTATTGGCATGAGCACGAGTTGCAATTTTTACATCAACAAATAATGATGAGATTGGTCGATAGTTTTTCTAATAATAATGGGTCCCCTTTTTTATAAACTAAAGATAGACAACTAATTTTTTTGTGAATGAGATAATAGTTTTTTTTATCAAAACATTCATTTAGACACTCTGTGAGATATGAACCTACACAATAGAAAAATTCTTGATAGAATTCTGCAGGAATGCCATCAATTCCTGGTGATTTATTTGGCTTAAGTCCATTTACAGCAGTTTTAATTTCGTTCAAATTTAAATAGCCTTCTCACTTACTCGCTTCATCATCGGATAATTTGTTTTCATACTGAATATTGTTAAGGTATGTTTTTATATGATTTGTTGGAATTTTACTAGAACTGTAAAGTGTTCTGTAATAATTTACTGTTCCTTTTAAAATTTTCGTTTCATCTGAAAGTACATTTCCATTTATTTTAAGTGAGTTAATCGTTTTCCGAGTTTGTCTCGAATTTTCCAGATTCAAAAAAAAAATTCCTGTTTTTTCTCCATTTTCAATAAAATTTATTCGAGATCTTATTTGTGCGCCTTTCGCCTTTGTTTCATATAGTTCTGGGATTTCTTTTTCTAATTTTTCAATTTGCTCGGATTCTAATATACTATTGTTTTGTAATATTTTAAGTTTGGATTCAAGTTCTATAATATAATATTTCTTAATTTTGCTTGCCGTTTTGAATATGTAATCGAAGCATTTTTAATTTCTAATTTACATAATTCCCAAAAGTCTGTTTTGATACTTTGTTTCTGTAAGCATGCTCGCATTTTTTATTGTATCTTCGATCATTAATTTATAATCATTCTCTTTAAGGTAGGAATGTTCATCTTCCAATTACCATTTCCGCGTTTTGATGGTTTTTGCAATTTTTAAAAAAATATTGCTTGATGATCTGTGTATTTAATACAAGCGGGTCTTATATCGGATTTAACTACTTGTTTGTTTGTTTGTTTGTTTCATTATACGTCTTTTCCCAACAGTATTTCAGTCATATAGGCGGGTAGTTTCCTAACCATCGTTCCTGGAGAGTTACACCAATACTAGACTACCTTCCTCCGTGCTAAACTACCAAAGCATCTCCCGGGATCGAACCCACGCCAGAGAGGTAACTGGATTAGAAGTCACCAACTCTAACCCCTCGACCACGGAGGCGGTACTAACGGTACTGCATTTTCTTCAACTAGCCAGGAGTCTATTCTTCTTTTTTCTGTACCATTTTTCCTTCGCCAGGTGTTTTGTTTTCATTAAAAAGTTTCCAAACATCTATCAGATTATTAGATTTAATAAAAATGCAAAACCTTTCCCGGGACTAATTTTTATATTGTTGTTTACGGATGATTGTAATATGTCGTTCATGTCTCCGCCAACAATTATATATCCCTGAGCATTTTCATTTAATATTTTCGACAAACGCGGAAAAATGTTTCTTTTTGATAATTCATTATGAGCATAAATGTTAAGAATTGTGTAAACATTATTGTCTAGGGTTATATTTAGAAGTAAATAGCGCCCATGCGTATCTTAAAGAGTGTCAATGATATCAAAATGTATAGATTTATTAATAAAGATAGAGCATCCTCTACTGTTACTTGAGCCAAATGAGTGAAATTTTTGACATTCATTAAACTCTTTTGCAATTAAATTTTCAATGTCTACCGTAATATGCGTTTCTGACAATAGAAGAATCTGGCATTTTTGTGACAGAATATATTGTTTTAATCTTGCCCGTTTTTCAAACTGTCCAATTCCTTGACAGTAAAGTGATAAGAATTGAATATAATTACTCATATGGAACTAGTTCTTACAGAGATTATTATTGCTTGAAAAAAATAATTGCAAGTGCATTTAATAACTGTAAAAAAGAACATAACTTGAATGTAAAAACTACGAAAACGAAAAGTAAAGAAATATAAGAATTACATTTGAAGGGCTGATAATTCATGAAATCAAGATCGAATTGCCTATGACGATCAATACAAAACATAAGTCTTTAGCGTATTATTCTACAATGTTGTTGCCCTTGTCAGATTGAAAATAAACTTTTGTCTCTTTCTTTAGTTTTCTTAGGCCTATTCTTATCTAATGATGAATTAAAATTTTTGAGAAGCTTTGTTCCTAAAATATCAAATGGAACAATTTAATTATTATTATTATTATTATTATTAATATTATTTTTATTATTGAAACATTTAATGAAAGTCCTAATTTTGAAGCAGCAATGTATGTACATGTAGATAATACGAACATCACTAAAACAATTATACGTGACGTGAGTTGATTTGATTTGAAAACATTTAGGATTTAAGTTACATCAAAGAAATTGGAAATGTATCGTCACACATAACATCTTACATATTTGTCTTTAGGACTTTAAGTTTAAATGAATAAATGAATAAATAAATAAATAGATAAAAAAATGAATGAATGAACGAACGAACGAACGAATGAACGAACGAACGAACAAATGAATGAATGAAAAATAAATAAATAATTATATAAGTAAATAAATAAATAAATATATTATATACTTATAAATGCATGATAGAGAAATATTGATGAAATAAAATGCATATTTTCATTTACCGTATTTCACCTTAAACAATTTTTCACTGCAGTGAAACATATTTTCCGTATTTTCACTGGTGTCTTGCAGGACTACTTTCTTCTTTATTCTGCCAGAACATAAAATTTTAGGGAAATTCTTTCAAATTGTAATGTCAAAAAAGTAAAAATGTACAGTATTATAAACAGAAAATCAAGTTTTTTCTATAAATACAGGATTTATTTTCATCTTGAAAACTCGATGAAAATAAATCCTGTATTGATTGAAAATCCTCTTTGTATAAAATACTACATTTACAATATATTTTCTTACAGACAATCAAAGTGAAAGAATTAAGAAAAAGGAGAAGTTTTTGCAACGGAAGTGTACATTTCTTATTACCGGACGATACCGTTATTGATGAAATGGATACAGATACGTTGTATGATGTATTTTCAAGGTTCGTTTTGTTGTTTACCTCTAAACTTTAATAACACTTTCATAGCTGTAAATATCCACTGCTTTTACACGTAAATTAACGTATACACTTCTGTAACATATATTGTTATATGATCTAAATAAAGCTACAATCTCATTGGTCCAATAAGTAGTCAAAAGAACAATTTATAAATCACATTCACCGGGGACAATATAAATGTAATCCTGCATACCAGTTGTACAGTCTGTCCACACTTCATATTATTATCACTCACTATTTGATTACTAATAGTTATGTATGTATGTAATGTATTGTTACAAAGGTATCAGTACTTTTTTCACAGCAAAAGTCTGGAAAATAAAACCTCATAGACACAGTGTTTCTTTGAAAAATTTGTTTGGGGTAATAAAATAAATAACACATAGGTTTGTGAGTGACAACACAAATAGCGCCCCTTGTAAAAATACTTTTACCCTCGTTGATGCCCCTAGGGTAACAGTATTTTCCCTAGGATGATGTACTGTTGTTACCCACAAACCTATGTGCTATTTATAAAATATTGTCTCTCGTATGCTTTACCTGTAATTAAAATATTTCAGATATACAACAAGACAACAAATTAGATGTTGCAATATAAGCAGAGCTGGATCTCTTGATACATTTGGCAAGAACATCTGTTTAGACTATTTTCAAAAAGTTCGAGGTTCTTGCCTTGTCTACTCTTTTGGGTAAGAATATTTTGCTAGAAGTTAATTAGATAATCAATAGATGCTTTTGACATATGCTATAGCAATTATTGCCTCCCCTGGCCGCCATTTTAAAGGGTCGTTTCCAACACATCATATGCTTAAAGATCCTGTAACTAATTTTATATGGTTTTATATCATAAATATGATCCTCAAATGAAGATTTATTAATATTGTAAGTTCCAAAAAAGCATTATTTGTAAAAATATTACAAAATTTACATTTAAATGTTAATAAAGGGAGGTAATTAGAAATTGATTTTCCTTAATTTTTCAATAAGAAATGAATGCATATATTCAAATGATTACATATAATGTGGACAAATATTTGCAGTACATATTTAACATATCCTTCGGTGTTTGAAAATTGTTTTAGAAGCATACATATACATAATTATAAAAAATTTCACTTAAGTGTGGTAACAAACTTCATTACAAGACACAGGCTCTTTAATATAAGATGAATATAAGATGAAAATCTCTCAGAATGACATAATTTTCATGAAAACTGATAAAAATCTTTAATATATTGCTGCTATAGTTATATGTTCCTTCTTATGTACAAAAGAATTTGACAAATCACCTTAATCAGCTATTCATATTGTTTGTTTTCATACTGTCAATAATACTGAATGAAATGTCAATCTGACAAAAGTTCAGATATACTTAAGTTATTTCTTGCATGCCACCGTATTTATTTCGCATTCATTGTGAGTCGGATTTCCGGGGAAAGCTATTTTTAGCCATGCAACCAAACCGTCCTGTACAGATAGGCATTAGATCAAGTATCAAACATATCTGTTGATTTTTGTTAGGGAGAAAATTGTTTGAAGTAATTTGAAACAAATAAACTGGAAATAGTGAACTAAAATTTTAATCGGCAAGACTTATTTGCCAGTTTACAGACATGTTTGTTCTCGAAATCTTGAAAATTACCTACTCAGTATTTTTTCCCAGTGAATAAAATTTGAAATCGCATTGCTTTCAAAATTGTGAAAGGTTGCTGATGATTGACTGTTTGAAAGGTCATGAGATGACCCCCTATTGGTGCCCGTAAGATCCTAAAGCTTAGTGTTAATTATAGGAGCTGATTTTAATCAGATGAAATACTGACATCAATACCACACACCAACTCCAAAAAAATGGCTGCCACTTTTGCCAAGGGAGGTAATTATTGTAAAAATCGGGAACTATCTTCATGCACTACGGAGTCAATGGGCGTTTATGGGCTATAGTGTATACGAAATAAAGAGTGTGATGTCAACCAATCCAATAAGTTGCTGCTGTATTTTCGAGAACTATCTATATGTACTACGAAGTAAAAGGGCGTTTATGGGTATAGTGTATACGAAATAAAGAGTGTGATATCAACCAATCCAATAAGTTGTGGCTGTCTTTTTTCTCTTTCCAGTTCAGAGTTTCATTTTGAATTTGAAAATTCGATTTGGAAGGATTTCAAATGTGAAATTCATACCTTTGACCCAAGGTAAGGTTTTGACATACGGACCCTGTCTTAATTATTAATCAAATTGCTATATGTTATAAAGTATAACTCGGTGATAATAAGATAATTAAATTGTTCCATTTGATATTTTAGGAACAAAGCTTCTCCAAAATTTTAATTTATCATTAAATAAGAATAGGCCTAAGAAAATTAAAGAAAGAGACAAAAGTTTATTTTCAATCTGAACAACTTTGTAGAATAATACGCTAAAGAGTCTTGTTTGAATGTATTCATCGTCATAGGCAATTCGATCCTAATTTCAAGAATTATAATTCCTTTACTACTTTCAGCCATTCAACAAATGGTGTACAGATACCAAAGGGCGTTAACTTTCACCTCATTGGACTTTCAGATAACGATATTACAATCCCGGCACCTGAAAGTTTAAAAGACTTTACAACCTGGCCAATCAAAAGACTTTCATCTATTAGACGATCATTACGTCATGAAAAGGTTTGTGATGTTATTTAACTTTCCTTTCTTCTTTTCCATTTATATAATACGGGCATGAAATGACAATCAAGCTCAAAAGATTTTTTCGATCACATTTATATATTATACATATTCATTTACTTAACTTAGATCACTGTCTCTGACAGAATTAAAATGGACACGAAGTGCTCATCAGAAAGGGAAATGTAGTTATATTTATATTTAATAAAGATATCTAATATATCATGTTCCAAAGGCTGACCTAGCGATGCCATATACATGACAAAGCATTTTGTATCGCCATTGCACTATAGCATTATCATTAATGTTATTTGTATTTTCGGGTACTAACTATTGCGCAATGACGTGATTGCTAGTTGACTTCAAACGACTTGCTCTTCACGGTTGTAGGCTCGAAAATTTGTATTCTTTTTTATAGAAGCTATCCAGCTGGCGTGCGGAACGTTGGTGGTTCTACTAAGGTCCCCGCTCGTGCCTAAAATTATACACGTAGGGACAACTTAAGTCTTCCAACGGCAGTTAAGCTGAAAATTCGGCGTATGACTTGTACTCTCTTGCTGGCGGTGTGGCCGAGTGGCTAACGCGTCGGACAAGTAATCTAAGGATTGCTGGCCGCGTGGGTTCGGACCCAGTCAGGGGCAAGCTGTCGTTTCCTTGAGCAAGAAACTTTAAATTCATTGCTGAGTACTGGTTGGTTCCATGATCGGACTCGAGCGTGTTATAATAAACTTAAAGCTTCCAACAAAATCAAACTACAAATAATTTGTACAAGCTAATACTATGTTGGTGCGACGTAAATTCCAACAAAAATGGCCGATGCCAAATATCATAGAAGAAGTAAGCATGTTATAACTTATATTGTACAATAGGCTGACACCTAGAGATGCTTCCGCAATCCAATATGGCTAACATGTAACTTATTCATTAAAACCAGATTTTGCGTTTCCGCTACGCTCTTAAGGGCAGTGGAAAGCTAGTTAGGATATGTAAATGTAATTCCAATTGAATGAGTGCTTACATTGGTCAAGTTGGAACAAAGTTTGACCTCAAATATGAAGTTGTGTGTAATTGCGCGTCTGTAAACCAGATGTTTCCCTTACAATAAAACTTTAATATCCGTAGCACTGTTTCTTAAAAAATGGAAATTCAATACAGAAACGTTTGACTCGCTGTAATACAATTATTTTAAGTTCGGTCTCAAATCTCAGTATTTTCATTGGTCGATGAACATTATGTGGCATTATCCGACCAATTAATTGCCTAAGATCCGAGTTTAAGCGCAAAGAATTTCTATACAACCTCGGGCCATGACTTCTCTTACAATGAGCTGAAAACGTTCTACCTTGTGATCAGAAAATAAATGTTCACTGTCTCGTTTACAATTCTTTAAATACATCAGAAATTTTATATCAAACATAAATTTCATTTCAGAGATATATTGATATCTTGAAGATCGATATTGAAGGATTTGAATGGAAAGTGTTACCTGACGTCATACAATCACGTGACCTTAGATATGTGAGACAAATTTGTTTAGAAATTCATTTTGGATTTAGGTTTGAGAATGTATGGAGTGGCAACCGTGTTGTGGATTATAGATATACAAACAGTACCTGGGGCAATGTGACAATTGCCAATCAACTTAAAGTCTTGAGAAATCTGTATGACAACGGCTTTAGGATTTTTAAATCGGAGCCAATCGCAGGCTGGGGAATGTATAATATAAGAAAACCTAAAAAATCGATTAATACACTGATAGAAATATCATTAGTTAATATATATAATTAAAGGTAAACACGTGAAACTTAATAACCTGCAAAATATAAATATAAACACTTATGTTAAAGGTCCCGTCCGCCTTAACGTGCGCGGTTTCAAAATGCTTAAGCAATATCCATCGACGTGAATTCTATAAGTTATTGTTTTGAGAGAAATTTCTATCTTTCAAGCATAATGGATCAGATTTTCACTCGAACTAGTAACAGTTTACCAACGTTTTGTTAAGGTCTATTAAGAGAGTGACTGTTCCAGAACTTTTTTAAAATGTTAAAGTTCAGTTTACACAGAATTTATATTAGTTCGATGGTAATTGAACCTAATAGCTTATAGACATACTCTTGAATCCGTTCCTTGAACCAGACAGTACTTAGCAATGAGTGTAAAATTTAAGGTCATAGACACAATGGCAAGCCCTCTGTCGCAGGAAATTAACCTTAGATAACCAGTTAAACGCGTAAACCACACGGCCATGCCGTTCTGTGATAAAGTTCTCTTTATTCTCAATAGAGAGTTTTTAGCAAACTAGGTTATAATTTAATTTAATCTTTTTGAACCTGCTTTCTTTGTCAACTTATTGAACTGATAGAAGTACTATGTACTTTAATTCTTATCTTTTTACCATTTGTTTGCTCTGAGAGAGTTAAATGAAATAAGTCATTATATTCTATAAAGATTTAGTATATGTCTTATATAAATTTCTACAACTGATATATACTTCTTTTCTTGCCATACTTGATTAACTATATTCTTAACTATTCACTCAAGAAAAGAGATTTAGGTAAACGATAAAAAATTTGACTAAGGGATTATATTGAAATTAAAATAAACTGTATTATATAGTTTCTTTGTTTGTTTTATTTCGTCTCTTTCATATTGCAATTCCTCGCCTTTATTTCTAAAGCAAGATCTAAGGTTTCATTATTGTATTATTGCAAGAAAGAGCGTGTGTACAACCAAATACCATAATTAAATGCTTGATCACAACGCGACGTACAAGTTTCAGTAGTACAAGTGCATAAGCACTTATCATTTGGGAAAGACAGATGTATTGAAATATTTGTTCGAAATGTCATCCGTTGACATTCAAGCTAACGTTTTATCATATCCTACGTTCTCACAGAGCTGTTTTACTGGATACAATCAATATCAAATTAACAGGGTGTGTTTTAATGGACTTGTTTTCTGAACATAATCTTCAAAGCTTTATTTGTATGATATTGGTATAAAGCCTCCATAGCCTGACTTTATAGAATAAATCGATCCTAGTCGTTTTCCGTACTCGCCATTAAGCATTGATTGTACCACCTTCCGCCATGATTGACAAGTGCGCTGCTACCACCATAACATGCGTCAACATCGTGATCATATGTGCTAAAGTCTTGTCCGTTTTGATAAATGAGCCCTTTGTTATAGAGACCTTTACTACAGTAAGAAACGCTCATAGTTCTGAAATGAAAAAAAACAGAGCCAAAGACAATCATATCTGAAAAAAAATTGTTCACTTGAAACAGGAATGTGTCATATTTGATCAGAACGAATAGAAGAAAGAAAGAAAGAAAGAAATATTTTAAAGAAAGAAAGAAAGAAAGAAAGAAAGAAAGAGGAAAACGGTCACGTTTGTCACCTATCAATGGGGCATCCTTATATTTTATATCTAGATACAATTCCGAACATAAATGCAAAAATAAGGAAGTTTGGAAAAAGAAACATTTTAAGTTGTACATCTACAGTTACTGTATTTTCACTTATTTATCAATTATTTTGCAAGTATATAATCTAAATTCAAGAATTACCACAAAAATAAATACTATAAATGAATTAATGAAAAAGAAAAAAAAGGTGGAGTAGGCTTCTAGTAGGACTTGAACACTCCATGCGATCTCACAGTATCCTCACTGAGTGTAACGTGGGTTGCCGCAAATGTTGGCATGAAAGAAAAGTACCTCGCTTCCAAATTTGTGTATGTAAAAGCTATAGATTAAACAAGAAACGTTAACGTTAATATCCCATATATGTATACACCATGTCCACTATTATCCCTAAGTCTTTAAAAGAACAGCAATATCATGTTCTAACGACAAATTTAAAGAAATTGTATTCACTACTACTTTGCTTAATAACGAATAACAAGTTATTTTTTATCATTCCTGAAGCGATAAGTTAAAATGTGTGTTTCTAGGTTCCACCTCTTCAATTTAATTGTTGAAAAGAAATAACCTGGCGGACAGTAGATCTATGTTACGTGCCGACAGTGACATTTTCTATAAAATGTGAATATATATAATGGAAAACATATACCATAAACACTTGTTTTACCTAACCAATATTCTCTGGCCATGTTTCCAAAACCATTCACATGATCTGAAAGGTTTCGGTAAATTTAAATTACATTTACTGCTATGTGTCACTAATTTTCTAGCTACAATATCATAATAACTTTGGTATGAACAAAGGTTAAATGAAATGATAATGCACGTATGTCTATTAATATCTCTGTCATTGCAATAAATTTGTATTACGTTGATAATTGAAATGGACAAGTGAAATTAATGATCCCCTTCTCTAATTTGAAGATAACTAACGATAACTTGATTAAGACAAATTTGCATTCGGCCGTATATTTCTCCGGCTATGCGGTGCTCTTTCACCCGATTATTCACTATTCATTTTGCTATAGCTATTCATGAACTGGTTCATATTCATTCTTTTTATATTTATTTGGCGTGAATATAATAGGAAAAAGGTACACTAAAAAACGTTGAGTACAAATGTTCATGTAATTCGCCGTATAACTTCTAACGGTTAGATTCACCATTTACACTTGGGTGGACATTATAACCAGCTTAAAGCAAACAAACATACAATGTTTTCGTTTTTGCTTTGCAACCTTCTGACGGTCAGTGTGACGACGAAACGATCCGTTAGTAGCAAAACTGGTGTCGTTTGAAATCTGTTTAAGCGCAAAAAAGAAGCGCTTTCGGCTCAGGGAAATGGTGATAAAAACAAACAACAACACAATGATAAGTAACGAAACGCTGTTAATGGATGCACTCTGTTGTTTCTGAAATCTCGTCTAATTTAATCTGTTATTAGCCACAGTTCTTGCGACCCGGTTTAAGGGAAATAGTTATCAAATCAAGAAGGTTCGTGTTTGAAGGACGACCAATAAACAATCATTACAAGCACTTCGCTGAACAAATTTTTGACGGCAAGTGTAACAAGAAACTTATCCCTGTAAAGATGTGACTAGTCTACTGGAAATCTGCGACCGTCTAGTTTTAGTTGATATAAGTGTCACTGTTCAGTCAATTTCGGCCTAAGGAAAAGTCGACAAAAACAAGCTTAAAATAGTAACTTTTGAAGGTCGACGGGAATAAACTGTGATTTCAAATGAAAATGCACTACATAGTACAAAAATTCAGTGCCACCTCATTGTTTCGCAGAATTCGGCTTTAGATAGTTCAACATAGCTGTACGGCTTTTACGTTTGTTGTGTCCTCTGAAATTTGTAAAAAAGTCTAACCACACGCCTAAAACGGATCTCTTACAATACAATATCAATAAAGTAATGTTTAAACTATTTTGTATTAACTGGTATCACTTTAAGCAAACAATGCCAACGGAATTGAATGGTAAAAACATAAACTTCTGGTTCTCAATTAACATGCAAAAATGTGCTCCGTGGAAGAAATTTTCTTTATTATGTTACGATATAATGATAAAAATATGAACAATTATCTTATTACAATAGATTTAAAGACATGAATGATCTGTGATGTAAATGAAGAGTATTTCAGGTCTAAAACCATACTGAAAAATACTAAAAAGATAAGATAGAAGTGTATTCAATTTGTATATATTAACACAGTGTAGCGAAAAATCTATTTGTTTTACAAAGAGTCAGAAGTCATCAGTAAGCAAGTGATTAATAATCATTATGAAAATAAAATGAATCCAACAAAATGAGACTGCTCAATAAAAATTCTGGAAAAACATGAACAATGTAGGTAAGGAAAGAAAATGAAAATGAACACTATAATTATAATAATTATAAGGAATAATGAATTATATAAGAGATACTGTTTCAAATGGACCAGACAAATAATTACTTGAATGGGGATCAACACACACTCAGTTAACACAACAACATTGTAGTATTGATTATTATAGTATGTTTTGTGCATTACGGTCGAAATTGAAACTTTTACTTTAAAGGAAATATTAAATTTTATTCAAACTGTCATTATGTTTGAGTTAAAAAATATAAACATTTGTGCACTGAAGAAAAAATCTTTCCCCGTATTTAACTGATGAAAAACACAAATATGAAAATCAGGATAAAAGTAGATTTGCATGCATTATAAGAGTATTTCATTGCGATATTTTTGTGAAAAACATATTGCTGAGGGTTTGTCCGAAAGTAGTGAAATGGTAGTTAAAATGCAGAAAAAATCGCCCAACAAAATCAATATCGGGTTTGACCACCAGCAGCATGAAGGACTTCCTGGTATTGTTGGCGTATAAGAGCGTATTAATTTCGGCTTGTTTTATTTCTTTCCATTCCTGAATTAAGGCTTGTCTTAGCTGAATGACTTTGACGGTAAAATAGAGCCACGTCTAACACGCTGGTCCAAATTATCCAAAAGGTGTTCAATGGGATTTAGATCAGGGCTTTTGGAAGGTCAGTAATTAATGAATGCAATGTTATTCGCCCTGAAGAAATTTGCTGTGTCCCTTGCTGTATGAATTGTGGCATTATCATGTTTAAAAGAGTGACATTGGCAATATTTGAAACAGTGGGATGACATGCCTCGCAAGACTTTCATCTTGGTAGCGGTGGGCACTCAATTCTATCGATAACGACGAGATTAGTGCGAAAGCAATGTGCAATGCCTGCCTAGACCAAGACAGAGCCCCCACCCCCAAAACGATCTTGTTTAAGTACCCATCAGTCGGAAAAAACGTTCATTTCTTCTTCGGTACATTCGAACCCTGCCATCAGCTCGATTGATGGAACAGATCACCTGGTCAGAGAAAAAAATGCTATTTCATTGTTTTTAATCCAGCGTTGGTGTGTACGTGTCAAATTTACATTATTTACGTGGTCACGTCGCCTCAAAACACTACATACGTATGGTCGACGTATATGTAGCCCACCCTCATCGTGCAGATATACGGTTGATATGTATACAAGGGGTGTCAGCAGCAGTAGCTGTGGCAGTTTGGAAGCGATTGCGCAGGAAGGTGTTCCATATATAGCGGTCGTGGGCACGAGTCGTGTCGCGCGGATGTCCAGTACGTGGTCGATCTTCTGTAAATCTTGCTTAATAACGTTGCCTCAGGTGTCATATATCACGAGTAGAGAATCCAATATCCAGAACGACGGCATTCATTGTCATTCCAGCATTAAGTATGCCAATGCACGTTCGTGTAAATTTTGCGGAATTCTAGGCATATCAGAAATAAAGAAATTGTGTCCACTTATTTTTTCTTTTTGGCATGAAAGTCTATAAAGTTACAATGAAAGGTTTCATAAGATATATAAGAATCTACTGGTCCGTGCATGAACTTGAAAATCGCAGTCAGCTGGTTTCACGTGCAAAACTAGTTTAATCGAGTTAAAATTAGTTTTATCGAACACCCAATCGTTCGCCTGAATATATGTAGCTCATTTAACATTTTGTATTCTTTAAATAACACTTTATATCCACTACAACTCAAGGGAAGTTTCGTTTTTTTTGTTCAGTATACAAGCATATAGACATATACTTAGAGAAAGTAAAGAAAATAGTTCACACATAGTATGACTAGCTTAATGTTATTAGTGTTAATAAACATGTTTTCGATTAAGTTTTCAGCCATTATTTTAAATGTAGGCAATTAGGTCATGTTTTGTCCTTATTAAGCGGTAACTTTCCCCATTCGAACGTTATCTTCAATTAGAGATAAGCATTTCCACATACAAATAGCATTTTAGACAACAGAAAAAAATATGGGTAAGTTAAGCATGATTAAGACGAAAGAAATATTCAATATGATATTGATAATGGATTTGAATGTTAAAAAGTATAATCTCCTTTTACAAATGACCTAAGGCGGATATAGAAATAGAAGCAATCGCTTCAAAGTTAAGGTATGTTTTAATTAGTAAATTTTGACTTATTAAATAATCTTTTAATTTGACAGTACCATCTGATCTTTTAACAGAAAAAATAAACAAAAAAGATGACGTTTAATTTTGTTTTATTTCAGATGGCACACTATATGTATTGCTTTTTATAACCCTGGTGGGATACACTGGTTTGTATAAAATTATTATGGTTTAGGATTTTGGTATGTTTTAATTCCGATCCTTGTAGACTTGCAAAAAAGTAATAATTTGTCCGATTTTGTTTGGCGACCACGTTTTGTATATTTATCACATTTATTTTCCCACTAGTGCGCACCGAGTTACTGAATACGTTTAGTATGATTACATTGAAACAGAGTTGCGGATATCTGTCTCTTCATATTGAACATTTACACGAGTCTAATTGTAATTTGACCGTAATTGAAAATTAAATCATTGTTATTTACTTAACATATTGTTTTGTTTTAGTCATTGGTGACACATTTAAATAATTAAAATGAAAAATCGTCTTAGAGAAAGGTTTGATTTTCAAGAAGATCCTCAAAACTTTCAACCTGTCCTTATTCGTCGTTGTTTGACGGATACCCTAATAAGATGCACGAAACAAAATTAAGATAGAAATTAAATGGTATTGAGAACTTAAACACATAACCAAGCAGCAAAACGTGCCGTGAATTTCTTTGAAAATTACGTTTATACTTTTTGAGGCATCCAAAGGAGAATCTAATTAGAAATTATGTCGTTATTTCCGTCTATCTTTTTCTTCTATGTTATCTTTAGAATTCTGAGACATGAGAACATTTGTAAAATATTTCCATTAAAAACAGAACATACGCATTTCCAAACATAACCAATTTTATATAAAAAAATAGGTTGTTTTATATGTATCAGCTATAAGTTAATAAAATGTCTCTCTCAAGAGAGTTTTATGAAAGAATTTGTAAATTTTACTAATTGTTCAAAATAATCATAATGATTTATTAAATTTTTGACAAGCTTCATATATAACTTTTTATATTTGCCAATCTGTCACGATTAAAGGATCTTATAAGAAAGAATCAAACGGACCTTAATAATATAAAGCCTTCATAGTATCAAGATTAAAATAGCGATAATATTTGTATTGCTGGTAAGATTTATCAAAATTTTGCAATTATGCAGGCTTTATTTCTAATATAATTGATGATATATTTCCTTGATGAAAAAGTCTTACCAATTCTTCGCTTACAGCTACATGTCAAAAATAACAGGATTGCACTTGTAATTTACACATGTATATTTGTATCGATTTTTAGAGTCACTTGAATGCTACACCTGCTCAAATGTCGCTGATATAGCCAAATGCAATGTCACAATATCGTGTTCAGCGGGTCAGGTAATTGTTCTTATGCATCGATAAAATGATATATTTTAAATAAAAGTACCAACTATGCAACCGACCGAACCAACACGCCAATTTCTATGTCAATAATATAATTGAATAAAGAGGCCTCACATCCGAGTGTCAAAACTGACTCGAAATCACCTGCCCTTACATTTGGGGGTTTGAATTATGTTAGCGACTTTGAAGACTCATATGGTTAAGGTATCAAGGATGCTAACTTTTGTGTGCAATGGGAGGTTAAAGCAGGACAAAACGGTTCATTTGAATTGTTCCAAATCGTTAAATTCTTTTTAAAAAAGGTTCTGCCTCAAAAGCTAATGATTTTCCATGCCTAAACCATTTGCACAGACTTTTCCCTTGTCCGTCGAATGGTTCCATAATGTTGTGATACGTGTGCTTGAGCTAGAGTTATTTGCGTATATGCACGAGGCTTTAAATTTGAGGTGAAATGGATGCCTTTTTATGTTTATATGAATGAAACTCAATAAAATATGTTTCTTTAGGATCTTGTCTACAGTGTAAAGGGACGTATTTTCCTCCATACAGTACCTTCAGTTAAAAAAAATGGTCTTACTTTTCCCTTACATAATAGTATCTGCTCTTCAAGACTGGCGTGCATTTCAGCGAGAAAATTTATCAATATTATATAAACCATTTATATATATTTATATATAACATTATATTTCAAGTCATGTTACCACAACTTTACATCAGGACATGAAAGCCTTGGATGTGTTGATAATAAGGTAAATAGCACATTTCCTTTAGCCAGACAAATTAAATGTAAACAAAGCCATATTGAGACTTTGCAATTTTATAAACATATCTATAATTTTACGTACGAAATATTACTACATTGAATTAATCGTTTTACTTGAAAATTTTCAATTCTGCCTCCTGTTCAAATAAAAATATTTCAAAAAAAACAAAAAAAAAACAACAAAAAAACACAAGTGCATATTGAATATATCAAGCAGATAAACTTGCGGGAGAATTTAAATGTTTTAATCATAATCAAAAACCCCGACCCTTTAAAAAAAACCCAAAAAACATCAACACCCCCGCTCTACCAAAAATAAAAAAACATCACCCCAACCTACCAAAAAGAAATCTACACCAACACCGTACGAAAACAAATCAACACCACATCCCACTCAAAACGAAATAGTCAACACCCTGATCCTACCCCCCCCCAAAAAAAAAACAACATAAAAACACAACAACAATAAATCCCCACACACACGCACACACACACACACACCGAACAAACACACAAAATAAAAAAAAAACACAAAAACAAAGGAACACCTTCAACGTACAAAAAAATAGCAAAAACATACCTAAGAGCCTACAAATACATAATAAGAGTGATATTTAACTTATTTCAATTACAAGAAGAAATCATGTTTGCATATGATCATGATAATGTAGGTTTTATGTCTATGTTTTATTAACAATTTAATAAACCATGATGGAATGTTACCCATAAACAGTATATGATATTGTTGCTTCTACTTCTCTTTAATTTCTTTACCAAACATACACTTCAGAAATGTGACTCGCACGCTGCAGGTCCTTCGATTATTGGTAGAGGTCTAGTTTCTAGGAAAACGTCATCATGTTTCGAATGCTGCTCCACTAACCATTGTAACTCTGCTCTTTGCAGTCATCCTGACCGTAAGAATAAATATTCAATTGGTTGCTTGCTTACAATGGTAAACTGAAATACTATAATGTAGCTTTATAACGTCATAAATGATTTCCGCTTCACAACATTACAACATGGGATTAAATCATTACAAAGGACTTAAATCAAATTATCGACACATGGAACTAAAGCTGACAGAGAAGTTTGACTTAAACTAACACTGTTAAAGAAATGTGGGGAAATGACTATTTTGTTTCAAATAGCAGCAATGTGACAGGTGCGCGCATGTTGTCGAGAAGGTTACCTTTTGATATGTAGGTAGACGTCTAGGCATTCATCGAACTGATCAGCTAAACGTTGCTTAACGGTCTTTTATATTTGATGAAGGCCATTTTATACGAATTCAGTAATTGTTATCCTAATATACACTTCTGCATAGGCATATCTTGAGCCATGAAAGTATTAAGTTATTTCAAACATGTTAAAATGACACGTATATATTTCAGCCAAAGCTTGCGTTGATGATGAATCAGTGGACTGTGCAAGACTGAATTCTATATTAAGTATTTGTAATGACCCACGTGCAAGTAGTCTGTGTGCTAAATTCTGCGGACTCTGTATGGGTATGCATCTTTTATTTTAATTCCTTTTTTTAACGTAAGTGGCATTACAATGTAGATGTATGTATATATCAAAGTATCAGTAATATGTCGAATGATTCTTGTTCTTATGCCTTAGAAAAAAGGTGAAAAGAACAGAATCCCTAACGAACTTCCAGAACAGTCAAACTTATACAGGTATTATCTTTACTTGTGGCGATAGTGGAACTGCACTTTGAACGTTTTACATGATTTCGTCTCAATTGTCGGTTTTGTATCGTTTGTCGAATTCATATTGTGAAGGGCATTCCACTAGTGGAACAGAAATGTTGATGTATACATCAATATCTACTTGTATATGTAACTTTGATCTTGTGTTAAGTTAGATAAAACATTCGTTGTGCAATAATATCTGTATAAAAATGTTTGAAAGATGGTTTCTACTCGTTTGTCTTAACCATCAGTTAAGCATTTTTGAGTGCTTACGTCTTAACTGGGGAGACTTGAAAACGCAAGGAAAGATGATTTCATTTCCATAATTGAGTTAAGATAGTATGTTGTTTTTACTTATCTGAAAGTCACTTTCAGTTGACGGAAACTGGACAGTATGGTCAACTTGGAGCACATGTGACGTAACCTGCGAAAGTGGACATCAGACCAAAACTCGAACATGCACTGATCCGGCACCACAAAATGGAGGTCTTGACTGTGTAGGAGATGGAATCATGACCAAATCATGTAAAACTGAACAAAAATGCCCAGGTTTAAGATATATTTAAATTATTGCATTTCATGGTCGATACAGTATTATGTCTTTATTTTTAAAGCTTCTTAAAACTTTTTTATACAAAAGCAATTCAATAACAGAGAAACAAACATTCTTTATTCGAAGTTTATGTTTTTGAAGGATGTAAGTAATAATTAACACTTACAAAATAGATTGCAAGAACTGCTTTTTAATGTTATTTTTATATTCAAAATGAGATTTATTTCCCGAAAGAAAGTTAACAAATCAAATGGATATTGTTTAACTTATCATTGATATCTTACGTTATACCATTGTTATTTTAGCTATGCATTCAATGATGATTAAACGTAAGAAGAAATGTTTTCAAATTGATTTATTATATAATTTATACAATTAAATCACTTCTGTCTTTGCTGTTCATTTCATGAGAAGGCCTTAACTTTTTATTTTTTGAATGACTGTCTAATTTCTAAGAAGAACTGTTTGCAGCAGCGTTTAGTTAGTCATTCATTAAACTCTGTTGTCTGTCTGTATTAACACTAAACACGACAACAAATGAAAAACAACGACAGATAATATAAGGGGATTACAAAAATAAAATTACCTGTACTGCTAATCACCACCATTCCCAACCGCCTTTTAACAGTCGACATCCCTTTTTATTTTTAATGGCCAATGTCCTTACTTAGTAAGATAAGTGTAGTGACATAAAGAATTACTGAAAGTTGAACGCAATTCTTCGTCCAATGAGAAGATGTTAAAGAGTGTAGCAAGCTATGTATTTTGCCATTTTTTTGCATCTTTTTAATCTGAATTTTGTATGAGAACATTTCCAAAACATCGGTATGATAGTGATATGTTAATCTCTTTCTTAATAGCTCATTCACTAATCCATGCTAAATGATTAAAACCCTTTACAAAATAGCTGCTTTAATGCCGTGTTCCGGAGCATAATATTATGTTAAACTTTATATAATTATACAACTGTATGAGTGTTAAATAACGAAAATATTCTTATGTTACAATTTTATAAAACTATATTTACCATTAAAAAAAATAAATTGGAAGATATTATGGTCCCAATGAATGTCTCAAGCAGAGGTTATTTGACCAGTAATAATGATCCTATCTGGATATTTTCTACGCGTGCCTTCGAAACGAAGACGCTAAAAACAACTGCACGATATTAAAAGGTACAGTCTTTCACAAGCGCTCCATCCTTTTAGCTTTTTTATCTGTTTTAACTATAACCTACATTAAGACTTTATTGTTTGACTTTAAGTTCATGGCGGATGGAGTGATTGGTCACATTGGGGCACTTGCTCAGTAACATGTGGCATGGGCTTGAAACGTCGCACAAGGACTTGTTCTAATCCAACTCCTAGTCTTGGCGGTAATCATTGTTTTGGAGACAGGTCTGAAATACAACTGTGTATGCCAGCACCATGTGCAAGTACGTTTTGTCATTGAGTTAAGTTTATCTGCCGCCCTGATATTGTTTATCAGCTTGATATTGGCGACTTTATGCCTGATAATTTGTGTGGTTTTATACCTATTTTATTAAAACAATGGTCGATATGCCATGTATAAGCACAATAGAATATTTATTGAATATGAATAATTGAGACTTATGAACATGAGTAAACATTGGCATTTCAAACCATTAATCATACTCATGTTGAGCATAATTCTCATTAATATCATATGTCTAACTTTTTGTTTTAGCAAAGCAATGTCTATAATATTTTATGAATGTAATTTACGAGTTAGTGATACAAGATGTTTTATTGATTGATATAGATGACAGATTTTCTTCCAAGATGACGATAATCAATTTTTAAATCAAGTGTATTTTCTTTTTATGAAACAAAAGTATACATTTCGAAAAAAACCGGATCAATTCTCAAAATTGCCGATCATGAACAGATCTAGAGCTATCTAAAACTGTACAAAACAATGGTCCTCCCACTTAGCTAAATAGGGAGAGCGTTGGATTAGTAATGCAGTCGAGACTCCCTGAGAGCCCCCTGATTTCAGCGACTCTCTCTGTCTTGTCCGTCCTTTCTTCAGTCCTCCCAACATATTTCCCTAAAAAAATGATCTGAATTATACGATTCCCTGTCATATGTGACAACCGACCCTAATGGTCTCGTCCCAATCATGAATGTATTACTTTTGTCTGATTTAAACGACTTTCACACCTTTCAATTGTCCATTTATTAGATAAAATAGAACCCGTTAAAACCCAAAGATGGTCCAAATTATTAAGTCCAATTATTATCGAGTAGTCATTACTTTTCAAATAAACTCTACACTATAATGTGGGGCGTCTACTCCCTACTGCCAAATTGATAGGCATGATTAACACATTTTGAAGAGTGTAATGTACATAATGACTAGTCAGCGCAAACTGAATTAAGATTTGTGTCAGATTTTTTTTGCCACCGAGGGGCGGCACATTGTAATTTCTTTGTCCGCCCGTCCGTCCCCTTCATCTCCAAAACTAATTGGGGATTTAAATGAAGTCACAGAAGTGATCAGTTTTATCCCTAGTTGTGCATATCGCTGGAACTTTCTGCATCGCTGCACAAAATGACCGCCAAAGCTATAAATAGAAAAATCTTGTCCACGCTTTCAAAGGTTAAACTGTTAGCTGGATTTCAATGATCAGTTCTTTCCCTAGTTGTGCATTTCTTCGGGCATGTTTCTCTCCGCTACACAAAACGACGACCAGACCTATAACTAGAAACATCTTGCTTTAGTAAAATTTGTTAAGACTATTTCTGCTACACTTCTTATGGAATAAAAGAAATTTAAGGAATGATATTATCAAAAGCGGTCGGGCATAAATTACCGGTACTTAGGCATATATTGCGGATTTTATGTCAAAGCTTCCTTTCGAGGGCAAAAATCAATTTTTAGTGAAGTTTTGTTATCACTATTTTGAAGTACCTACGGCCGAATTTTAAGGCAGCAATGTTTTAACCGACCTTTCATTTTAAAGAAAAAAATACTTTGGATATGGATATGTTGTTTAAAGACTTAAATATGATATTTTAAATGTTAATTTTGAACTTTAATAAACCAATATAAATCTTATACAAAACCAAACACACAATTTAACTTTATATGATATACATGCGATGATACGTGCGTTTTTTATTTTATTTACAACAAATACTTAAACTTTTACCTACTGCGATATGTTTAATTGCATTTAGTAAGATAGTATTCCTTCACACGGTTATGTATGTTAAGTCTCAATAAAATATAGATGGATTAAACTTTAAATGTTGTTTTCGACTGTATTAAGGAACTCCCTGTCATATGTAACTATTTTGTAAGGGCCCTTGAAAGTCACATATGTCAGTCTCGACTGGGTTGCAGGTTCGATCTCTGTGACAAATGTTTCCTATATTGTGTGTAATAGGCATTTTTACCTCAACGCTGGTTCAAAATTAAGTGGGATTGTTAGTCGGTTGCGGAGAAATAGGAAAATACATGTATCGGTTTGTTATCTGGTAAACCCTATTTATGATTTTAAGCTGGCCAAGAATGTGTTAAAACAGGTGTAAAAAGTGAAAAATTTAAACCAACAGACAAACGAATACAAAAGCAATGTATGGTTTGGTAGTCTGTTTCACAATTTTGTTATCAAGATTGATGATAGATACCTGTACGAGCTATTTTACAATGCAATATTTTCTTATAGGACATTAAAATATTTTCACAGACGGTGGTTGGAGTGCGTGGACCTCGTGGAGTACATGTAGTGCAACTTGTGGCGGAGGAATAAGATCACAAACGAGGTCATGTACAAATCCTCCCCCTTCGCCTTATGGACAGTATTGCGTAGGATCAAATGACAGGGTGGAGCCTTGTGCTAATAATTACTGTGGTAATGTTTTGAAAGAAAAAAAATAATTATGACGTGTTCTCTTCACTGAAGCTGGAAAGTTTCAATATGACATAAATAATGTCCTTATGCGTTAATGTCTCGACTATAATGTCCTTATGCGTTAATGTCTCGAAAGATATTGTCAATAAAGATTTATTGTCTATGCATCAGTTTCACACCATTGACCCCGTTTCAAAATTCCATTTTATTTAGTTCCGCACATAGTTTTTTTTCTAAAGGACTCGGGCATTATTTTACTTGGGGACCTGACGCCACTTTTCATGGAATGGCACGAACGAGTCACATTTGAAGGTTGCATAATGACCGCCGTATATACACATTTGTGGATGTTTCTAAATTCAAAATTACACCATTTTCATGTTTGAATGTTGAATTCTGCTTTAACCGGTGCTAGCGGACGCGAACGTAACTTGCATTTTCCAGTACCGTCCATGATCAAATTGAGTCTGCATTGTTTTCAATTTTATCATTTTCGAGGTGGTTGTTAGCGTTTTAGGGATTCTGTTTTTTCTTTATTTTTTATAATTGAGATAATGATTGGTTTATTGCTCTCTAGATATTATGTCAATACATTTACGTCTAACATCCTCATATATAAAATTCTGGAAAACAGGTATTCTCTCGGTACCAATAAAAACAACAATATCAAATGAAAATTACTAATGCGATTCGACTAAGTCTGTTCATGAGAGATAATGTAATGTGCAACATCTCTTACGTCATAAAACCTAGTACCCGTTTGCGTAATAGACGACGAATGTTGATACCAATTTAGCATTACTTCTATCTTTCTCTTCACATTTTTTGCATTGATTATCATGTGATTGTTCGAGTTTGTGTAGTGTTTCAATATGCACAACGTCTTTAAATATATTCATGGCATAAGGTGCCATTGGCTGGCACGTTATGTCATCAGTTAAATACAAATCATATAAAAATCTGATATTATATTGATAACACAAGGGTTTGTTGGTTACAGTAAAAATATCATCCCGAGGAAATTACTGTTACCGAAAACGTTAGCCGATGTACAGATGTGCAGTTATCTAAAACCATCTGTGTGTAAAACTCATTATTCGTTTCTTTTTTCTTTCGCCATTTCTTTTAGGTTGGACATTTAAAATACTGTTTCAGTTCATAATCTGTAATTAATATAGAAAAAAAATCTTCATTATACAAAGACATAACAGAAGTTCTGGTGTCTCATAGTTGCTTGATGTTTGTAACAACACGTTCGGGAGATGTCTAATTTTGTTTATTCTGTTGCATTTATATGGTGTATGGTATAAAATATGACTCACACACTTATACATCCCCATTAGAGAGGGTAAAGTCTGACTTATTAATGACATTTTAATGTCTGTCAATGATAGAAGATTTTTTCCACCAGTTAATTACTGTTCTTCAAGTCCATGTCAACACGGGCATTGCCGGAACACTCCAAGTGGATTCACTTGCGATTGCGACTTTCCGTATGTCGGCACTACATGCGACATTCGTAAGTGGATGCTATATTAGAAAATTGTCAACATGATTCTAAGTTTTTTATTCATTTATTTTCATAACTGCCTTAGATAATAAATAGATAAATCAAATATTTACACTTATTCTCAATATTGAAGTGTATCTGGTTAAGCAAAAATTGCTTTATTGCGTTTAACAGAAGTAATAAACTTAATGTTAATCTAAACATTAAATGTTAATCTAAACATTTAAACTGTGTGCATAACCGGACTGTTAATAAAGAAAAGAAGAATAATTATTGAGTGCATTTTCAGATTGTTTCATATGTGAGTCATGCATTTTGACCACAAACTATTTCTAATTATGTGAATCAACTCAGTTGAGCGCATTTATGAACTAATTATACAATAGGTTAAATACTTAAAGCGCATTGTCCGACTTTTCTTTATTTGAATGACACATCAGAAAAATAATGAACGTAATGCATGACTTTTCCAATTATGAATCAGAAAACTTATGCGATCCGCCAATTGATATTTTAACGAAATATCTAAGTTACTTTGTTTTTTTTATAGGTGCACCTTCTGACTGTTATGAAATTTTCACAAAAAAACTCGGTTCAAAAACAGGGGTATACAATATCACTTTGTGGAGATCTAATGTAACTATATCAGTTTACTGCGATATGGATACCGTTCCACCAGGATGGACGGTAAATATAATACAATATTAGTAATTTTAGTAAAATTGCAACTTTTATTGAAATCATTGAAAGAAATATGCAGATCACTAAATGTTAATGACTTTGAACTTCCTAACCTTAACTTTCACCGCTGTGTTGCAAAATGGTAAATAATCGAATCCAAATATGTGCGCTGTTTACTCTTACATTAGGAAAGCTATCTGAAAATATAATGAACTTTCATTTATTAATACCACAAAAAGAAATTGCGTGTGTCACTGTATCGATACACTTAAACTTCATCATTGAACCCTACTTATATTGCCATAGTCCTGTTACATGCTATCATAGCATGCGATTTTGCAATCGATGCTGGTATTGGTCACTTTCATTTTGCTTTTTACAACAGTCGATGTTTGTTGGAATGTGACATATATTTATTGAACTATTCTATCTCAACTGTTCAATACCTTTATTCCTTCTATAAGCTACGTGTTTATTACAATTTCCTGTCTGCTTTTATTGAAAAATCTTGTTTCACTGATCTATATACCAATAGCAATGAACTGTATGGTTGCTGCAAATTACTTGTGTTATGTTTAAATGTGTTGTTTTCATATAGTTTTGCATTTTTCTTAAACAAGCCATATATTTCATGTATTTGCTACTTTTGACTTCCATGACATGACATTTTGGCGAGTTTCTATGACTTGGGATGACTTTCTCTTTTCCTTGCTTGTTCACTTTTAAGCTCACCTGAGCTAGCTCAATGTGAGCTTTTAGGATTGTTGAATGTTTGTCGTCCGTCGTCTGTCGTCTGTCGTCCTACCACACTTGTTCGTTAACACTCTAGCGGTCACATTTTTGTCTCAATCATCATCAAACTTGGTCAGGATCCTTATCTAGTTAATAGCTCGGAGGTCATCTCGAATGAAAAACTAGGTCACCGGAGCTAAAAATAGAAAAACATTGTTAACACTCTAGCGGTCACATATTTACCTCAATCATCATCAAATTTGGTCAAAATTATTGTCAATGTATCAGCTCGGATGAGTTTCATAATGGATTATGACAGATGAAAAACTAGGTCACAGGAGCTGAAAGAAGAAAAACATTGTTAACACTCTAGTGGCCACTGTTTTGATTTAAATATCCTGTAAATTCGGGTCTGAAAGTTTTTTTGATGATTTCTAGGTCACCTGTCATGAAACATGGTTAGAATGCTTGTCTGGGATGAGTTCGATGGGTTTGGTGAGCGATCTAGGGCCATCATGGCCCTCTTGTTTAAAGTGTTTGTTTTTTAGTTTGTCGTTGATGCACTGGATATTTTATGAAATTATACGTCTTTAACCACACTTCTTAATTCTGAGCAGGTTTTCCAACACAGATTCGATGGGTCTCTTGACTTTTACAGAAACCGTTCTGAATATGTAAATGGTTTCGGAAAAATGGACGGCGAATTTTGGCTGGGTAAAACAAAATATTATGTTTTGTTTTCCTTTATCAAGTTTTTGTTTTGTGACACAATTATCACAACAGTCATTATTATAAATCCGGCATTGCTGTTAATTTAAAAGAAATAACCTAAATGTGGGTCACTATAGATACTATTTATTGTCACTGAACTAGGTGATGTGATAAAAAGTCTTGGAGAGATTATGGAAGATAGTATGTGATTTAAACATAACCTAGTCCATAAAACAATCATTTCACTTAGAAATAAAGCAAGAATACAGTTTCTTTCAAGCTTTACATAAAATAGTTTGTATAATTGGACATGTTAACTGCTAAACATGCCATACTATATTTAGACATGTTTAATTGTAGCCCGAAGTTACTCATAACAATGAAATATTTTACATGGTAGAATATAAAAAGTTGGCGATTAATAGATATGTTTCATGATGTGTATCCGGGCTATGATGATGACTCAATTCTCAGATGAAATTAAACACTTGTAGTACTGAAATAGTGAAAGCATAGTGTTTTTTTTTTAAACATTAGCAATATAAAACTCAAAAGGATTTTGTAGAGAGAAAACAATGACAGTTGGTAAAACATTTCGATCCATTGCTCAAAATTGCATAATTGGCACTGTCTATTAAGGTAGTTGTGTAAATTTATGATAACTACTCTGATCCTCTGTAAACAATCACAGTAGTGACTCAATGCTCGTCTAAACAATTTCAATTATAGTTTGAGTTTTAGCCTTGACTTTGTAATAACAAAGGTAATTGTAATCAACATAAGGACACTATAAATATGGTTATGTTCATTGAAATATTTATACTAAGTTACACTGTCTGTATTGTCAACTGAGGCTAGCATTATCATCTGTGGCCTGACCATTTGGACACTATACTGTTATAACTATAATCCTATATCGTTCAACGATTAAATTCTAAGTTCATTTTTTCAACAGGTCTTCGTTACATTGAAGAAATTGCGTCACAGTATGAAAGTGTACTGCGGCTTGATCTCACTTCTGCCAATGACTCACACGTGTACGAAGTTTTCCAAAATTTCAGCTTGTCAAATACTTTAAACTTCACTTTGCATCTAGGAAATCTAACAGTCGAACAGGTACCAGGTAATTATATGATGATATCTTTGCAAATAGCATTTTAATAATACACTACTTCTCTTTACTTTCATAAACATTCATAGAAAATAATGTATTCATAATTTTAGGGAAAAAACAAGTGTCTGGCCTAGTTAAAATGCCAAGGTTGCCAATCATATATAACTAGCTAAAAACTGCGGTTTTATGGTATTTGATTTACATGCGCATATGTTATCTCAATATACATGTATAAATCCTCTAAGTAACACAGAATCAATGGGGAAATTGAATATGCTTTCTAGTTGGACAAGTCACGATTTTAGACCAACAATCGTCAATAGCGAATCTGTTAACACAACCGAGACAGATATATGTTCCATAAAGACTTTATCAATTTTACTTAGCATTATGTTCTGTGGTGATTTAAATGTTGACAGTGCTGTTAAATTTACCAAAATAGTATGAACATATCTTAATTCAAATTAATTACATGAGTAATGTTACTTATCCTTTTCTTTAACTTAAAGAAAGAGCCTTCTTAAATCTCTATCGTTATTTTTGTTGTTGATATTTTTGTCGTTCATGGGACGCTTTAGTATAGTTTCATTCTGACCTGTCTTACGGTTTGTCACCGTACATACAACAACTTAGATTTAGGTTGTTTATTGTTTATACAATATTGCTCATTTAAGGTAGCCACAATGGACTCCTTTATCACAACGGGCAGGGCTTTACCACATATGATAACGATGTCGACGCCTGGCCAGTAGGTAATTGCGCAAGGCTTAATAAAGCTGGATGGTGGTACATTGGATGCGAATATGCAAACTTAAATGGCGAGTATGGAAATCCACCAGGGTCAGTTAATTCTCTTAACAACGGCGGGGCAGGCTTCATTTACTATACATGGCAGCAATATTATACCCTTAAAGCTTCTAAAATAATGTTCAGAAAGCAATACCAATAAAGAACTATTACTGTTATACTGTTTCTTTTGATTTGAATACCATCTTAAGCAGCTGTTGTTAATAATGTAAAGTTGATGTCTACGTCTAAGTTTCTGTTCAAATACAATGTAATAGTTTTTTTTGGAAAGATAATTTCATCAGATGAGTCAGTAGATCTGTACAAATCACTAAAGACGTTTTGTTCTACCGGTAGCTTATAAACATGTATACAGTACACATGTACTAATAAGAATCAACGAAATAATCTTTCAAAATACATGTAGTAAAATTGCTGTACTCATAAAATATCTTGTTTTCAATTCAATGTTAACCTCATTTTATTATAACAAAAATATTGCAAAACCAAGAAAGCAAACTGAGACTTGATGATAATAGTAAAGTGATGATGATATTGATGACGACGACTATAATGATGATGATGATGATGATGATGATGATAAAACAAATAAAGAACATCCATAACGTGTAGTCTAAATACTGTCAAAATTATGACGAAAGGGACAGTGCCAATTAAGTACCGTAAACAATGGTAAGTTGACACATTTATCAATGACAAATGAACAAGAACATACATTTGATATCTTACTGTTTTAAAATATTTGAGGTCATTTGAGATCAATGATTAAAATATTTTCAATGTTCAAATTCAATACTGTTTAGGTTAGATATATATAGGGTAATAGATGTTTAATATCAAATAATTCTTTCTTGTGAAGTGATTAAAACAAACAGATGTATTTATATGATGTGATACAAAAGATCATCAGGCTGACAATTGTATATGTTTGTTAGATTATATATTGACTTAATACAATTGTTACCAGTGTTTTTGTTTAATTCGGATTTAATGTAAAAATCGCACAACAAATCTGACATAAGCAGGTCTAAAATTTGCATTTGTGACATATAATTTTTACATTGATAATACATTATTTCTGGAGTGTTATTCGGCTGCGTTCTATTTGTTGATCTTTCAGGGTAATAGTGTTCTGACTTGTTAAGCGGATAATTAAATTTATCATGCTCAAATCTTGTTCTTTGCTAAATACTGTAGGCTGACAGCTTTTGTGAATACCGAAATGCATATGTTGCTCTTGCTGAAACGAATCGGTGTGTTGCCATTATGTTTTGTGACCTAAATGCATGCAATGTTGATAGATACTAGAGCAATGCCAACTTCTAGTATGCGTTATGCAGAATATTTCTCGATCTTGCAAGAAGTTATCTGAACATGAATGCCTCAGGAAATTTCTGTAAAAACCGACCTGTACACGAGTTTAAATAGGTGACTGATGGAAGTCACTGGTAGAAAATATTTTATTTGCATCGAAAGTCTCACTTTCATGAACAGTAATGAATACTGCCTACGTGCATGATGCATGACACATATCAACTTATCATACATTTGTCTCTTACCTCTATTTCAGAAATTATTAGGGATAAGAAGTCGGTCAATTGCGGAGGAATTGGTAATTACTTGTTAGTTATCCATGAAAGCTGGTTAGGTGGATCGACCAAAGAGATATGGCCAAACACATCAGCGGAAGAACATAAAACTATGAAAGAAACAATCTGGAAGATACATATCAGCCGCGTCACAACAAAACAAACATAGTGCATTTGCGACCAGCATTGATCCAGACCAGCCTGCGCATCCGCGCAGTCTGATCAGGATCCATGCTGTTCGCTATCAGTTTCTCTACTTGTAATAGAGTTGGTAAGCGAACAGAATGGATCCTGATCAGACTGCGCGGATGCTCAGGCTGGTCTGGATCCATGCTGGTCACAAACGCACTGTGTTGGTTTTGTCGTGATGCGGCTCATATCAATTATCACTACATTTGTGCCAATATGTAGTTACGTTGTTAAGGTCATATTTAGATCCTTTTGAAAATGATTGGGAATGTCTGCTCTAACTTGTAAAAATTGCATATTATTTGCAAAAGTACATAACAAGCTACATGCTTCCGTGTTTGCATTTTCGTTTTTTTTTTTTTTTTCATTGGGATTTTGTTACGTTTATTAAGTTGGTTGGTATAAACCCTTGTGTATGTCATTATTTCTTCTTTGAAACTGTAGTCACTGTTCTTTAAAGCAAGCTTGATCATATTATATAAGTGAATTCCATCTTAAAGTAATACTGTATTCTAGCACGAAGCCTGGTGAAACATAAACGGCCATAACACCAAACTCAGCAATAATAATATTTGATATTAAAGATGTGGCTTAATCTATCTTGAAGACTTGCTTACTACAGGAAGGTCGTCCTAAACATGTTACTGTTTATTCTGCCTAAGCGCAATATTGTGTAACACAACGTGGAGTCTCTTGAGACATCTAATCGTACACGTGTCGCAGACCTGTAACCCTGGCTTAAAACATATTTATCATTTCATTTGAGTCCATGCAAAATAAAACAATACTCAAACCCCTTGCACCAACTTTAATAGTCTTTCTTTAACAAATCAACGATTCCGGATGATCTCAAATTACATAAAAATACTGCGATACGGGAGAACGTTTAACATCCGCTTCACAACAATCAACACCTGTTTATGTTAGTACAGTACAATTTATCTTTAAAGTTAAGAAAACGTCAATTTGCAGATTGATAGATATAATCTCTTTTCTGTTTATGATAAATGGTAATCATTTATCAGCAACATTTAACATAATATGACTGTTTTTATTTTCCTTTTCTCACGTTTTTTTGCCATTATGTTAAGTACGTGACTCTATATCTTCATCTTCTGCTTTGGTTTTAGACTATTTCTCTTGAGGTTGATATTATAACATAATTATCGTGTATCTTATAATATCCACTGGAAATAAGTTAATTTAAAATTGGTTGTTATTGAAAGCACTATCATGAAATGACGACTTAATTGAGCTAAGAAATAGTAATTTGATAAGTGGCGATACCAATTTAGTAATCGTAAACCAATAAATTTACGAGTTTCGTTTATTCTTAATCAAATTATTGAAGCATAAGCAAATTAATTTTTTTTTTTACAAAACATTTACTGGTAGATATATTTGGTAGATGTTGACGATTACGTTACCTTTAATGACATTATGTTACCAAATTTTTCAATAACGTATGTTACCGCCACGTGCCCGGATGATATCCTCAATCCTTCTTCTCACACTACCAGTAAGGCGTCTAATGGGGTAAATTTTGCCATTCGTGGTGCAGAACTTGTTCCAATTGTTGCAGGTTGACAACAGGTGGTTTGTACCATTGCCCAAATAAGATTTAAAATTTCAGTTGTGGTCGTGTCAAAATTGAGGCAAAATGCCAGATGTGCTTAACTTATTTGCAGGTGTTAATTTTAATGTTACGAAGGAATATTGAACTTTTACTTAAAGAAAACATTTAAGGGGTTAGACAGGAATGCTACTATTAAATGTTATAAGTATTTCTCTCCATCTGTTTTCTTTTGATATATGTTGCATCAGTTTCATTTGTTAGCTGCCGAAAAAAATATGTCCCTTTATGAATGTGTACATAACTTTTGACTTAAACTAGAACTATCAGTAAATGTGATTAATACCGTGCAAGACTGCTTCGGAAATGAGGAAGTTACTAGTAACAGAATACCTTGTAAAGAATTTTAATATAGTTATGGTTGTCGGCAATTAAAGATAGTTGTGGTTCTTGTACGTTGCATTTCCTTTCACTGATGAAGTTGAATTACTCTGCAATAAGTCCAGATAGAGTTATAGTTCTTGAGCACTGCACTTCCTCTCATTGCACTTGACCATTGTATGAAGCTGCATTGATTTTCAAACATCAGATTTTAAGTTATGCATCGGACAAAGTAAATGAACAAAGGGCAATAACTTTGCAAATACTGAAGATAGAATTTTGATTATTCTACACTGAACTTCCTCTCATTGTGCTTGTATTGAAATCCATCAACTAGTTTTCAAGTTATGCATTGGGCAAGAAAAAGTAACAAAGGGCAATAACTATTTAATTAGTCCAAATAGAGTTATAGTTCTTGAGCACTGCACTTCATTCAACCTCGTTTGATTATTGTATGAAGTTTCATTGATTTTCAAACATTAATTTTCAAGTTATATAAATAAGTCAAGAAAGAGTTATGGTTCCTGTATACTGTCCTTCCTCTCAATATACTTGACCATTGTATGAACTATAAATTCCAGGAGTAATATTTTCCGCAGACGTTGAGGACATTTGGGACTTAAACGGACATGAAATTCTTATTAAATGTGAAAAATTAATTAATGTATGGTCTAAGCGTAATTTAACTCTTTTTGGAAGAGTCACAATTATAAAATCTTTGATTATTTCAAAATTTGTACAACTGTTTATGTCATTGCCAAATCCTTCAACAAATCAAAAGATTCTTATATCGGTTTTTATGGAAAAAAGGTCCAGATAAAATTAAAATATCAGTTATAGATACAAATATAGAGGCAGGTGGTATTAAAATGTTAAATGTTAGAGCCTTTATGAACAGTTTAAAGTTAAGTTGGATCAATCGTCTATTGAACGAAAATGGCGAATCTTGGGTTACCCTTTTCTCCTTTGAATATAACCAAAGTGGTAAAACTTGGTCCTGGTTATGCATCAGTTATATCTGAAGAACTTTCAAATATTTTCTGGAAACAAGTGTTGAAAACATGGACTAATTTTTGCAAAAAAGTAAACATTGAAAGTATCGAAGATATATTATATTCACCATTATGGTTTAACACTAGATTCCGTAACACTAATTTATTTGTTTAACAATTGGATACATCGTAATATAATTTATTATATACTGATAAATGAAATATAGAGAAATAGTGATGAAATAAAATGCATATTTTCATTTTCCGTATTTTCACTGTAAAAATTTATTTTTCACTGCAGTGAAACATACTTTCCGTACTTTCACTGGTGTCTTGTCGGACTACTTTCTTTTAAATTCTGCCAGTACACAAAATTAAGGGAAAGTCTTTCAAATTTTAATGTCAAAAAAGAGAAAAATGTATATAATAAACAGAAAATTCAAGTTTTTTCTATAAATAAACGATTTATTTTCATCTTGTGGCATGAAAATTACCATATTTCACTCGTGGCTAACGCCACTCATGAAAGATTTATTTTTATACCACTCGGTGAAAATAAATCATGTATTTATAGAAAAAACTTTAATATCCTCTATATCTATTATTGACTTACATGACAATGACGGTAATATTTACAGTATTCAAAAATTGAAAGATAAGAGGTACATTTTAAGATATTCAACAAGTCATTTAGTCCATCCCTTTTTTTATGGAGAGAAAAGATTAGGAACAGTAAAGATAAAGTATTTCTATACAAGCAAAACATTTCATTAAATCCCTATCTTAAATGTGTTATATACATAATATAGTAAGGGTTGCAGATTCTTTTATGATATCCTTATTGAAGCTGACAATTTTGTTGTTCCTAACAAATGGGTAAATTCTGTAGGACCTATATCACAGAAGGAGTTTTTAAATTATTGTACAAGCTTAAATACTGTGAAAGAAATAAAGTTGAAAAATTTTCAGTATAAGATTAATAAAAAAATTCTTGTGACAAATACATTTTTACATCGAATAGATATTAGAGATAATGATTTATGCTCATATTGTAACATTGATAAAGAAACGATTGAACATTTATTCTATCAATGTCCGTATACCAATATTTTTTTTTAGAATTGAAAGACTGGCTTAAAGATAAGTATTTTGTCGAATTTGACATTTCAGACATGAAAGGCATACTGTTCTTGTATTATGGAAACATTCTATTTTGAATTTTGTAACATTATTAGCAAAATACTATTTTTATAAAACAAAATTTAGGGAAAACTGTCAAAATTACTTAAATATAAATATGTTTAATATACTTAAAAGTAAAATAAAAAAAATCAAGAATATATAGCTTTTTTAAATGGAGATGTAATTTCTTTTCATAATTCGTGGCAAAATCCTATTAAAAAATTATCCCTTATATTTTATGTCAGAAAACCGATAAGGAGATTATAGCAACATAAAAGGTTTTTAAAATATAATCAGACAACCTAAATGAGAAACATACTTACAGGCCTCTATAGGAACAATGTTTTTTTTTTTTTTTTTTTTTTTTTTTTGTTTGGTTTGTTTTTTATTATCAATCAATGTGACTTTATATTAATATATATCTTTACTCATATATTAGTAAAAAACAAATACTTATGTGTACTTGACTATATTTATTATATCTATTAATATTGTTGCATTATTATGTAGCATGTCATATTTTTATAGCCCATGAGTTATTATAATTTACAATTTACTTAATCGTGTTGTCCTGGTCAAATTGTGTGTATATTGTGTGTGACGGGGACAATAAACGAAGTTACCTGTTGGGCTTCAAAAAAAAAAAAAAAAATTAATTCCAAACAGTAGAGTTCATGCTATACTCTGCAATAAGAAAAAAGTAACAAAGGACAATCACTCTATTATTACTCCGGATAGAGTTGTGGTTCGTGTGCACTGTGCATTGAATTCCAACCATTAGTTTGCAATTATGCACTTCACAAGAAAAGGTAATGAAGGGCAATAACTTTGTGATTAGTCAAGATGGAGTTATTGTTCATGTGCACTGCACTTCCTCGCAATGTGTTTGATCATTGTATGAAGTTGTAATGAATATCAACCATTAGTCTTCAAGTTATGCTCCGGACAAGGAAAATACAACGGACCGCTTGACCGAACGACCGACCTACCTACCGACCAACCGACCGACCACCGAGTGACTCCTATATACCCCCCCCCCCCACACACACTTTGTTTCGGGGGCATAATGATGAAAATATCCTGTGAAAATATTCTTTGTGCAAGTGTAGGTATTATTCTAATATGGCAACAATGTCTAATAACTGAATATAGATCTGTAAATTGACGTTGCAAAAACAAAAGCGCGTCATTGTATGTGGCCAAACACTAAATCTTTGCAAATACATTTGTAATATCTAATTTAAAACATGGTAATAAAAGGCTCTGTTCGACGTAGACGGGGTTTTATTGCAACTTACATCTCACAATATTTGAGTTTTCAGCTTATTATACAAACAAATAAATATATTTATATACAGATAAATAAATTTATATATATGTAGATATATACATATAAATATGTACAACAACTTAGACTTGATACGAAAATTATTGTTTTAAAATATGATCCGGTTAGTCTACAAACTTCCCAAATATCGATCATAATAAAAAGAACAAAACAATTAAACATAGCGTATTTTAATGGAACTGTTTTCTGAACATCATTTTGGAAGCTTTAAGGGTATGATATTGCTGCCATGCAATGAAAATGAAGCCTCCAAATCCTTTATTGATAGTTGAAATTGATCCTGGCGGTCTTCCATACTCGCCATTAAGGTTTGCCGCATAGCACTGACTGTACCACCAAGCGCCATGATTGACAAGTGCGCAGCCAGCATTATACCATGCGTCAACATCGTGATCATATGTGCTAAAGTCTTGTCCGTTTTGATTAAGGAGTCCTTTGTTATAAAAAAAAGCAATCATTTATGTATGCAAATACTACATAATTCTATTATGCTCAAGTGTTATTTTCAAGCTTTTATTTCGTAACTGAATATGTATTCAAGTTTGAAATTGGAAAATAATTAAGTGTGGAAGTTTAAGATCCGTACCCTTTTTATGAATTTCATCATTATTTGTAAATATTTCAAATACTATTCTGTATTCATTAATTGCGGTTGTTACCTGATACATTTAATGGTTTGACGGTTTGGTTTCCGATATGCATTGTGAACTTCGGATATTTTGACAAGCTAAAATTTTGATACACTTCGTGAATGTGCGAGTCATTGGCAGCAGTGACGTCAAACCTGAGAGCACTGTCATATTGTGACGTCATTTCTTCGATATAACGTAAACCTGTGAAATGAAGCATTTGGTAATACATTGCAAATCGATTGTCATATATTAAATGAATCAGTTTCAAGAGGATTGTGCCATACTCTTGAAAGCTTCTGGTTTAACTGCCAAAAAAACTGCAGAGAATTAACCTTATATACATGTAAAGTCAATTGCCGCCAAAGTAGGCCTTACGTATGCGTTCATCCCTTCTTATGTTTTTGTATGTAAAGGTTGGTAAATGAACCAATTGCAAGACACGATGTGTTTCGAAATAAGAGCATAGCCGATATACCATCACCAATATTAACCCTTTGACCTTTAAAAGCAGATCAATCAGATTTTTACCAGAAAACTTTGAAAATTGTATTAACTATACTGTCGCTAAACATAAAATAAGTTATTTTCATTTTTTTCTGTTTTATAATGATCATTCCTGAAGTGGTTATTTTACAAAGGTTTTTAAGTTGCTTTAAACGCGCTTAGAGAGAGGTCGAACCTGACGATATTGCCGAAATAGCACAACACACCAGTGATATTTTCATTAAAAATTTAGGAATTAGGATAACAGAAACAATAAAAAACTTGTTTCACCTAGCCAAAATTCTCCTGTCATGTTACCAAAACCATTCTCGTATTCTGAAAAGTTTCGATAGAAGTCAACGGAACCATCAAATCTATTTTGGAAAACCTGTTTTAAGAAAAGTTAAAAGGTATGTAAAACTTACAACAAAAAAGACATACGATGGTATCAACCGAAGAGGCCGTGTCAGCGGAACGAAAATGCAAATATCATGAAAACCATAAAAAAACAACTTGTTCCAATAAACATGCATAATTTTGCAGCAGTTGTTAAGTGGCTGCACTAATTATGTAGACCATTATATCTAGGTACAAGAAGCATATATGCCATTGCAACAAAGTTATAGGTAATTCAAATCGACATAACTATGGGTAATTCTATTAAGAATATTGTGGACTAAACATAAATATTATTGCACGAAACATATCGGTTATCGAAAAAATGTACAAAATGTAGGTCATTGCAAGAAACATAAAAACCATTGAAATGAACAAATTGACCATTGCATCAAACATTTAAGCATTGCTCACGTATATACATAAGTTGCTATAAGTAAAACGGCCAGAAAAGTAAGTAGTGAGAAATTTGCAACAAACATATAGTGAATACTGTGTTACCAAGAAATATTAGACAACTTTATATTAGGCATTTTGACAACTATTGAAACAAGAGGGCCAAGATAGTCCTAGATTGCACACCTGACCCATCAAACTCATCCGAGCAATTACATAGACAAGCATCATGACCAAGTTTCATGACAGTAGACCTAGAGTGTTTCCATATTTGAGCAGTGTGACCTAGTTTTGACCCCAGGTGACCCATATTCAAACTTGACCTAGAAATACTAAAATCAAACTTTCAGAACAATTTCCAGGGTATTTGAATTAAAACAGTAGCCTCTAGAGTGTTATCAAGATTTTCTCTTTTTAGCCTCTGTGACCTAGTTTTCTATCCGAGATAACCCATGCTCAAACTCATCCGAGCAATTATCTAAACAAGTATCCTGACCAAGTTTGATGAAGATTGAGGCAAAAATGTGACCGCTAGAGTGTTAACGAACAAATGTGGACGGACGACGGACATTCATCGATACTTAAAGCTCACCCTCAGCAAGCTTAGGTAGCTAAAACACAATTGTAATGATAGCGAGCCGTGATGGTATGCTTATATGGATAAGTGCAATTTAACAAGCATATAGTGTACAGGTCATGGAGACCGCAGGTGCCCTTTTGTTTTATTCTTTTCGGCGTTAGGCATTCTTGAAATGTATGACAATTTTTGGGATAGCTTCTTTTCATATTGCTCGTATTCGCCAGTAAATTGAAAGTAAGTCAAACTAAGGACAATCAATAATTGACATTTTGGCATTTTACGTGAAGTGATGCACATTGAACTATGACTTAAATAGTAAAAAATAGCAGTATCATTTTCTATTATCATTATTATTATTATTATTAATATTACTATTATTATTATTATTATTATTATAATCTTTACCGTCCATCCAGGGGGAAATGTTGACATATCACAGTAAACTTCTATAGTTACGTTAGACCGCCAAAACGTTATATTATATACACCTGATTTTGTACCAATGGCATTTGTGAAAATATCAGCACAGTCTGAGGGTCCACCTATACAAGAACAAGAGGGCCATGATGGCCCAAAGTCGCTCACCTGTATATAGGCCCCTGGAGCGGGGCCAGTTTAAACCCCAGGGCTTTTATTTGAACAAAATTGGTTGTATATGTATGCATGTGTATATATATATATATATATATATATATATATAAATATTAAATATATATGTATATATATAATATGTATATATCTAAAAAAAAAAAGTCAAGCTAATGAATGACCCCCGGGGCGGGGCCAATTTTGACCCCAGGGCTTTTATTTGAACAAACTTGGTAGACACCCATGAGAACATGTTTCATGCTAAATATCTTAGCTCTATCTCTTTGAGTTCTTTAAAAGAAGATTTTTTAAGTTTTTACTATATGCACATAGGGAAAATCAATGACCCCCGGGGCGGGGCCAATTTTGACCCTAGGGCTTTTATTTGAACAAACTTTGTAGACACTCATTAGAAGATGTTTCATGCTAAATATCTTAGCTCTAGCTCTTTGGGTTCTTTAAAAGAAGATTTTTTAAGTTTTAACTATATGCATATAGGGAAAATCAAAGACACCCTGGGGCGGGGCCAATTTTGACCCTAGGGCTTTTATTTGAACAAACTTGGTAGACACTCACTAGAAGATGTTTCATGCTTTATATCTAAACACTAGCTATCTGGGTTTTTCAAAGAAGATTTTTAAGTTTTTGCTATACACAGTCATATAAGGAAAATCAATGACCCCCGGGGCGGGGCCAATTTTGACCCTAGGGCTTTGATTTGAACAAACTTTGTAGACACTCACTAGAAGATGTTTCATGCTTAATAGCTAAACTCCAGCTATTTGGGTTTTTTTAAAGAAGATTTTTTAAGTTTTTGCTATACACATATAAGGAAAATCAATGACCCCCGGGGCGGAGCCAATTTTGACCCCAGGGCTTTTATTTGAACAAACTTGGTAGACACCCATTAGAACATGTTTCATGCTAAATATCTTAGCTCTAGCTCTTTGAGTTCTTTAAAAGAAGATTTTTTAAGTTTTTACTATATGCATATAGGGAAAATCAATGACCCCCTGGGGCGGGGCCAATTTTGACCCTAGGGCTTTGATTTGAACAAACTTGGTAGGCACTCATTAGAAGATGTTTCATGCCAAATATCTAAGCTCTAGCTCTTACGGTTTTTTCGAAGAAGATTTTTTAAGTTTTTCTTATTGGTTGCCATGGCAACCAGAGTTTTTAATGGAATTTAAATTTTTGAACAACTTTGAAAGGGGTCCACCTAAGGATCATTTCTGTAAAGTTTGGTTGCAATTGGCCATGTAGTTTAGGAGGAGATGTTGTTTGAAAAGTTTGACGCCATTTTTTGAAGGACGCACGACGCACGACGCACGACGCACGACGGACGCAGAGTGATGACAAAATCTCACCTTTGAGCACTTCGTGCTCAGGTGAGCTAAAAAACGACACAGTGAGTTGTTACGGGGAAATGTTCCGGCAATGCGCAACTCAATATTCTGCTTTACTTAAGAAATAATCCAACTATCTGCTCAATTGTTCTGATGCATATGCCCTTTCAGATTTAGAAACAATAAAATAACCTAGTCTGAATAAAGCTGATGGTATCTGCTACATAAAACCTTTGTCTTTCCCTAAAGCTATATATAGTCTAAGATAAAAGTACACCAATTTCAAAAGCAGAGGTAAAAGAGACTGTAACGCCAAGCATTTCTATATTATTAAATTCTATCATGAATTTACCTTTAAAATCCGGCTTAAATGGCTAACTTAACGTATACATTGTCACTTATATACTTATAAAGTTGAAGCAAGCATCCGACTGTTTGCTAGCAACTGGTTAAGCCAGCGAATCAAATATGGCTTGAATGCACAATTATATCATTTAAAATCAAAAGTCAAGCGGCTTTTTAAAACATTATTAAAGATTTTGCGGTTATTCTGATTTTAAAATTACTCTTGTTGATGAAAATGAATTTTAAGATTTTCTGTTTTAGAACCTTGACGATAATGATGTTAAGTAGCCAATATCTTTAAGAATGAAGACTGTACAGATAACAACAATGCTTGAAACTCATCTTCAATACTTTAACATAAATGACATAAACGCTTTGACCTTAAGTTTTTGTATCGCCCTGTTCCAAACGGTAGAGGTGCCACACTACACCTAAATAAACTTAACATTGACTTATGTTCTAGAGGTACTATTTTCCAAGTTCATATTAAAAGAATATCATAAAAATCATATCAATATTATAACTGAATAAATTTAGAACATTTTGATAAGTAAGTTACATGGTCACTGACGTTGATTTTCACTCCTTTCAAAATTTTCAAAATAACTGGTTTATTTAAACTAGATAAAACGCGGTGTTGAAAATAGCCCAAATTACAGCAACTTACGAGTGTCACAGGTGATGCCGTTATAGTGATTGTCGCAAGTACACGTAAACCCATTTGGTGTATTCTCACATACCCGTGTTTACATGGATTTGAAGAACAATAATCTTCTGGTGGAATAAATATAAGTATTGACAGTGAGATAGACGAATAATTGTTAAAAATGTATAGAAAACACAGGCAAACATATATGTTTGACAAAATAATAACGACCACATACTGTGTTGATCTTTCGAATAGTATTTCCCTTTTCACTAACAGTAAAACAAAGTAAATGAACTATTTAACTGTAATTAATTACGCATTGCACTTCAAATTAAAACAATCTGAAATTTATAATAATTATCAAGATTGCAATTTGAAATATACAGATATGACAAAACAAAAAACCAGGCACTATAAGCTTAAAATCAATACAAAATAGTAAGGACTACATAACACTACAAAAGGCTTAACACGCGAATAAAACACATACTTACTGGGGGTTGTTTTTGTTTCATTGCATCCTTTAAAGCATAAATCACCATCACAACATCCACTGCAAATAGTCTCCGTCAAAGAACGGCGGTTCGTTATAGTACGCCTGTTCTTTGACGTGTAGCTCTCGAATGTGAATCCTTCTACATCTCGACCTACTATGGAATTTTCGTAGTTTGTGCTGTGTTGACACACCTTACGGAAGTAGGAAAAAAACAGCTTGATGAAATAGCGTGTACAGAGTCATAAGTCAGAAAGTCAAGGCGCCATACACCAACAAACCCTGAATCTGCTTTTCACAGCTTCAAGTTTGGCAGGAAAACCTTTTTGCGGCATAACCAAGTAAAGATCTCTTGCTGCGTTGGTTAATATCTTTTCAGGATAAAACGTTGTTTCCTTGAGTAAGAAAAGTTATAATACTCATTGATCAATACTTGATGGTACGCAATGTCGCCGGAGACGTATAAACCACCATGTTTTACAAAGTTTGTTCGACACAGCAAGGACCTTTTTGACTCCAGTGGCCGGAAGCGTCCATGGTTTGACTTTTCATTCTACCCCTTGTTTTTCTATAAAAGTCGAGAAACATAAAGAAATCCGCGGCATTTTTACAAGTGTTGTAGAAATTCTACAAAACGTAGACAGGGAAAAAAAATATTATTATAGGCCGCGACTTTTTGTTCCTCAACAACGGTCTTTATAAAATATTGCGGTGAGTAATAGCAATTTTCAGCCGCGACTTTTTGCGCAGAGAAATTTCCCTGCATAAAAAGTCGAGGCCTAATGCTCGAACCTCGACATGTTATGCTTAAATATATCGCGGATTACAATAGCCGCAATCGACTACCTAAAGTAAGCATGTGTTGGCGTGGCTTATGATTGTTTTGTAATAAGTCTTGTTTTGTCCAAGTATAAATCAAATACGTACAAAATATATCAATTATGACAATTTATCCAAAATTCAATGATTTGTCCATGACGGTAAATGTCATTTAAATCTAATATTTTGTTCTTCCCTGTAAATATATCAGAAATTCAAACTGATTTTAGATGACCTGTGGCCAAAAAGAATCATAAGGAAGGGAGAACAAATAAGATGGCATAAACTTACATGTTTGTTAGAGCATTCGCTGGTGTAAATAGTATCCCCAAACTCTTTTAATACAGAATACTTGCATACCTGAATATTTGAAAACAAAATGTGTAAATTTATATATCACATGTACTTTAATGACAAACAAAAATTGAGAATATAAGCAAACAATGAATATAATCGCTTTTGTATGATGGAAACAGAACATTTGCAGTCTTTTTTACCTTGTGCCTATAACTTATTATCTTGCGGTTTTGCAATTGAAGACATTAAAAGTTAATATCTTGTGACCACAACTTATTAAATCTAAAAATAATATGATAACTCGAGAGTACGGGAAAAAAAGTTCATAGTTAAAAAATAAAAAACATAATTTTTATATTAGGTTAAACCTTTATTAAATCAGTAAGTAGTATATTGGAAGCTTTTAGGTAGAAAAAGTTATTAGTTATATAATTATACTTACTTCTCCTACTTCACAGAAAGCGATTTCATTACACATATCAATATTCGTATGAAACGGACAGAAGTCACAAATTGGACCTCTGTTTTGTGGATAACCTGTTCAAAAGCAAAAACAATCTGCAGAAGTATACGAAAACGAAAGAAAATTCACATATTCAATATCTTTATTGTACAAGAGGCCTCCGGCCCATACACAGTGTATACAATATACAATACAAATTGGCAATACGAATTTCTAATACAATTATAAAATACCATCTGAATATAAATTATTCAAAACATTTAAGAAAATTATCCCTTTCTTTCATTGCATAATAAATATACATAGCAACATTACGTATCAATGACTCGTCTTCAGTTGCCATCAAAGAGTAGAACTTTTGAACATTCGGATATTGATAATAATACAATATGGTATATAGTAAGAACGTAAATTTGCATATAAAGAACACACAATAAGAAAGTGATATTCGTCCTCTAACATTGATTCACAATACATACAATCACGATGTTCTCTATCAATATTAAAATGTCTACCCTTTTCAACCATTAAACAATGTGAAGAGCTTCTAAAACTAGCAAAACATTTTCTATATTTGTCAATATCTATAACAGAAATATATTTTTCACTTTTAAAGGTAGTCTTAAACATAACATAATGATTTAATTTTACATTTCCTAGACACTTTAATTGCTAATTTTGCACAAACTGGTCTTTTAGACGCTGTTCATATTGCACTATAAATAATTTAGAATTGGCTACAACCTGTGCCTCCCATACGTATCCAAATCCATTTTATATAGGTTTAATCGTATATCAGTCACCCAATTTTTGTATCCAATACTGTCAAAATACATCAGCATTTCATAACATAAGCGTGTATATCTATCTCAACCAAAATCTAATACAACGTTTTGCAGCAAATATATACATTGGGTATCTACCTAGATCGCCAAGAATAGCGTCATTACAAGCAGAAACATTGATATTCAAAAAACGTTTACAAGCATATAATTGTACAGTTTCTATACATTTATTGTCTTTAAGACCCCACAATTCTGATCCATATAACATTATGGATGCTACTTTACAATCAAAAATCTTAAAAAATGTTTTATGCGGTAAACAAGAAATATGTTGAAATGAACTGAGAATATACAAAAGTACTTTTTTCGCTTTGGTGGCCATAGCCTCAGCCATTTTTTACAAAGATAATCTGTTACTAAAATATATTCCAACATATGTGAAACCACTAACAATTTCTAATTGGTTACCATTATACTGCCATTTTTCTCTTCTAGATAACTGACCACCTCTTTTAAATACAAGTACTTGAGTTTTTTTCAATATTAACTACAAATTTACTACTAATGCAAAATTGTTGTAACAAGTTTAGCTGTTTTTGTAGATCGACAATAGTATCTGAAAGTAATGCTATATCATCAGCAAACATAAGTAAAAATACTTCAACAATATCAGGAAAAAGTTGGATACCTCTGATATCATTTGCCACCATTAAAATATACAATTCATTAATAAACAAAGCAAACAAAATTGGACTCAAACTACAACATTGACGAAGTCCTATTGGACATTCAAAAATATTTGAAAGATTCCCATTTGAACGTACACATGATTTAACAGAAAAGTATATACTTTGAATTGTATTATACAATTTACCCGTTACTCCATCTCTTCTTAAAATATCGTATAATATTGTGTGGTTCACGGAATCAAAAGCCTTCTGAAAATCTATAAAGGCTACATATAAAATTCGACGTTTCATATTAAAATACCTAGAGACAATTGATTGCAATACAAATGCGTGATCAATAGTACTATATCCGGCTCTGAATCCTGCTTGGGATTCAGAAAGTTTATTAAAAGCTTCGGCGTAAAAAGTAAGCCGTTTAGTAACAATTGTAATATACACTTTACTAAGTACATCAAGAAGTGCAATGCCCCTATAATTATTGGGATCATTTAAACTTCCTTTCTTATGTAAAGGAATAATAATTGAAGTTAATTGCCCAACTAGTTGGAAATTCACCTTCCGTAAAAAGTCTATTAAATAATTTACGAATATACGGTAATAGATATTGAATACCGTAGGCAAGTTGCTGCGGCAAAAGATTACCACCCGAAGCTTTATTAAGTTTAAGTGATTTGATACTTGTCAGTATCTCTTCATCAGAGATATCAGAATTAAATATCAACTGCTCAATTTCATCAAAATGTGTGTTTAAATCTACATCTTCAGAGCCGGTTTCACTATGCTGATTTGTATTAGTATTAGAAAACAAATCTCTAAAATGATTATACCAGTCATCTAATGATATGTTAGATTCAGTTTTAGATTTAATAAGTACACTAGAAATTATATGTTAATTGATGGGGCCCTTTTTTGCTTCAGTTGAATTTTTTTTTCAACAGAATATGACGTCACTACAGTTTCAGCAGACAACCTTCACTTGCCAGAACATGAAATTACCAGTTTCACTAGTAAATATGGGGTAAGATAAAAAAGTATTTTCAACACACGCAGGCAGCTTTGTATTTTACAATCAATGACAGAACTTTATTTGAAATGAAAATAATTCTTACAATCTATCCAAATTAAAAAAGCAGCACTTGGGAACAGTCGATTGGTGGCGTTCATTGTGTAGAGAAACACATTTTCTGATTACACCGGAATGGACAAAGACGCGGTACCTGCGGGAAGTACTATATAGTATAATGATGATACACAATCAAAAATCGACTTACCAGGAGTACCACAGCCTTGAGAATTACAGATGTCAGTGTTACAGCATTCCTTACACTCGTTACTGGAGGAATTGTTTTGGTCCATAGAACTGTTGTTGCATTTCTGATTACAAAATAGGATACACATATTAAGTATAGAATGAATTACAAAAGTTCCAAAGGGGAACAAAAGACTTTACAATACGTTAATAAACTTCTGAGAATTAAAGAACTCTCTAATAACTATTAAAATGTATATTCACCGATTGATGTATGCATCCAACATTATACACTGTTTGTCCAAGCGTATTTATCACCCTTTCTACACCGCATACCTAGAATAAGTATGGCAAAATTTTACAAAAGAGACAAATTTAAACGTGAATAAAAGGAATTTACATTTACATAACCATACAAAACATATGAACAAACTTATTTGTTGTTTCAGTGCTGACAGGTTTTATAATGAGGATATCCTTGTCTAACAGTAAATTTCCATTTAATTCAATATAATTATTGCTTTACATGATATATCATTTTAAGCAAAATTAATGGTAATTAAATAAATTTTCTAAAACATATATTCAAACATGCATCCACATATTTTTAATCTTGATTTGACTAGGGATTACCGGTTTCATAAAGATAAAATACCATGACGCCAGTTTAATCGAGCAAAACAAAAAAAAGTATTAAAGAAAAAAAAACAACAAACAAACAACAACAAAATACACATTCATTTACCTCTCCTGGGAAGCATTCATCCACGATGTTGCAATGCCTTGGCTGACAAACACCCTTACATTGTAAACATGTCAGGCTCTGTGCTAAATAAAGAATGAAAGAAACGATAAATGTACGTCAATAATATCTGTACCAATAAAAATATATGTAACATGAGTGTACAAGTAGATTACCTTGATTGATCTGACCTGAACTTATATTGCAATGAATATGTAAAGTTTAACATATTTTTGGTATGAAGAAAGCAATTATCAAACAAGAGGACCATGATGGCCCTGAAGTCGCTCACCTGTATATAGGCCCCCGGAGCGGGGCCAGTTTAAACCCCAGGGCTTTTATTTGAACAAACTTGGTAGACACCCATTAGAAGATATTTCATGCTTAACATCTAAGGTCTAGCTGGTCAAGTTTTTTTCTTTACACATATAGTTAAAAACAATGACACACCTGGGGCAGGGCCAGTTTTGACCCAAGGGCTTTTATTTGAACAATCTTTGTAGACACTTACTAGAAAATTTTTAATGCTTAATATCTTAACTCAAGCTATTCGGGTTCTTTCAAAGAAGACTTTTAAGTTTTTGCTATACACATATAAGGAAAATCAATGTCAGCCAGGGCGGGGCCAATTTTGACCCCAGGGCTTTTATTTGAACAAACTTGGTAGACATCCATTAGAACATGTTTCATGCCAAATATCTAAGCTCTAGCTCTTTGGGTTTTTTAGAAGAAGATTTTTTAAGTTTTTACTATATGCATATAGGGAAAATCAATGACCCCCTGGGGCGGGGCCAATTTTGACCCCAGGGCTTTTATTTGAACAATCTTGGTAGACACTTATTAGAAGATGTTTCATGCTTAATATCTTAGCTCTAGCTCTTTGGGTTCTTTAAAAGAAGATTTTTTTAAAGATTTTACTATATGCATGTAGGGAAAATCAATGACCCCCTGGGGCGGGGCCAATTTTGACCCCAGGGCTTTTATTTGAACAAACTTGGTAGACACCCATTAGAACATGTTTCATGCTAAATATCTTAGCTCTAGCTTTTTGGGTTCTTTAAAAGATTTTTTTAAAGTTTTTTCTATATGCATATAGGGAAAATCAATGACCCCCAGGGGCGGGGCCAATTTTGACCCCAGGGCTTTTATTTGAACAAACTTGGTATACATCCATTAGAACATGTTTCATGCCAAATATCTAAGCCCTAGCTCTTTGGGTTTTTTAGTTTTAGAAGAAGATGTTTCAAGTTTTTTCTTTTGGTTGCCATGGCAACCAGAGTTCTGCATGGAATGGAATTCTTTGAACAACTTTGTTAAGGCTTCACACAAGGAACATCCCTGTGAAGTTTCATTATGATCTGCCTTATGGTTTCAGAGGAGATGTCGTTTGAAAAGTGTGAACGGACGACGGACGACGGACGATGGACGACGGACGACAGACGACGGACGAAGAGTGATCCTAATAGCTCACCCTGAGCATATGCTTAGGTGAGCTAAAAAGGTAAATGCCATTGTTGATCCTGCTGCTGCTGTTGTTGTTGTTGCTGTTGTTGTTGCTGCTGCTGACGATGATAATGATGATGATGATGACGATGATGATGATGAGATGAAGACAAATAACAACGACAACAACAATAACAGCAATACAGATAATTAAATAGTGTTATTAACGCTTAAAAAGTTATAACCAATTATAGCAAAAAGAAAGCAAAATTCAATCATTTGACCTTCAAAGTCAAGGTCATTGATGAATAGATATCATAAATAATTAAGTCTTTATAAAGGTCATGTCCTACGCACTATTGTGTTGCAGTGTGAAGATAGTCAATTCATAAATAGCAAAGTTATAGCCAAATATTGCAAAAATCAAGCAAAATTCAAGAACTTGAAGGTCAAGGTAATTTATAAGTGGATGTCAATGTCAGTCTGGTCAGCTTGAAGGTATTGTTCAAAGGGTTGTTGTGTCCATGTAGGAAGGCAATCCATTGAGAGATACAAATGTGACCAACATTAAAGTTTTCTGGCGGCGATTAACGTCATTGTCAACGACAACGTGACTGTAGCAATAGCTATTTTTTTCCAAAAAGTCATGCTAAAATGACTTTAGCAATCATTCTATTTAGCTGCAACCTTTCTCAAACTAACCACCAGTAACCAAAGATTTAAAGCCCTAACTATACCTAGGCATAAAATTATTTCTATATACTATTACTAAGATTAGCAGTTAGATAAAGTAAAGCTCGACATACCTGTTGGTAGAGCTGCTGCGAGAAACAGAAACAGAATCTTAGAGGCCATTTTATTCATTCAATGTATTTTTCTAGTAATACACATTGGGCATAGAGAACTGAATATATCACATACATGTTAATGTAGCTGTGCCGATAAGATAAAGCAAACGGTCAGATACTTACTTAATATGTATTCGTGACGGAAGACCGTTACATATACAATATAACTTTTCTGAAATTTAAGTGTATAAAGGCGTCCAAAGGTAGAGATAAGAATGTGAACCAGTACAAGCTATGCTATGAAGGCAAAAGAGAATTCACATGAACCGTATCATCAAAAGTAGTATTATTTTAAGTTTTGTTAGTAAGTATGATAATTGTATTAAAAATCACTCTGCATTGTTTTCTGAATAGAAGAAAATATCTATAGAGCGTCTTGTTTTAGTGAGATATTGATTATTTAACATATGTCAGCCATTTACAAATACAGTCACTTAATTTAGTAATTTTATGTTTCACAAGCAAAACGACACACGTGCGGTAGCACAACCAAAAAAACCCGTCCAAGACCTAGCCCCAAAATAACTTATCAGAAAATATTTTTTCTTTATTATCTTCAAGACCTACAAGGTGGAGCCATTTTTAAACATGAGCATTTATAGAGGACTATTTTGCAATGCTATATGCCAAATAGAGGAATAGTATTTGGTCACACCTTAGTCTAGTTAAAGCACGTGACTATTGGACTGGTTTATGATTAATATCACTGTTGTAGAAATCCAAAAAAAATATGATAAACAAGATCAACAATGAAAAGCGGCGTTCAATGAACGCAATCCCGAAACGACCTAGCATCAAGAATCAGTGACATTGAGCCCAAGAAAAACGCATGATTAATACCAATTTTGTAGAGGCCAACAAGGCAGCATGTTAATTCTCTAAAGTCTGTTCATTTTTTTGTCTCACCAAAATAAGACAAATGTCAGTTCCTACATAAAATATAATAACTGGACACCCAGTGTGGAGCCAATATTGACCCAAGGGGAATGATTAATACTAGTAATTTTGCGGCCCATAAAGTGATGTCATATGTCAAATATCTAAGCTCTTGGTATAGTAGTATCACAGAATACGTCTCAGATGTGTTTTCAAATGACTCCTGGTGCAGGGCTAATATCAAACCAACGGGCATGAATCTTATCAGGTTTGTAAAGGTCAATAAGGCAATGCTTTAGTGCTATGTATCTTAGCTCTGGACATTGTAGTTTTTACACAATGAAACTTAAATATGTTTTCTTATATAAGTTTAAATATAAATATTGTAATCCCCGGGGCTTGGCCAATTTTTTATCTCAAGAAGACCGAACCTGTGTTCTGCACACCGTCTCATGATAATCTATCAGCTCAAAAGATACAGAGCGGACACAACAATTTGAAATTGGTACAAAATGACCTGGTGTAACGCTGACCTGAGGAAGGTCAAACCTGTGCATTGAACATCGTCTTATTATGGTTAAAACTTTGACAATTTCTTTTTATAGGTCCAAAGATACAAAACTTCTATATAAATCAATGGTAATTTAATAATACCCGATGGCGGGCCAGTTTTAATCCCAGAAAGCCCAAAACTGTGTTTTGCACATCGTCTCATTGCAAGTTATATTTCTGGCAAAGAAAAAAATCAGTTCAAAAGAGACTGAGCGGATACAACATTTTGAAATTGATACAAATGACTAACCTTGCCCTTGACACGAGAAAAGTCAAACCTGCCCTCTGCACATTGTCTCATTATGGTTAACATTTCTGCCAAATAGTTTCAATTTCCTTCCATCGGTTCAAAAAAATACAGGGCGGACACGACAACTGCTAACAGACGTACTGACAGACGACCAAGAGCATAACACTATACGCCGAATTTTTGGCGTATAAAAACATAAAACATCCATTACCTTTCACATTCACTGTCCATAAAATATGCAAAATACATGTAAACGTTCTTATCTCTTTACACTATTTTTATGTCTTAATGATGATTCTGACCGTACAAATTTTAGCAACTGAAATTTGAAGTGGTCGTCATGGTCATGCGACAAGGCTCAGCCCACGTGATATACTTGATTCCTCACTTTGAACCATTCCTTTTAATACTCAAAATACTCCCCACGGTCATTTCCCTTCCGTGTATATCTGATGTCTTACTCTCGGGTAATTTGTGTAAGCCTAAACATACGTAAACTGTAAAAAAATGTAAATACAATGTATACGCATTTTTTACAACTTTTTACATTTAGTGCGACTATGAGTCGAGCCTTATTGTGACTGGTCCAGTCGGAAAACTGCGATCGTTTAGTGTAAGGTGATACGAGTAGCTCTTATGTTGGAACCGGCTCAGAGACAGAAAAGGTAATATTTTAAGGACTAGACTGGAAAACATTTAAGTATATTTCTGTCATATAAAATATCACTGAAATCTGACGGTCAGTGTTACCTTGAATCGAGCCAATATTGAGAGTATTGCTATAATAATATCGTCTAGCTTGGCTTTGGGAAATGGTGGCGAAAGCATGAAGGGTCATTTTTGGGCATCTAAACCGAAAAGCATTGCAAATACATGAACCTAGCCCTTTTGTGCTGTGACTGCTCTAGTTTGAATAAGCGGATATCGTCTCGTTTAAGCTGATACAGATATCTTTCTGGTCGAGACGCTTAGGGTGCGTATTTACCTACAACTATGAAAGACCAAGTTATTTTTATCATCTTTATTTCAATACCTGCTTTTTTCATATAACAAGAACAAAATAAATGCATGTATTATACATTCAATCAATATTTTCACCTTTTCTTCATAAACCCATCACAAATATTCATAAAAAGTCATTTGATTCTTACCAAGGTAAAAAAAATCATCAAGATAAATGAAAAAAATCTACAAAGGCAATTTCGTTTCCGTCAATAAATGTGGTGATATTTTTCTACAGATCATATATGATATCCCTTAAAACTTGCAAATTAAAAAAAAAATGAAATCCTTGAGAAATTTTTATTAAAGTAAACCAAAAAATTAAGTGGTATACCTTCCACTTTGGTCAGTCTACTTCTTAAAGAAGTACAATAAATTAATGCATTTCTATGTTTTAAAATTCCACTATCATTAAAGCGTATGCAATAGATAAATAACAGTGCAGTAATTCAAAATGTCTGTAGATGAAAATCTATATATTTAAAACTATTCAGTAAAATTTTAATCCAATTTTTCTGAACATGTTAGTAAATACAATTTCATATTTATAACAAATTAATAAACTAACTCGTATATTAACAAATGTTTTTTTTTATATAACACTTTATTGTTAAGAACAGACTAGTATTTAAGTCTATACTGAAAACAGTTAAATACATCCAATTCTATATCAGAAACTCTTTCATAGATCCATTTTTTTATTTTTTAATAGATGTGGAAATCCAATTCTTTTAATTTGATTTTAATAAAAATAATAATGACTAACATGTATGCCCAATTTTGTTTTATAGCAGACTAAAATCAGGACAATTCAGTTCTATGGTAAAAACAATATGCATATATGTTTATGACAGTTCTGTTCATCCATTTCTATATATAGAACCAATTTAATATCCAGAAAATTTAGCTCAATAAATCCAATTTTGCATTAAATCTAAAACAGTTCACTGTATCCTATTATATATTAACAACAATTCAGAAAATCCATTTTTTATAATAAGAACAGTGTATTCAGTATATCAAATGTCTCTTTTAGAACACTTCAGCAAATTCAATTCTATTTTTAGCAATTCTATAATAAGAATAAATCAGTACATACAGAGATATATTAACAAAAGTTTATTCAGTAAATCAAATTTAGAACAGTTGAGAAAATTCAATTCTTTATTTTTAAAAATTCAATAAATCCAATTCTTTTTAGAACAATCCAGTAACTTAAAATTCTGTATTTAGAACACTTTCAGATGTTGAAAAAGACCCTTGCCCAACAGCAATGAACTTGGCATGCGGTTTATCTCATGGGCTAGCAAAATATCTTAATACATGTTTAAAGATAGAATTGCCTGGTTACTAGCATGACTTTCATGTAAATTGAATATTTACTTTCATGACTGTATTACAGTAAATCCAATTTTATTCTTGAACCAGTTCCAATTGAATCCAACTCCATATAAACATATAATAGGTTAAAATGAATAAATGAATCAGTCATGTTTCCTCCTTGTATCCTGAGGTTTTCTGAACACAAATATCAATAAAACTACCACAAGTAAACACACAGATGGCACACCAAGTATCAGTAACCAGTTTTTATTTGGGTCTTCTACTTGTTGCTGAAAACAAAAAAGTAACAATCTAAATAAAGATTAAATACACCATTCTATGAATTAGCATCAAGTAAATAGTTGAATATTTAATAGCATTTACATGTACTTTTTCCTTTGCATGTGGGAAGGAGGGCACATATGATAATGAATTTTTACAACCAACTATTCTATGCAATGACTCAATGCAAATATTTGAATATTTAATGGTACAAGCTGCCATTTACCATTTTTCCTTTGTATGTGGGAAGGAGGGGATATGGCACTGATTTTTACAACAATTTTTACAACCATTATAAAAGAATTGAACGCCATTGAAAAAAACCACCTTTTTAAGGGATTGTATAAAGAGCCCCTGTTATAACTGGGGTTGTTTTTTAATATCTGTAGAACAATTACCTCTTTATAACAGCAATATCATTTCTTCCTAAAATATAGATTTCTACTATTTAGAGGAACATCTCTAAGCAACAACCAATATAATTATTTGGGGCTTAACTTTTTAAAGTCCAGCTGTGTTGCACTATTACTAAAAAATATCTACTTACTTTTATATACATTGCTATAGATTCTGTTAAAATATCACTGAAAATAAAAAAGTTGATATTTTTTTTATAAGGAAAAAATATGAAAGGCAATGAACACGTGTTCATATACAGTAACAAATGGAATTTAGAAAATGCGTATAACTAAACAGATGTAATACAGAAAATGTGTACAATATGGAATTTTGAAAATATGTACAATATAACATTTGAATTTGACCCTACGTAAAATCCTCGAAAAAACTGGACAACCCCAAAGTAAGCCCAATTAAACCACCAGTGTGTTAGTAGAATTTAAAAAGTAACATGCAGATAGCTATTATTGCAGAATCTCCAGGTTAGTTCAGACCAAAATATCCAAAATTGCCACCCTGTACATTAAAACATGTATGAGCCAAAGACCACTTTGCAAGCTGAATTGATATAAAAAGAACTTGTCATCTCAGAAAAGATTTGAACCTTCAGTGGTAAGGTACTAGCAAAACATAATATTATACTCACAATGATGTGGGCTCCCTTGGTACAGGTGATGACTTAACATTCTTATACCAGGTCTCAGTGAAAGCTATCAATGAGTTTGTATCAAACTTCCTAGGTTCATATGGGTACATTTTGCCTTTCTTAAACCTGTTATTATAAAAGACATTTTATTTTCAGTTAAAATGACATTATGCTCATTTTTCCATTGTCAAGCTGAGCTGAATTGACTGTATATTTCAAAAAAATTTCTGTTATGATGGAAATTGACCAACAGTTTATATTGGAAAATGTTTAGGATAAAATATAAATCTGCCTAAAATATAAAAAGACTGCCCCACTATTTTTATAAATTGAATATGTTTCAGATATTTTCTGATCTGGATGGATATTTAAATAAATTTCCCAGGGCAACAGGAGTTATCTATCTTTCATGCGAAGTAAATTATAAGATTTAAAAGGAATTAAAATGGGAAAATGTAAACATATTTTGACATTGACCTCTTCACTCCTACATATCCTGGGAAGGGCATACTGTCACTTTAAATATAACAATACACATACTCTGTGAAATAAATGGCAACTCAGCTTGGCAATTGTATAGGTGATATTATTTCAGGCATACAAGGACACTAGGAGTAGAATCATAGACATTCTGTATACTAAATGAATAATCTCCTCACAAGAACTCATTTCATTATTAGTTGTTTAGGTTGAAACACTTTTAACTCAAATCATGCTTAAAATAGCAATGAAATCAAGCATTTCCCAATAAATTTAGAGTGAATTTCTTTATATTCTTTTCCATATTTTCTGTTTAAACTGCTAACAGTTTTAACTGTTAGGACACATTACACAGACAATGAAAATTAATAATCTGGGTAAAAGGAGTAAAAACATGTTCAGAAAGTGTCCAAACATTCTTGTCTTAACACCTGCATCAAATAGCAAAAAATATCTTTAAAAAAATCCAGTCCTTTCATGCTAAAATTCTTAGTGGAGTCCCTTTAAGCATCTGAGCATTTTATATTTCATATAATATTAAGTGAAGGCATCAGCAATTATTGAAGCAAAAAGCCAAGAAACTTGTCCAAGACCCAGCAGTTTTGGCTTATTACTTTAAAACCATAAGAAGAAAATGATATTTATAGTCTTTTGGTGTAATACTTACAAAATTCCATATGGGCATGTTGTAATATTAAATCTTTTAGTCAACTTTGGGTTCTGATCCACATCAATCTTTGCAAAGCTCATTCTATATTTAACACTAAAACGAAACAATAATGACAGTATGAGGATAAGTTTAATAAAAGTTTATAATTTGAATACAATGATAATTAATGTTCTTATATACATATTTTGTAATACATTTCAGATTTTATGTCTTGTTTGCAAGAATTTATGTCTCAATCTCAGGTTTGATGTCACATTTACAAGTTTATGTCACATTTACAAGTTTCATGCCAAATTTACAAAGATTTTAAGTCACAATTACAAGTTTTATGTCACATTTACAAGTTTAATGACACATTTACAAGTTTTATGTAACATTTACAAGTTTTATGTCACATTTATAAGTTTTATGTCACAGCAGCAAGTTTTATGTAACATTTACAAGTTTTATGTCACATTTATAAGTTTTATGTCACATATACAGGATTTTTGTCACATTTACAGGTTAAATGTCACATTTACAATTTTTTTGCACATTTACAGGTTTTATGCCACATTTATAAGTTTTATGTCACATTTACAAGTTTTATGTCACATTTACAAGTTTTATACCATATTTACAATATTTATGTCACATTTATAAGTTTTATGTCACATTTACAAGTTTTATGTCACATTTACAAGTTTTATACCACATTTACAATATTTATGTCACATTTATAAGTTTTATGTAACATTTACAAGTTTTATGTAACATTTACAAGTTTTATGTCACATTTATAAGTTTTATGTCACATTTACAGGATTTTTGTCATATTTACAAATTTGTGTCACATTTACAGGATTTATGTCACATTTACAAATTTTATGTCACATTTACAGGTTTTATGCCACATTTACAAGTTTTATGTCACATTTACAAGTTTTATGTCACATTTACAAGTTTTATACCACATTTACTATATTTATGTCACATTTATAAGTTTTATGTAACATTTACAAGTTTTATGTCACATTTACAAGTTTTTTGTCACATTTACCATGTTTACAGAATTTATGTCACATTTACAGATTTTATGTCACATTTACAGGTTTTATGTCACATTTACAAGTTTTATATCACATTTACAGGTTTTATGTCACATTTACAAGTTTTATGTCACATTTTCACGATTTGTGTCTCATTTACAGGTCTTATGTCAGCTTTACAAGTTTTATTTCACATGTAAACATTTATCGTCACATTCACAAGTTTTATGTCATATTTACCTCTTGTTTAGACAATAGGTAGTTCTAAAGTCAAATTCAATCCTTACGTTTTCACAATGGTTAGTTGGAAGACCAAAATAGAAACCCCAATGTTTTAACAATGGATCATTCTAAGATCAAATATAGAAACCACCTTGTTTTGATTCCCTTGCATTTGTAATTACATTTATTATTCAAGAAATGTTAAATAATCTAAAAGTCCCTAAATAAAAAATTAAATATTATCAATAAATAACAAAGACAGTAAAATATAACAAAAAGCTTTATAATTTTCTTAGTGACTGATAGAATTTCCAAGTCTTTTGATCTCTTAGTTTAATGGGAGACATAGGCAAAATTTTTATTTCTTCTATTTGAAATTTTCTTTCAATACTCTATAAATGTTGTCAAAATGAATACACAAAGCAGTCACAGGAACAAAACTTTTCTCCTTACAAACAATAAAATGGTGGTTTCCCAACTTGACCCATGTGCGTCAGGTTAGAGCATTTAGATTTCACAATAGTTGATATAGAGAACTATGAAAATGTTAAAGTACCTGTCAAAATGCATGACTAAGACTTATTTTAATCTAACATTATATCTACAATATCTGCTATTGTAATTTCCAGTGTTTTTTTCCTAGTTACATGACTTGTTTTATAACTACTCAGTGACTCTGGCGGTGTCTTAATTTCGTTCAACATAAAAAGATATAATTACGCTTCAAGCCCAAAATATATAGAGAGTATTAATTTTGTTTAGTTCAGTGTAAGATCGGAATATATATTTCACCGAGTGAGCACCAAAAGGTATATTTCACGAGTGGCACAGCCACGTGTGCAATATGAACTTTTGGTGTTCACAAGGTGAAATATATTTGGATCTTACACTAAACTAAACAAATTTTCTTTTTATTATATGCAAAGAAACGTTTTAAAAAGACATTAAACATAAAACTGAATGAAAAGGCAAATAATAATACAATGTGACGTCATTTACAACGTCACGTCATTAAGTTGGTACCCAGTACTCTGCACGCTGGTATTTCACTGAAACAACGTAAGGGGCTTAAATTCAAAACAGTGAAATTATCAAAGTGGTAATTTCACTGTTTCAAACAGTGAAATTACCAGTTTTATATCACGGATATATTTCTATAAACCACCAAAAAGCATGTAAAAAATAGTAGTTATACAGAAATCCATGCTAAGACTTTTAAAAATATCATTAAACATGATTTGAGTAAATAAGATCAATTCAATATTTTTGTCATTTATTTGCCCGAGTATCCCTCTAATTGGTGTAAGGTTTGATAACTATACCTTATAGCTGCACATTCAACACTGGATAGTATCTTCATACAATCCTCACAGCCAGGTTTATAACTGTAGATATACAATGTATATTTCATTATCCATTATCTGTATGTAGTGCATGGTTAAGTTATACGATGCCAGTAGTCAGGTAAATTCCCCTGATCAGGTAGTAAGGCAGATCCCCCTGATCTGGTAGCCAGATTTAATTACCATATGGTACCAAGTTTTATTATATACTTATAAATAAAATATTGAGAAAAAATTGATGAAATAAAATGCATATTTTCATTTTCCGTATTTTCACTGTAACAAATTTATTTTTCATTGCAGTGAAATGGACTACAGTTTTCTAAATTCAGCAAATAAACAAATTTTAGGGAAAATCTTTCAAATTGTAATATAACAAGATATGTTTGTAAAACATGTATGCCCCCTATCAGCAGCCAATTAGTCATGTGATAAGGTTATTATGCATCACTTCTGACCCAGTGATCAAACAATTAATAAGGGTTATCAAGTATCTACTAGTCATGACCTTAACCTTTGACCCCTTGACCCAAAACTCAAAAGGGGCCAACTGCTGGTCACGACCAATCATCATACAAAGTTTGAAGTTCCTAGGCCTAAGCATTTTTAGTTAATTGATCAGAAACCGTTTTTACCTACAAGGTCAATGTGACCTTGACCTTTGACCCCTTGACCCCAAAATCAATAGGTCATCTGCTGGTCATGACCAATCACCATACCAAGTTTGAAGTTCCTAGGCCTAAGGGTTCTTTAGTTATTGATCGGAAACCGTTTTTACTTACAATGTCAATGTGACGATCATCTGCTGCTCATGACCAATCATCATGCCAAGTTTGAAGTTCCTAGGCCGAAGCGTTCTTTAGTTATTGATCAGAAACCGTTTTTACTTACAATGTCAATGTGATCTTGACCTTTGACCCCTTGATCCCAAAATCAATAGGGGTAATCTGCTGGTCATGACAAATCACCATACCAAGTTTGAAGTTCCTAACCCTAAGCGTTTATAAGTTATTGATCAGAAACCATTTTTACTTGCAAGGTCAATGTGACCTTGACCTTTGACCCCTTGACCCAAAACTCAATAGGGGTCATCTGCTGGTCACGACCAATCATCATACCAAGTTTGAACATCCTAGGCCTAAGCGTTTTTAGTTAATTGATCGGAAACCGTTTTTACCTACAAGGTCAATGTGACCTTGACCTTTGACCCCTTGACCCAAAACTCAATAGGGGTCATCTGCTGGTCACGACCAATCATCATACCAAGTTTGAACATCCTAGGCCTAAGCGTTTTTAGTTAATTGATCGGAAACCGTTTTTACCTACAAGGTCAATGTGACCTTGACCTTTGACCCCTTGACCCCAAAATCAATAGATCATCTGCTGGTCATGACCAATAACCATACCAAGTTTGAAGTTCCTAGGCCTAAGGGTTCTTTAGTTATTGATCGGAAACCGTTTTTACCTAAGAGGTCAATGTGACCTTGACCTTTGACCCCTTGACCCCAAAATCAATAGGGGTCATCTACTGATCATGACCAATCACCATATCAAGTTTGAAGTCCCTAGGCCTAAGGGTTCTTTCGTTATTGATTGGAAACCGTTTTTACTTACAAGGTCAATGTGACCTTGACCTTTGACCCCTTAACCCCAAAATCAATAGGGGTCATCTGCTGGTCATAACCAATCACCATACCAAGTTTGAAGTTCCAAGGCCTAGGGGTTCTTTGTTATTGATCAGAAACCGTTTTTACCCAAGAGGTCAATGTGACCTTGACCTTTGACCCCTTGACCCCAAAATCAATAGGGGTTATCTACTGATCATGACCAATCACCATACCAAGTTTGAGCTTCCTAGGCCTTAAAGTTCTTTAGTAATTGATCGGAAACCGTTTTTGCTTACAAGGTCAATGTGACCTTGACCTTTGACCCCTTGACCCCAAAATCAATAGGGGTCATCTACTGATCATGACCAATCACCATACCAAGTTTGAAGTTCCTAGGCCTTAAGGTTCTTTAGTTATTGATCGGAAACCGTTTTTGCTTACAAGGTCAATGTGACCTTGACCTTTGACCCTTTGACCCCAAAATCAATAGGGGTCATCTACTGGTCATGACCAATCACCATACCAAGTTTGAAGTTCCTAGGCCTAAGGGTTCTTTAGTTATCACTCGGAAACCATTTGGTCGACGGACTGACAGACCGACAGACCGACAAGTGCAAAGCAATATGGGGGTATAAAAATGAAAAATGTATATAATAAACAGAAAATTCAAGTTTTTATCTATAAATACAGGATTTATTTTCATCATGTGGTATGAAAATTATCATATTTCACTCCTGGCTAAAAACACTCATGAAATATTCATATTCTCTATATATTCTCCTTATATAAACAAGAGCCCGGTTTGAGCCGGGTGATGCTCCACGAATAGGTTTTGGACACAGGAAAGTACACCTCTTGTAGTTTCAGAGTTATGTCCGTGGAAAAAGTTCAAAGTGCAATAATTCCAAAATTAGGCAAGGCTGTTACAGTTTTTTGCACTGCACTTCTAATCAATGTGATCTATCAACTTACAAAGTTTCTTGATGATATCTCTTATGATGTCCTGGACAATTCAAAAAGTAAAAATAAACAAAGGGCAATAACTCCAGAATAAGGCAAGGTAGAGTTATGATTCTTGTGCACTGCACATCTACCCATTGAGATTTATCTACCTACAAAGTTTCATGTTGATATCTCTTATAGTTTTACAGCTATGTCCTGGACAAGATTTTTCTAAAAGGGGAGATTATTCAAAAATAAGGCTTAACAGAGTTATGGTTCTGTTACGGGGAGATAATTCAAAAACCGGGCAAAATAGAGTTATGGTTCTTTGACACTGCACTCCCCCTCGATGCACTCTACCACTGTCTGAAGTTTCAACAGATTATCTCCAAGGGTTTTCAAGTTATGCTCCGGACAAGACAACGGACGGACGGACAGACGGACAAGGCGCCGACTATATGCTCCCCCGAAATTTTTCGGGGAGCATAAAAATTTCAGATTATATAAATAAATAGGGACTAAATAGGGAACCGTACATGATAGCACAGAATGATGTGCCAGCTGATCCTAGTCACTTTGGTAGAATATGCTGCCACTAGTAAACTATGAGTTCAAGTCTTCTTTCCAGTTTTAAGTTTATAATGTGACAAATGTTACAATGCATGGACAGGACCATATTTCTAGAAAACTTGTTTTAAGGATGATCAATTTAACTTAACTTTCCCTGTGATCAATGAACCTCTGCTACATGCATAATATTTATTATATATATATCTACATATGATAACTTAACAAATTTGTAAAGAAAGATAACTCTTACTTACAACAGGACAAACCAGTCCCCAGTTGTTGCCCCTGTTGATGCCTGGGTAAGATGTTCAAATGAATCGTCATACAGATCTTTAGTTGCTACATCTGAGGCTTGTGATAACCATTCTACAAGCTCTGGCAGGTCATCAGAACTGCTTAACTTACCTGTAAATAACAATAATACTAATCTGAGTGAAAAACTTTTTATGCCTTCTAAATTGGCATCCTCGGATACCCACGGTTGATTAACATGTAACATAACATGTTATTAACCGTGGGTAAAAATAAATCAAATTGTGTCGATATACAGCAGCAGATGCGTTAAATATCGACCAATGAGACTGTGTTTAGCAAAATCTATATTCTTGGACAGCAAAGGAAAACAACTATCAGAAAGAAAATAGCAGCGCCCACGGTGTAAACCTGTTCACATGTCCTATAGAACAAAGCATTTTGCTTGGTTTTCATTGCCTTATGAAATCCGGAGGCAACCAATGAAAAAGCTGTTTTTGACACACCTTTTATCGACTGGATATCAGCAAAAAAAAACACATGGCTGATAAATGTTAATGGTTCAGCCGTGGGTACCAGACGATGCTAAATTGGGAAAATTTAACATAGTTGCCAAAACAAAGTTTAGAATATTAAACAATACATTTTAAACCATTCACTTTTTATTCAGATCATGAGATGATAACAATGTTATTTGTGCTTTTCATAAATATGCCTTAATAGTTGAACTCACAAAATCCTGACAATTTTTGGGAATTTTCATGATAAAATTGGGAATATTAACAATAGAAATTTTAGGCTGTTTCAAAACAAAAATTGAAAATATCAATGCTAATATACCTTTCTGTCTGAAATCTTAATAGGTTTATATTGTCTTAATAAACTAGATACAGGAGAGTTGCCCTTGTTCATAAGAAATCAGACTCTGAAAGCAGAGACTGTGAGGTTCAGTTATTCAAAGCCTCTACTACCAGTATAAAGCCCTGCCAGTATGCTTATCAGTACAGGATGACCAAAACTCTAAACTTTTGTGTTGGTAGCTCAGTATTTGTATTTTGATAGCTTTTGGCAATTTGAATGATATGAAGAAATTTTAGGTATACTAACATCTTTAAAGGCCTATTTTGACTCCAGAATGCTGTTATTTTTCATTCTCAGAAGCTTTTATTTTATGTGTCCTGTTATATTTTCAAAAATATTACTCATTGGAAAATCTCCTAAACAACATTCTGTTTCTATTACTTTTTGATCATTAGTATAATTATAGTGTATGGAAGTCAAAATACTGATTTGTTTACATTTTACTACTTTTATGACAAAATAATTCACATTTGGTGCAATATTTTCAGGCGATAAGCATCTAACATGCTCTCAAACCATAATTTGAACATTATAAATCTCATGTTTGACCATTGTAAGGAATAAGAAATTTATTCAATTCTGAGGCATAATGTGCCTTTAAGAAGTGAAATTTTACCATTATATAAAGCCGGGTATCCATTCCTATAGTAGACTAGAGACGGGTAATCTAGTGCACCGAGTTTGTCCGCCAGTCTATCATCAATCACATATCTCTTCAAGATTTCTAAATATAGATTCGAATGATATACATGGGTAACAAAAGCAAACACAGGACAGTCTTGTTAAGCCACCCGAAAAAGTTCTTTGCATTATGCCAAAATTAATCTTTTGTTATCTTTAAAGGAACTCCACTGAGGTTTATGAGCCTAAATACATGAAATTTTAATTTTTCACATAGATAAACATGAGCACTTAGAACATAAATATTAATAAAATATAACCAAAAATTTTGAAGAAATACATTGAAAATCATATGTTTGTGCTATTCTCAGTCCGATTTGAGTGAAAAGCGTTTCAATTTTGGGTCATTTTTCACTATTATAATAATTGTTCTGCAAAAATGGAGCGAGCTAATGATCTGAAATTTTGCACATAAGTTATTAGTATAGATCTACATCAAATGGAGTAATAATCTCAAAAAACTATTTCCAGTCTCGTCATGTCAAAAAGTGGAGTCCCTTTAAAAAAAAAAAAAAAAAAACGTTAACAAAAAAATGTTAGCCACATCACTACATGATATGAATTAAGGAACTTTTATTTCAAACAATTTGGTATTTGTGGCATGGCCAATTTTCAGGCATCAGACTAAGTAATCTAAAAACCACTAGCCTAATAGGTTCAAACCCACTAGGAGCAGCTCATTTTTTCTTGAGCAAGAAACTTTACACTCACTGCTCAGTACTGGTCAGATCCTACACAATTAATATAAAATAAATTCTGTATGAACTAAATGATTAGATATCATAATTACAACTGTTGACAGTTTCTCTGAACATTAGAAACATTACATACCTGTTTGAACAAGATCCGGCTGTGGCAGGCGACCCAAATATTCAAGTGCTTTATTGCATGATGGACATTCCCCTGAAGCCTCTAGAAAATGAAATCATAAATGAATATAATCATAGGATGACATTTCAAATGAAATCTTTCATGCCAATATCATGTCTAACTTACAAAATGATACAGATAGCATGTTTAATAAACTATGCCATCATTATATATTCATTTCATTTGCAATACATGTCTTTTATCACAGGGGTTAGAAACTCTATCCCAAAAAAAAGAAATATATTGAAAATTTTATATATAAACCCTCCCCCCCCTCCTGATTCAACACCTGATATACCCTTACACTTCTTGCAGTGACTGAATTTATCTATGGTTCAAATGCAAACCAAATTCAGTCGGCACATCCCTGCCATGTGATAATAGACTTCATTGTTCGCTATTCAGTAGTCTTATAAATATGATGTTACTTTGAGATATTTTTATCATATTGATATGCACAATACAAAAAGAAGTATTCATTCATTTCGAATTAACTGCTGTTTAGTCGGGTAATTTTGACTAAAACCCAGCAGTCAGGTCTCTGTCGACTTACACTTGCAGTCACTTAGGGATTACATATCTTCCCATAACTTGAAATGATTGTAAGGACAGCTGTATTTTCTTTAAGAGTAATCAATTCCCTACCATTTGGTACCAAGATTTGGAAAATTGGTGAAAAAATTGAGTTCATATTACGATGACTGCTGAATAATGTGCGATGAGTTGCATACCTTTACTAAATGATATATGTATCAATTTTATTTTTTGTGGGAAATGAAGGAAATTGAATTAAAAGCATACACATGGTTATGAGAGGTAGGATTGTTTTTTTTGTTTGTTTTGTTTTGGGTTTTACGTCACATCGACACAGTATGGGTCATATCGCGACGTTCCAGCTTAATTGGTGGAGGAAGACCTCATGTGCCCTTCCGTGCATTATTTCAGGCACAAACGGGCACCTGAGTAGAACCATCGACGTTCCGTAAGCTAGCTGGATAGCTTCCTCACATGAAAGAACCAAAGTCCCTGTCGGGATTCGAACCCACAGCGGTGAGGGGCAAGTGGTTTGAAGTAAACGACCTTAACCACTCGACCACGGACGCCCCAGGTAGGATTGTACCCAGCAGGCACTCAACTTTGTTTCAACGTTGAAATATGGTCGTTACGTTGTTCAACCAAAATTCAACTATAAAGGACCACATGGATCTATTGCCAATGTATATTCAACGTTGATTCAACGTTGTTTATGGTCGAGGTTTTACTTTAAGTTTTATCATTATCTAAACTTTTATACCACTTATTCTGTGTAATTATTTCTTTATTTAATTGGTCTGTAAGTGATTTTTGTCAGGAATATTAAGTGACCATTTTTTTGTGGATATTAAAATATTTTTTGAATAAGCTCTTAAAAATCTAGAGTTGGAAATAATTTTGCGCTTTCCGTTTACGCTTTAAATATAAGTATGCTGTTTTATATATTTATTTACTTGTTCTTATTAATTATATTGATTAAAACCCCGTTTATAAAATAACGCTGATCAGGGGAAGTAATTGTTGCGGATACTTTGGTGTCCATGATTATCGTTCTTGTGAATGGTGGCGCTGTTTTGAAATTTGAACAGATACAGAAGTCGATGATTTATTTGGATTTCTAAGGTATTACCATAATGTTTTACTTTAGTTTGCAGATTATTTTTCAATATGTAATTACTTATTCTAAAAATTCTACTTTGATTTACAAAGAAATGAGAGATCTAAACACATGATTGAGTTGATTTGACACGTTTTCACGACCTAATTGGTACTTACGCGAAGTTATTGATGCCGATGTTACAAGTCTTGCCTTTTTTAAACTTATTTTTCATATTATTAAATTTTATTTTGCTGCTATATACCAATTAAGATTTAATCAATTATCAGAGTGTAACCTATAAAGTGTAGTTCCGCCCACATAATTTATGTCCCAATACGATTCGTCTATCTAGCTGTATTTATATTTAAGTGTTAGTAAAATACAGTGCTAATTGGTCTGAAAAATAAATTATATTCATTACATGATCAAAAAATATTTATTTGGAGTTAAATAACAAAGTTGGGTGTTAAACTTTTAAGTTTAATTGTCGTGAATTGATAGGGAGTAATAAATCTATTTTACATTCCAGATCCTGATCCAGGTTGAACTTGAGAGTTTTGGAGCTGTAGCCTGTATACCATACATTCATCACAGAAAGAACTTACATTCATCACAGAAAGTACTGTCAGGTTTGTTAAATTAAACAAGAGGGCTATGATGGCCCTGAAGTCGCTCACCTGTATAAAGGCACCCAGAGTGGGGCCAGTTTAAACCCCAGGGCTTTTATTTGAACAAACTTGGTAGACACCCATTACAAGATGTTTCATGCTAAACATCTAAGGTCTAGCTTGTTGAGTTTTTTAAGAAATGATTTTTTAAGTTTTAACTATACACATATAGTTCAAAGCAATGACACCCCTAGGGCGGAGCCAGTTTTGCCCCCAGGGCCTTTTTTTGTTTTTTAAAACTTTGAAGACACTGACTAGAAGATGTTTCATGCTTAATATCTAAACTCTAGAATTTTGTTTTTTTTCAAAGAAGATTTTTAAGTTTACACATATAAGGAAAATCAATGTCCCCGGGGCAGGGCTAATTTTGACCCTAGGGCTTTTATTTGAGCAATCTTTGAAGACACTAACTGGAACATGTTTCATGCATCTTAACTCTAGCTATTTGGGTTTTTTCAAAGAAGATTTTTTAATTTTTTGCTATACACATAAATAAAATCAATGATCCCCGGGGCAGGGCCAATTTTGACCCCAGGGCTTTTATTTGAAAAAATTTGGTAGACACCTATTAGAACATGTTTCATGCTTAATATCTTAGCTCTAGCTCTTTGGGTTCTTTAAAAGAAGATTTTGTAAGTTTTTACTATATGCATATAGGAAAAATCAATGACCCCCTGGGGCGGGGCCAATTTTGACCCCAGGGCTTTTATTTGAACAAACTTGATAGACACTCATTAGAAGATGTTTCATGCTAAATATCTTAGCTCTAGCTCTTTGGGTTCTTTAAAAGAAGATTTTATAAGTTTTTTCAATATGCATATAGGGAAAATCAATGACCCCCTGAGGCCAGGCCAATTTTGACCCCAGGGCTTTTATTTGAACAAACTTGGTAGACACCCATTAGAAGATATCATGCTAAATATCTTAGCTCTAGCTCTTTGGATTCTTTAAAAGAAGATTTTTTAAGTTTTTTGCTATATGCATTTAGGGAAAAACAATGACCCTTGGGGCGGGGCCAATTTTGACCCCAGGGCTTTTATTTGAACAAACTTGATAGACACTCACTAGAAGATGTTTCATGCCAAATATCTAAGCTCTAACTCTTTGGGTTTTTTAAAAGAAGATATTTTAAGTTTTTTCTATCGGTTGCCATGGCAACCAGACTTATGCATGGAATTAAATTCTTTGAACAATTTTTAAAGGTGACCACCAAAGGAACATTCCTGTGAAGTTTGGATGAAATTGGCTCAGCGGTTTATGAGGAGATGTCATTTAAAGTAAAAGTTTACGGACGCCGGACGGACGACAGACAGACGGACGCAGGACGAAAAGCGATCACAAAAGCTCACCCTTTGTGACAGGTGAGCTAAAAATTCTTAAATTTAATATATATGTATTTATTTACAAAGTATAAATATTTCAACTACTGGATGCTGCATAAAATGGTCTTAGCTAGAGCCTATAATATTTATTGGAAAAATGCTGCAAGTAACTGATGGGGAGCAGTTTTGCTTACCAATCATAGGTGAGACTTTTAAATAGCTTCTTTTTTTTTTTAAATATTTTGTTGTTTTATGTACACAATTTTCTGTCAATATGAAACTTCAGTTATATCTCATTTTCTATGCTGTTTTATTATGCAAATGTTAGAGATAAGCATTTAAAGATAAAAATAAATAACTAGGTTGATTAATTATATACATAAATTTAGAGTGACAGTCACTTTTAACTACTAACTTCTTAATTTATATTTGCAGAAAAGCGGGTCTGGGCTTCCAGGCTTGCCCGGCAATAGACTACACGTGAATATTTAAAAGAAAATCAAATAAATAACATTTCAAAATTATATAGAATTCTATACCTATCAATAAAATTTTCAGTGTCAGTTCTAGTCGGGCGCCGCCATTTACAATGTATGTCAATGATAATAGACATACATGAAAATATATAATATATATATATATAATATACATATATGAAAATCTACTGTATTCCGATAACAAAACAAATCTCAACTTTTCGGATTATTAATAATCGTCGAGTGTTCCGAGTGAAAACTGAAGCGGTGTATGTAATATCGAATGACACCTTTAAAACGGAAAGAATGAAAGGATTTTCTAACGACTTCCCCGTTCATAGGCTTTGCCTAATTTCATATTATTTGCAGAAACAGTAAGAGACAGCCAAAGAAGTATTCAAACACCATCATGAAACATTAAAGAAAGATCTAGAAGAACAGATTGTAGCTTAATTGTTGAACTAAAATGACTTCTTAAATCGTTTAAATTTAAGCTGCGCTTGAACTGTATTTTTGAAATAAAATATCTGAAGTATTTAATATTGTCTTCTTTTTATTTTTTTAAACTCTGTTACTCTGCTTTATATCTTAAAATTAAAGTATGGTGGGTTTTCAATGTTGAAATGACATTGAAGCTGCAACGTTGTATCAACGTTGAAATTTCAAAGTTGTTTAAACTTTCAAATCCGAATATAAATCCAAAGTTATTTCAACGTTGAAATCTGACCATAATTCAACGTTGTTTCAACGTTGGTGTGCCTGTTGGGTAGAGAGGGTGAGAAGGGTGCCCAGGGGTATCTATAGCCCAACAAATTGTGCGCTTTTAGGCTTATATTAAATAGACAATGTTCGCCCTTCTCAAAGACAGACATCTATGAAAAATCAGATTATAAAATCGGTCAGTCTTGCAGTTGAAATATTGAGACTACCCGGGGGAAGTGACGAATCAAAGGCGGCACAAAATACACAAATATAGCAATGTTATTTTTGTTTGTATAAAATATAGATTATAATGAGAAATAAATAAGTATTTATAAACTAATATGACTTAGCCTGCTATAACTTTTATTCATTCCGTTGAAATGGGCAGTTAACCCAGCAAATACCCGACGTTGACACAACGTTGGATCAACGTTGAAAATTGGTTGCGACGTCGGCGACCTTCACACAACGTCAAACCAACGTTGAAACCCCGACGTCTAATAAACGTTTCATTTTGACGTTGACTCGACGTCGGACATTGGTCGGTAATCTGACAATTGGTAACTTTAATTTATATAACCAATATATATAAATATAAGCATAAACATTGAGAATTTTAAGTTTCTTTAGAAAGGGAAAATTATAAATGTATTTGCCTAATCGAAACAACAACAGTGTCACGTGGGTGGCTACCGTACGATATTCGATAGGTGGCGCTCGGTAAACGGATAGCCGCAGATCAGTATAATATATATTTGCTCTATTTTCTTTTTAGTAATAACTTATCTCCTCGAATAAGTCAAATAAAAGAAGTGTTTAAATAATTAACAATGAAGTTGTAATCATTTTGTGGGACTCATTTTATAGTGGTAAATAATCTAGTAAATTCGAATTAGAGTCTTATCGGATTTGAAATTCAATTGTTTCGGCGGAAAAAAACGACGGGTTGACAGACAAAGTTGTATATTCCAAACAAACAGAAAAAGGTAGGCAAACGTTATTTATTGTTTTTAATGTTTATTTATCACATGTTTGCATGGATTCGACGGTTAATTGATCATTGTAAAGTTTGACTGGTAAAACTTAATGTCACATGATTTCGCGAGATAAATATTTTCGTTTCCTCGTTAGAGCACTTTATTATTTGCTTTAGAACAATTTGTATTATCAGATCATTTTCCCACACTATATCGCCATTGCCAAATTATTTTTTGCATAATCAATGATATGAAATATACTAGCAATTGAAATAAATAAAAGGTTAAATGCAGTACGTTAATTTAAGACTCTATTATATAAAATTTCCTCTTATTTCTTATCAACATGAATTTCGCTTATATGAGGGGCAAGTCATGTACACATGTATAAGATAAAAAAAATAAACTGTAGGGTCTCAAGCACAGTTTGATTTTGATGTATGTGTAGTTGTTTAACTACAGGTTGTTAAATTGAAGTATTTTACCCATGAGCATACCACGTGTTTCTTATATTATGATAATGATTCATTGCATTTGATACATGTAAATTTGTAAATGATAGAACTTTGGTAAGATATATCTGAAACCACATTGTTTTCGACTACTTATCTTTTCATTAATGTAATCAGACAACATATTATCAGTCAGTAAACACATTATCAAGGTTATAAATCAATAAAAATAATAGTTTGTTAATTAGCCTGCTTATCAAATATAGTGAAATAAGTTATATGCTCATATCATAAAACGTTTGTACCCTCAGCCAGTCTGTCCTTTATACTCTTAGCAGATCGGATCATGCTGGGCAGAGATTATATCTATAAAAATGACAGTAACATGTGAATTTCTTTGATGTTGTAGCATTTGTATAAATAATAAAACATTTGTAAATATAAAAAATATCATTTTCATATTAAATTTTGCGCAGGCAAAAATCGTAATTTTTGACTTAATTTTCAGGCCATACTTAATGAAAATAATTAATTGAACGTTTTATCAGGTTGTTTTTGTAAACATGCTTTGATAATCATAATATTGCTTTGTCTTTCCGTGAATATCAGAGATTGTGAAAATTATGATAATTCAACAACTGTCAAAAAGTTCAGAGGAGGAAGATGAAATTATTAAGAAAAACATACAAGATTTTGTGACAGGTATATTTCAAAATATTACATTGATAACGAAGCCATTTTTATTAAAATCAATGGATATATAGGTACATGAAACTACATGGTTTAAACTAAAGTAAATAAAAATAAGCCAATTTTGTTAAAGTAGATGGAGAGTTTTGTCAGAATTTCATTTAATTGTAATACGTTAAAGTGATTTATTTCTTGCAATTGTAAGTGATTATTTGATTTCTTTTTAAATTTCAGATAGTGTGAATGATGATATCTCAGGTTGGAGACGGTAAAGGTTAAAATTATGATATGCTTAAACCCAGATCGCCATAGTGTAGGTGGACGAAAGAAGAATGCTAATTAAGATATATGAACATTGCTATTTGTAGTAACATCAAGATATTCACAATATTGTTCCATTTAACATTCAGATAAAAAGTACAAAGAAAAAATATACAATCAGTGAGTTTGATAGATGATTGGAAAATCCCAACCTCAGGGTGATCAGTTCAGTCGGAAATAAGCCTTGGTGATATAAGAAAAACATGCATGAATGTTAACCATAAATAATGTCAGTGTTAATGTTTATGAAGAATTTTGTATATCTAAAACATAATCATTTAATACATGAAGCGTTATTTACGTACATACCGTCAAGTTTAATAGTTTCAAAATACATTATGTTAATGTTACATTTGTTAAAGTACCACATTTATTGTTTTGTACACGAGATTCGTATTTAAAATAAATTGTTAAAATTATAAGAATGCTTATTTGTTTACCCTACTAATGAGCTTAAACTGAAAAAAAAATCATATTCCAAAAAGTTTAAAATGAGGTTAAATCATAGTCAGTTAAGGTTGGATTATGGTCAGATAATGGTCAGAAAAGGTTGTATTATGGTCAGATAATGGTCAGAAAAGGTTGGATTATGGTCAGACAATGGTCAGAAAAGGTTGGATTATGGTTGGATAAGGGTCATTTTATGACGTTGTACAGACGTCAGATTCTGACGTCTAAAAAACTTTCAAATCCAACCTTCTGCCAACGTTTACCCAACGTCAGGGTCTAACGTCAGTACAACGTTGGTACAACGTCTTTTGTTTGCTGGGAAGATGTTGTAAGGAAATAAAGTTGTGACATTTGCTTATCTACTATATAGGTTCTTTATTAATGTGCTTGCAATTTTAAATCAAGATATGTATATGGTATTTGTTGTCTTAACTAACATTTTGTTGAAATTTCGTATCATATACAAGTGTCCGTGTTATTTAAAAAAATAATAGCTTTAATGGAGTACATATACAGTATTTTGGTTCAAAACACAATGATAGGAAAATGTATATTTGGGTATGTTTGATTATATCTTAGTGAAAGTGTATATTGTATATTTTTTTGTATAAAACATTTATTTTTAGTATAATTTGGCAATATTTTGGTATATTTAGGCAATATTTGGGCAATATTTGGGTATTTCGTGCTGCCCGCCGCCGAACACCTATGGTTTGGAGCAAAAATGGCCTTAAATCCATTCAACGTAACTAATTAGTAACTGATTAGTGAACAGTGGTGAATAAAGGCAACGTGTCAAAATTTGCATGCAAATTCTTACTAAATAAAACCAGGACAAGGGCATTCGATGTAACAAAACTGTTAAACTCTGTTGACTCAAGCTGCTCTACATCACAAAAACAGATGCCAATAAATTGCAAGAAACAAAAACATATGACAAAAAAAATGTTCGAATTTGCTTTCATTTTGATTTTTCTTCAACGTTGTAAGCGACAAAAATAGATGGATAATTACTGTACAAACTCGTATCTTATTTTGTACGGATCCGTAGGCTTACGGATGATAAGAAATGGACCCTAGCATTATTTCAAATAAAAAAATCAACCCGAATTTGCGTTACTTTCAACAAGAAAGGTATAAATATAAAATGCAGAAATATTTCTCTATAATGTATATACCACAGATATATAAACAATTTAGCTCCACGATATTACACTCCCAAATAGAAATACAAAAACACCCATTCTCTCAGATCAGTATTAATTGAAAGTATTCTTTCATGCTCCTTTAATGATATCAGTTTAACCATGACCTATACCTGTTAGTAAAGATTCCATGAATGCTTGAATGGACCACTTTATTTTAGACAGGCGATTCAACAACAACAACAACAACAAAACACGCACACACGAGCACGCATGCACGCACGCACGCGCGTGCACACACATCTACGACACAGAACAATTGATTTTTAACAAAGTATTTTATTTTGAGTGTTTGTTATATTAAATACTGGTATCCACATGATGTGATATCTTCCTTATTCTATTGACATCAAATTAAGTGTTCATTCCATTTTATTTAAATCAACCGCGACATGTTACTATTGTTAGAGAGAAATACTTGAAAAACATCTTGACACTGGAAGTAAAATAACAACCGAAGAATAATTGTGATTATTGCTTTATTGGTTTAAGTAAGTAAGCTCTGAAAGTGTTTTCTGTTTCAAGCACAATATTATATATGTCAAGTGTCGTTTGAATAGATGAAATTAGATTTATCAGCTTAAAATTCTCCTTAAATGGTAATTGACACGGCAACCTTGAACTATTTTGATAAACTTTACTCAAGTATGGCGGAAATTTAGTGATGCTGATTCATAATGAATTTATCATATTGTTCAGGAAATTAATATCAACTATTTTTTCCAATTATATTCACTTATACATATATTGGTTAACTCTTCGTTATATAAGTACGTATAAATGAATATCTTAAACAGTTTTGTACTCTGTAATAATTTCCTTCCAAACAATAGCTAGAGTATATGGAAAATTATCATATCTTGTCATAACTTCAAAACGCAATTCATGTACTAATTTTCTTGTGTTTGACAAGCAAATAGTGAAACAAATTTCTATTTCATTCCAGGGCATTTACAGATAAGATAGGACTACTCTACAAGAAAATATAACTGACATGATGTATCAGGTAAATAATTTTTGTCATATCTGTAAGTATTAGAGTGCTTCATTCTTTTCTTCCGAAAATGATTTCTTCCAAAAAGGCTGTTACCATTTATATGCCAAACTTAAAAGTTTGTTCCTTATATTTAACCTTAAGCTTTTATTATTTATATAAAAAAAATTCAGTAAATTAAATTACATTTATAAGAACAATATGATTTTTATCATTTTCTCCGTTTGTGAGATTTTTTCATATAGCTACACCTATGACCACACTATTTAATGAAAATGAAACAATGGCAAAAATATTAAGACTATAAGATAAGTTAAAATATTCAAGTAATAATTTAAATGTTATGTGCGATTAATGATTGATTTTGCAGTCTGAAACACCTTATTTCTAATGCGTTACTCACGCAGTGAGGGATATTTTTGTATATTTTGACCTTCTTTTACATGGATTGTAAGAGCCGTTTGCAATGTGTAAATTCCTTTCTTCATTTTACAAAATTTTACTTTTCGATACATTTTAAAAGTATTCAAGAAAATTGCTATGTATCTGAAGGCACGCTGCTTTAATCACAGGATGTATATCTTTTTCTCGAAATTAAAGAGTTTTCGATTATAAATACAAACAAAAAATTGAATTGCTTTATACTTTTTACTATATATTATTAACATGGAAAACAAACACACAATACCAACAAAAAATAAAAACAACATTTTATTACTGTATTTCAAATAAAATTATGCAGTTTAACGTATAATGTCGTAATTAAACATAAAATCTTGTTTTATATTTAATGTCTCATACGGAAATCCAAATTCATAAAACGCTTATTCAATTTTAGGAAAGTATAGGTCAATAAATTTTTAAAACTTACAAGCGAATATTTAGTAAATTTTTAAATTTCCTTAGTGTTTGAAATTATTTTTGTCCAATAGGATTGCAGTTTTTTTTAAATGAATCGTAACACATTTATAATAGGCAAACTGTTAATCAGTCTAGTAAATCGACTGTTTATAAAAATAATAATGAAAAAAAAAAACACAAAAAAAAAACACTTAGCCGGTTGAGATTTAATATTACGCACTGCTGCGCCGCGCCTGAGCAATTTAACCTGTAGATACGTGCTAATAAACCTATACTTCGTATTCAAAAGACGGAAGATTATACTTGAGAGTCATTTCGTTCTACATGTCCTTTATCATAGTTAAGTTGAATTAACAATAACGAAAGACTTGACCTTCTTATTGAAACCAAAGTAGAGGGCATGAGTTGTTTCAAGGATATTTATCTTTCACAGCCTTTTGTTTTATTTTATTTCAAAAAAAATTTTCATTCGAGACTGTAAAAGAACATTTTTCATTATAGTTTTAAACTAAACAATATTTTCAAAGTTCATAATTTACAAAAAAGAAAGAAAAAGTATACGTCTTAAATTTCTTGTGTAGAATATTCTGTAGACAAATATCTGGACCAACATTGATTTACATGTTAAATTTAGTGTAAAGAGAGTTTTCCAAATCGAATAATGTATTTTTTTAAGCAAGAAAGCTTTTTTCTATATCTTAAATTGTGGGTTGTCTTTATGTGTTCATGATCGGATTTGGACAGTAACAACTTTTTAAAGATCGTTTAGTTAGAAATACTCTTTGATTTAGACCTAATGGACCTTGAATTTCAAACGAGGGCCATCAACATCTGGTGTCCAAACACTTGGCCTCAAAGATTGAGTTACTGAAATACTTAGTTTGAAACAGCACAGCATTGTTTTGCCAACAGAAAATAGAATCTGAAGACCGCTTTAAATTGGAAATGTGTGATTTCTTTTCCTTTTTTGCGATTTTTTTTTTGCGAACTAAGAAACAAAATGTAAGAAAGGAAATAACGGAAAAAAATACCAAGAGCTTACATGTCCTTAAGAATTGCGTGCCACTTATTAACAAGTATGTCTAAGTCTAAATTTATTTAGTTTGACGGTCTTCGTAAAATTGACATTAGCGAAAAGAAATCTAATTTAAAAGTACTTTTGCAAGACTATCTGGCTTTCGGAAATGGCCCTTTACAAAATGGTTAACCAACGCTGCTAAGAAGGTCATGACAATTGATTCACTTTTTTTTTCGAAAGGTGGTGCTGTAAATGGAAAGCCTAACGAACGTGAGCCTGCAACATTTTAAATTTTGTCGTTTAGGGCGTTCTTAACTGATCCTGTCTCGCTTTTTCTCGTTTTGATTGAGTATGTTCTTAATTTTGCATATCTCTACTTTGTTTTCCATAATAAATTGTCGTCATTCACTTTTATTTCAATCGTGTCTTCATTGTGCATGAACATGCAGATAAATCATCATCAAAAACAAAAAAGAAAAGAAAACATTTTAATAGAGTACATTTTTCTTTCACTTGCAAAATCGTGGATACATTGTTCACAAAAAATATTGTTAATCATTTAATTATTAGTATCTTTTAAAAGTAAACTGCACAAAATCAATGAGTTACAGCTTATTAAAATATTTGAAATGTTTTACCCCACCCACTTAGACATCTGTAATTCTTACAAATGACACTCAACAAAATGTTTTGTTGAATAAGTTGTTAGTCTGTCACTTTGTTTCCAGAATTTTCATGTTTGTTTCCTGTATATATTAAATGAACACCTGTATTTGTGAATATGCAAAAGAAGAGAAAAGAAAAATAAACTTTATAAACATCAAACACTGTGCGGCTTACTACTTCTAAATGATCAATAACATCATGCATCAATAGCATGTGACCAGTTTTGTACAAATTTAAAGAACTATTGCCTAAGTAACAGTAGAGGATTTTAGTAACGTGTTTCACTTGCATTAAACAGAAGAACAAGAGCAATCACTGAATGTGATAAATTTTCTACCGGCAAACAGAACATCATTTATCTAAAATCAATGACAACTGCAAAAAAAGGCAAAAGTCTTTTTTGTATTACTACCAAAATATAAAGACGGTCATAGTGGCATTTATTAATGAAGGGCAGTCAACGGTCAAGTTTATTTTATGAATAACCAAATGTAATATTTTGGTCTTGTCCATTAAATGATAAAGTTGTAGACATTTTAAAGTAAAAGATTGCATGAAGCTCATTTAAGTTTATTAGGTAGAATGATGATCATGTCTTACGTTCTTTAGTTTAGTTAAGTCTTAGAGAATTCAAATAAAATTTCATAATTTTCCTTGAGGACCAACAACAATTATAGGGCAAAGTAATACTTCAGTAATACTTCAGTATTTTGGCTAATTGATATATGAAAATTCAATAACTTGCATTGACTTCAAATGTCAAGGTCAATATAATATGTCGAGATAATTTTTGAGTCCACTTGATGGAAATAGTTAGTCTAAATTTGAATAAAATCAGTCTATTATCAACACAAAGCAAGATTCAATTATTTGTTCTATACCTTTAAGGTCAATTTAAAGTAATGGAGTAACTGAATTGCTCAACATGATTAGTGTGTGTTTTTATGGGATCAAGCATCAATCAATTAATTCCGAAAATTAAAAAAGTATGGCTAATTTATAGCAAAATAATATACATATAAGGTCAAAATCATGTTAAGGTCAATGTTAAGTTTAGTTTTGCCTACTAAAACGTACTCTCCAAAATGTAGGTTTGCACATAAATGTATTCAGAACATCAAGTTATATAACAAACTTACAGCCATCTTTGAAATATACAAAAAGTTGACATTACTTGTCAAGATCATTTAAAGGTCATAATCAAACTTGAGTTGCTCAACATGAGGGTTGTTCTGTTAACGTATTAATCAAATCCTTCCATTAATTCAAAAAGTATGGCTTACTGTAAAAAAAAATAACAATTCGACCTTAAATGTCGAGGTCATTAAAAGGTCAATGTTAAACTTTGTTGCACAATATGACTATTTTATACATAGTGTTGATTTGTTTAAAGTTACATTTAATAAATTTCATAAAAACTAAATAGCGACATTTCATTAACAAATTGGGTTTTATATCGACTCCAGGTCTCATTTTGGTGTCCAGACAACCAAAATGAGTTTTATTTGCACTCATTGTGGCGAAATGGGAAGTACAATTTCTGATTGCATGAGAAACTCCGCCTTCGGATCATCCGTATATCAATATTAAATCAACAAACATAACTATAAGTGGCAGTCCTAATTTAACGGTATATTTCCGCATTGTAACGGATGTTTTCATACAAATTTAATCTTTTTACGAGATGATTACTTTTACTGGACCCCAGGTGTAGTGCACCGTGAAGCTTATACGGTTAAAGTGTGTTTGCACAAGAAAATATCACATTTGCTGTGTTCCGGATAGCAACTTTAAAACTGTGACGAAGCGCATACACGAGCTCATTATAGTCTTCATTTGCATGTTAAAATTCGTATACGAACTTTAGTGTTACCGTGGGGTATCCCGTTTAAAATCTTAATTTATGAACACTATTTAATGAGATTTACAACAAAACTTTTAAACAGGTAAATGAAACTGTAGAATGTTTGATTTTTAAGCCGACAACAAAATATTTTTACATATTTATTTAATGTAACTTTAAGGGTGAATTAAATAATCGATGAAGAACTACCGTAATACTATGCTAAATATTTTGGCAAAATTGTATTATTCCCTGCGGTCTGGAGACCGCAGGTTATTGGCACGCGTTTAACTTTTGAGGCATGGAGGAGCACGTGACCTGTTTTCGGTACATGGAGGAGCATGTGATCTGTAAACCGTGCACGATTGGTTAATTGACCTTTTCGAAAACCTAGCTAAATACCGTTTGCCGGTTACGGAGTTACCTGTAGGGAATTAGTCCGAATTACTCCTAATTAAGAACAAAAAACTATTACGTGATATTTCTAATTTTCTATAATTATTTTACCGTTTCAGGTGAAAAAACTTGAATGAAATGTTTGAAAATTATCTTTGATATCTATCTCAAATTTTAACAATAAATTGTTTATACTGAAAATCTACAAAATTAAAATATTCGTAGTGGCATCTGCCATACTAAATAGAGATATTTTGTGCGTAAACTTGTTTGTTTACTTTATTTATTTTTTGCTCGGAATTAGTCATATCATGGTAGTCCTATTTAATCATTTTCTTAAAAAGAAATAATTGTTTTATGTTCGACCTTCTCCGATCTTCAATGGTCACCAGTTTCCAAAGACCTTCTTCTATATTGATCGTTTATTCAATTGTCAACACAAACGTTGATTTCCCCCCCCCCCCCCACCAAAAAAAAAAAAATAAATAAATAAAATAATGTTGAAAATAGTTAAATGAAATATCTTTGTATCATAAAAATGTTTAACGCAGGAAACCATTTTACTTGTTTGATCTGTAAGGTAAAGGTAAACTTTAGCTTGACCTACTGAAAGGGATTGTTAAAAAGGGTTGATGTTTCCTAGCATGAATACAATATCTATATTTATAACATGCTTATAGCCAATCATAATGTTATTTATCAATTTAGATTATGTGTCAAGAGAGCCAGGTTGTATTAAAAGATTTAACAACATCCACTGGAAAGGTTTTATTTGAAAGATGAATTTCACATTACAATGTTATAGTAAAGTGAAATATTTTCGTACGTACAATATTTTTTAAATTGTTAGCTTTTATAAAGGATTTTAAAGTAATGTGATTGTCCTTGGGCTAGTAATTCAAATTCACCTTCATTTAGAAATGATAACCACTTTGAGCATGAAATGTGTTTAGAAAATATTTCATCTTATTTTCTGTGTTATTTGCGGTTCTAATTGTCATCGCTGAAATATATTCAAGTTTTTTCTATAAATACATTATTTATTTTCACCGAGTGGTATGATAATAAATATTTCATGAGTGGCGGTAGCCACAAGTAAAATAAATTTTTACAGTGAAATTACGGAAAATGAAAATACGCATTTTATTTCATCTATATTTCTCAATATTTCATTTATAAGTATATAATAAAATAAAATAATATATAATACCATGTTCATACATCTAGAATCTTTATTGTGTAGGGTACCTTCTCAGAAATTGCAACATTGGTTTTTAACACATATTTAATAATCTTTCAATCTATTAACTCACTACTCCAATTTGACAACACAAACATTTCTGATGATATTTCATGTTTTATTTTTGTCGACATGTATGTTAGATGATGTGAAAAAGACACACATTTGATATTTTGATAAAATTCATAAAATAACAAATATTCATGATATTCGCCTTCTTTGTGACGGGTAAGAGAACAACCTTTTCAAGGTACTTGATGTGAAGAACGCCTTCTTTGTGACGGGTAAAAGTGGAGAGTAAGAGAACAAACCTTTCAAGGTACTTGATGTGAAGAACGCCTTCTTTGTGACGGGTAAAAGTGGAGAGTAAAAGAACAACCCTTTCAAGGTACTTGATGTCATGAACGCCTTCTTTGTGACGGGTAAAAGTGGAGAGTAAAAGAACAACCCTTTCAAGGTACTTGATGTGAAGAACGCCTTCTTTGTGACGGGTAAAAGTGGAGAGTAAAAGAACAACCCTTTCAAGGTACTTGATGTGAAGAACGCCTTCTTTGTGACGGGTAAAAGTGGAAAGTAAAAGAACAACAACCCTTTCAAGGTACTTGATGTGAAGAACGCCTTCTTTGTGACGGGTAAAAGTGGAGAGTAAAAGAACAACCCTTTCAAGGTACTTGATGTCAAGAACGCCTTCTTTGTGACGGGTAAAATTGGAAAGTAAGAGAACAACCCTTTCAAGGTACTTGATGTCAAGAACGCCTTCTTTGTGACGGGAAAAAGTGGAAAGTAAGAGAAACCCTTTCAAGGTACTTGATGTCAAGAACGCCTTCTTTGTGACGGGTAAAAGTGGAGAGTAAAAGAACAACCCTTTCAAGGTACTTGATGTGAAGAATGCCTTCTTTGTGACGGGTAAAAGTGGAGAGTAAAAGAACAACCCTTTCATGGTACTTGATGTGAAGAACGCCTTCTTTGTGACGGGTAAAAGTGGAGAGGAGTAAGAGAACAAACCTTTCAAGGTACTTGATGTCAAGAACGCCTTCTTTGTGACGGGTTATAGTGGGGAGTAAGAGAACAACCCTTTCAAGGTACTTGATGTCAAGAACGCCTTCTTTGTGACGGATAAAAGTAGAGAGTAAGAGAACAAACCTTTCAAGGTACTTGATGTCAAGAACGCCTTCTTTGTGACGGGTAAAAGTGGAGAGTAAGAGAACAACCCTTTCAAGGTACTTGATGTCAAGAACGCCTTCTTTGTGACGGGTAAAAGTGGAAAGTAAAAGAACAACCCTTTCAAGGTACTTGATGTCAAGAACGCCTTCTTTGTGACGGGTAAAAGTGGAGAGTAAAAGAACAACCCTTTCAAGGTACTTGATGTGAAGAATGCCTTCTTTGTGACGGGTAAAAGTGGAGAGTAAAAGAACAACCCTTTCATGGTACTTGATGTGAAGAACGCCTTCTTTGTGACGGGTAAAAGTGGAGAGTAAAAGAACAACCCTTTCAAGGTACTTGATGTGAAGAACGCCTTCTTTGTGACGGGTAAAAGTGGAGAGTAAAAGAACAACCCTTTCATGGTACTTGATGTGAAGAACGCCTTCTTTGTGACGGGTAAAAGTGGAGAGTAAAAGAACAACCCTTTCAAGGTACTTGATGTGAATAGCGCCTTCTTTGTGACGGGTAAAAGTGGAGAGTAAAAGAACAACCCTTTCAAGGTACTTGATGTGAAGAACGCCTTCTTTGTGACGGGTAAAAGTGGAGAGTAAAAGAACAACCCTTTCAAGGTACTTGATGTGAAGAACGCCTTCTTTGTGACGGGTAAAAGTGGAGAGTAAAAGAACAACCCTTTCATGGTACTTGATGTGAAGAACGCCTTCTTTGTGACGGGTAAAAGTGGAGAGTAAAAGAACAACCCTTTCATGGTACTTGATGTGAAGAACGCCTTCTTTGTGACGGGTAAAAGTGGAGAGTAAAAGAACAACCCTTTCAAGGTACTTGATGTGAAGAACGCCTTCTTTGTGACGGGTAAAAGTGGAGAGTAAAAGAACAACCCTTTCAAGGTACTTGATGTGAAGAACGCCTTCTTTGTGACGGGTAAAAGTGGAGAGTAAAAGAACAACCCTTTCATGGTACTTGATGTGAAGAACGCCTTCTTTGTGACGGGTAAAAGTGGAGAGTAAAAGAACAACCCTTTCAAGGTACTTGATGTGAAGAACGCCTTCTTTGTGACGGGTAAAAGTGGAGAGTAAAAGAACAACCCTTTCAAGGTACTTGATGTGAAGAACGCCTTCTTTGTGACGGGTAAAAGTGGAGAGTAAAAGAACAACCTTTTCAAGGTACTTGATGTGAAGAACGCCTTCTTTGTGACGGGTAAAAGTGGAGAGTAAGAGAACAAACCTTTCAAGGTACTTGATGTCAAGAACGTCTTCTTTGTGACGGGTAAAAGTCGAGGGAAGAGATCTCCTAAAGCAATGCAAACACCAGAATTACTTAAAAATTCCATACTCGGTTTCAAAGAGAATTTTTATAAGATAAAGTAAATGTGTAAAATCTACTGTTTCAATAAACGGTGTAACTTTGTCAATCTTCGAAATGTGCTAAAATCCTTTTCCCATTTATTATAAAGCTTGCAAAATTTTGCTAAATATTCACTTATTACGTACCTGGTATAATACCAGGAACGTCATTTCGCAAAAAATCTAAGATGTTGTCAATATTTGTTGAGTAGCCTTGTTGCATTTAATACATGTATAACATGTAAAAAGTATGCACATGCATTTAAATGTTATTTTTGTTGTTTTTACTGTTATCTTAAAAATATAAATGATCGTTTCTATTTTCAGAGCGTAGCTCTATATTTGACAATCGCATATCATCCTGATTAGAAAAATGGAAATTCAAACAAATGAGATAAACACATCGGTAATATTTATCGTTTTCATATATGATATTTATCACATGCCTTTTTAGATTACATGTTATAATTGCTACAAAGATAATTGTTATTACTTACGTATTTATACCTTATTGCTGATTCAAAATTGTCTTGGCATTTTTAAGTCATAAAGCAGACAAAGTAGTATCAAATGAAATATCAAACAGAATTCTGAAATTTATTCATAGGAACAGAAACCTGCAACACTATTCTTATTAATGTTACAGAAGAGCTGTGATGAGCCACACTACCTTGAACACTACCTCAGACATATATTGTTATTGGAACAAGCTTCGCCCATCGCATTGAAGGCCATCATTGAAAGAGAAGAGAAAAAATATGGGAAGGATATTGGTAGTTTGCTAAATGAAAATAGACATACAATTAAAACACATTACGAAACAGAGTTTTTTCAATTATTTCAAGAAGATGATGTCAATGCCGACACTGATAAGTGGGACACGCTTCAATTATGTGCTGTAACATTAGCTTTGTTTAAATCAGGTCTAACTAATGCAGAAGTTAAAGCTATTCAATGTATATATGATCAGAGGAAAGATATTGAACATAACGGAGAAAGTACCTCCCTAACATACAATTCCTACGAGGAGAAACAAAATTTATTGCATGAACAATTACTCGAGTTGATAACACTCATAGACGACCGAGCTAATCATGATTGTAAACGTATGGTGATTTCAATTAAACTAAAGTCAATGAAATTAAGCAAACGACAGATAAACAAAATAACATGGACGAACGATTTCAAAAGTCATCTTGAAATTGCAATTGATTTAGTAACAGAGACTGATATTACTGGCGAAGAGAAATATTTAAAGCTCCACACGAATGGTAAGTATGGCTGGCTGGCTGGCTGGCTGGATGGATGTATGGACGGACGGACGGACGTGCCGACGGACGGACGGGTGGATTTATGGATGGATGTATGAATTGATGTACAGATGGATGGATGAAGGGACGGACGCACGGACGGACAATCATACATACATACATACAGATATAGAGAGACAGACAGATAGACAGACAGTTAGACATATAGACGGATGGATGGACGGATGGATCGAAAGACAGACAGACAGACAGACAGACAGACAGACAGACAGACAGACAGACAGACAGACAGATAGATAGTAATTAATTTGATTATACTAGAGCAGTAAATAATAACTTGATGTAGATATATTATATAATAACTTAATATAGTTGAATGTAATCTTTTAACCAAATACAATTTACTTCAGGTAAAATGTTCACTGAGGCACTTCAGAATAAGACTGTCTTCATTAATGATTCAGCTATTTTGGCATGTAAACTCAATATTCCAACAGATGAAAATGTTGAGTGGAGGAAAGATAACAAGCCGGTGACAATTTCAAACAATCTAATGGTCATGAGCAACAAGGAAAATCACTGGTTAGCGATTTCCCGTGCATCATTGGAAGATACGGGTCAATATACGTGTGTATGCGGAAATATTTCAACATCAGCTGATCTTACTGTTATAGGTATGCTTTAATCCAATTATAACAACAATACTTGAGTTATTGTCCAATGTTAAGAAACATAAAAAGATACAATCATACCTTATAATGGCATTTATAATACATTTATATGAATATGAAAATTTTCTATAGAACTAGTATATGGAAATTCTAATCATAACACGAAGGTTTTGGATAAGGCTTTAACTTGAGTTTCGTTGACAATGTAACAATTTAATAGTCTGTTATCAGACAGTTACATTAGGAACTGATATAATCAAAATGATAATTGATTAAGCGACATGTAAATGAATGATAACTAACAGGGGCGATTATTTGAAACAGTCTAAGCCATAATCAAATAGTAGTTGTTACTTTGGTAACAAAGACTAGGAATCCTAGATATTTGCGTAATAAAAATAACGATTGTGCTAGTTAAGTTTTGTTATTTTAACACTTGTTTTGGGTTTCTAAGAGTAAATCATTGCGACAGGAAAAACGTTTGCTTCATGCAATACAATACACGTGTATTTTTTATAAATGTTTGGCATAAGATTTTATATAAAATGATCAAAGCAATGATAAATTAAGTATTAAGTATTCGTTCAAGTTTCATACTCCTATTAATTTGTAACAGATGAAGAATTAGAATTAAGCGTTGATTCGCCTAACAAGATTGATGTGATTGAGAATGAAACCATTAATATCAAGTGTAAAGTGAACCGGCTAACGAGAAAACCAGATTGGCGACACAAAGGGAAAGTTCTACAATCATCTGGTAGAAAGGTTATACTAGCCAAGGGTACTAAACACGAATTGATGATCACAAATGTAACATTACAGGACGAGGGGGAATATACAGTTGACTTTGAGAATGTCTCATCTAAAACTACAGTTCAGATACAGGGTAAATATATTTGAAGTTATCTTTGTTTTGGTAATACTGACACTTTTTATTATAATTTGTTGGTTTTGATCTTGAACAGGCCTTGTTGATGTAAGACGTAAATATTATTTATTTGGTATGGGATTTTAAAAAAATGCCATTCATTTCATAACGAATTGTCAAATAATAGAAAATCGTCTGTGCAATGTTCCTTATTTTTAGGGGAAACAGATCTTATTCACAGAAAACAGATAACACAAGAATTGTATAGAAATTGGGTGAGAGGAACTCTTGCGCTTAAATACTTGAAAATAGGTTTAGAGGGTTTTTGCGACAAGGCTGTTAACATACAGCATAGTGCTCTGATGAAAACACTTGGAAACACCTGCAACACTTGTACAGTGGAAAGTCTTCTCCCACATGAAAAGAATCAATGCCCACATAAAGGAAAACGTAAATGCTTATGTACCAAGAATCACAACAAATCAAGACAAATTTGTCCAAATGGGCGATTTTGTGGCCACCTTTATGATGAAATAGTTAGTCAACATCGCTTTCAAGATCCATTATTCACGAACATGGATGTTCAGAAATGGAGCAGTGATCCTTGGAGTGTTGCCACATGCTTCATTAATACTACTGGCTACAAAGGCAAACAGTCAGCTAAAGACGTCGACTGCTCTGGTTTACTTAGTTTGTGCATAAACAACATTAATATAGAAAATATGCTTGGAAAAGATATAATCAATGGAGAAAATGATGCTTTTACAAAGGTAAATATTTTCTCCAAGTAATCGCTAGTAATAAGAAAAAATTGTATTTATATGATATCTAACCTTCATTGTGCAAATTCTGAACATATTTGCTTTACGACCAATTAATGAGAAATAATTTAGCGACAAGTTAACATAAGACTTTAAATACTTAGGTGTTACTTTTACAGGCACGAAAATCACGGAATGATATCCTTCACAATCCACACTATGAACTATCTGAAAACCAACTAAACATATTTATCAAAGAGTTCAAAGAAGTACTAGAAATCAAGGACGAAAATGGCCATAAACCTCTAAAAGGGGAGCCAGGCGTTGAAAATGCATTATATTTACTTGATATGGTAATTATCTTAAACAATTAATAATGAAGTATATATAAGAACAGAAGTGGCCGAATCGGGACATATTTTTATTAAAAACTTTTATTCAGTAAGTGAATATATTTAAACTTTATCATAATTTGAATGTGTAGTAAGTGTTGTGTTTTTATTTTTAGATAAATCAGTTAAGGAAACAATTTAAGTTTTATAACATTTTAAACGTTTTTTATTTGTGGATCATTTTTCTCCACTAAAGTTAATGCTTTTAAAAACGCAAGTTATTGCCTAGGATATAAATTCAATGACACAACAAATTAATCTCAAACACATATTTTCTGTTCCATCATGGCAAAAAAAACTCAAGGGAGTCTATTTATCCGTTCTTACATTTTAATGAAGCGTTGTTAATCCGCCAGCAAAAAGTGAGCACGTGACTGCTAGGCTTTTTACACAAATGCAATATTTGTCATTATAATTCCACCTTTAGTTTCATCAGATGCGCATCAGTATTTCATGATATTGACATAATATGATAGCATTACACCAAAATACAACAGCAACATCGAAATAGCATCAATACAAGATGTAAAATGTAAAAATAAACTCAAAACTACAGTTAAAACATTCGTCAGTTTTTTGTACATATTTAACCTTTTAAATACTAAGTTTATCAAGGTACTAGTATTTCACTCCAATACTTCCTATGCTTTCAATAAAATACTTAAGGTCCTTCCATTGTTTTTAAAACAATTTAGTCAAAAATAAATGTATTGACACAAAAAGACAAACTACATGAAATATGTTTAACGGACTGCAGTCCTGTTGTAAATGTGCTACAGTTGCAGCAAAATCAGATTGACATAAACCTTGAAGATGAGATAGGGCAACTGAGAGAACATGGGATGGTAAGATTAGAAGAAAAATACCAAACAGCAAGAGAACAGGCAAGATTTATAGATAATGTATTTGAGTACTGTTATATCAATATTTTATTACTATTATTGTACTTAAGACAATAATGATTTAGTGTCTCTGAAACCTGGATAATAAAGCCAAAATGTGTTTGAAAAATATACAGCGATTCAAAATGTACTAGCTAGTCTACTAGTATTAATCTATATGTACCATTACTGATAATGAGATAATAAACTCATAGTTTGTACACTTTTACATGTCTCAATAAAACATAGTAGCATACTCGGAAAGGGAATAAAATGCATAAATAGCCTCGTTTAAAATTTGGTTATGAGTTAACCTTTGGATAACAATACATTCGTGAGTAGTTCAAATGTGACAAAATATTTCAGTATGCCTATTAAATTTTTGGTCATAAAATTTTCTTACTTTATGACTTCTATATTAAAAAAAATAAACTTCTCTGAGCATTTAGACGTTGATTTTTCATATTTTAAAGTGTAACGTGCGTAAATAACAGATCATAGATTAATAAAATTTGCAAGTTAAATATAAGTGAAAATGAGTTTCCTTCTTGGCCATGTTTATGCACTATTATTAGTTTATGAATCGAATAACATACATAATGCAACACTTTATTTTTTCCTTTCTTCAGCATGAATTGAAACTTCAACTGATAAAGCAACAGATAAAAGGTTTGTTTTTGTATTTTAATTTGAAAAAAATGAGAGCTTAAATGTTAAAATATTAAAGTGACATTATGCTCATATTTTCATCGTCAAGTTGAACTAAATTGACAACATATTTCGAAAGATTGTCTGTTATAATGGTGACTGACCAACACTCGATATTGGAAAACGTTTTGAATAGAATATATATCCTGCCTTAAATATAAAAAGACTGCCCACTCTTTTTATAAATTGACTGTTTCAGGTAAATTTTGGTAGATATTCAGATATTTTAAGGGGGCAACGTGTGTAATTTATCGTTCATGCGAAGTATATTATAAAATTGTAAGGAATTCAAACAAAATGTAAACTTGTTCTGACTTTTACCTGTTTACTCACTATATACCCTTGTATGGACATAATGTCACTTTAAAATAAAAATAAATATTAGAAATAAAACTTTCAATACGCATAATTAATATAATGTTTACAAAATAAGTTAACTTTATATAATTATAAATAAAATGATCTTTTTAAGGTATTATGACCCTAATGGGCACTATCAGGAACTAAAGAAATGACATCATAGGTCAGATGTATACCTTAAAGTACGCCTGTATGCAAAATTTGAACAAAGTTTACCGTACGGAAATCAAGTTATGGCCACATTTCTGAACTCAAGCTAGGATGTTATGAGGGCTCTTTTTTAGAAATGAGGAACCTTTAAATAATCTGCAATAACATTCTAATGAAAAATGTTTTCCCATGAATTTTTGGTAAGAAACAAATAGTACCATTCAGCTAACAATCCACATAAGCAAAATTATGGTTTCTACTTAAAATTTATGAAATCTGTATAAAAATGTTACCCTACCCCACCCATTTTTACCACATGTCTGACCATTTTTCTACTTAGGGAGCCTAATTCAAAAAAATCTTAAAATTTACCCAAATGAGTGCCTGTTTTCAAAGTTTCCCTAAATTTTTTAAAAAATATATTGGTTGATCTTGTAAAATATGAAATACTTTTACCGTCTAGTTTTGTTTATATTACACTTTGAAAATATCAGGTACCATATTTATTACTAGATTTAGCATAATTTAGCCAATAAATACCTATATAAATTAAAAATTCAAAATTAAACACTTTTTCTGTTCCATATGGGACATGAGAGATACATAAATAATGTTAAAAGAAAAAAAAGAAAGAAAAAAAAGTTGACCCTTCTGGGGATTGAACCCATGGCCCTCATTTTCAATGTAGTTAACAGTAATTCTAACCTATTTGAATACTCTTCAACGCGGAGGTAATGCATTAGGGTGAAAAAATGAGAATTTACTAAGATAATAAGTTTTTACTATACATTGGCTTAATTATATTTAGAAAAAAAGCGTTTATATTTCTGTATTAAGTAATGCTGGTTACGGAATGATCAATAAATATAACGATAATTTAGTACGATGGTAAATATTAGAAAGTTTTACAGACATTTACAGTGATGTTGCTTTTACCACAAACAATTGAGTGTCGGTTAGAAGGTTTATCTTTTTCATTACCGTCCATGAAAAAGCTCTATCAAACCGAGCCTGGAACATTTTCAATTTTGTCGTTTTGTGCGTTCCTGTGGGATTCTTAATTTCTCTCTATTAGAAATAGGCCCAAAGCTGTATCGTTCCATTCATTTATGCATGCTGAATTATTTGAACTAGATGAAATTATTAAAGATTAGTTACATAAATCTATTGCCATTTATGTATTTTCTTGAATTGTGTTTTATTCACAGATCAAGAAAACGAGCTCCGACTTATGCTAAATCTTAGGTATGCAGGACAACATAAAGGTATTTTACCTATCATATTTGATGTCTAATCAATAAATATTCTTGTTTTTTTTTTAAATAAATGACAACAGATTTAGAGTCGTACCAGCTTTATCTGATTTATTTCCATGAATGCTTCAAAGTCAAAAACAGTTCTTTTAACTTTTCCTTGTTATTCTTGTATAAAAATTGCGCACAAGATGTACGTTAACGGAGACGGAAACGTGCTTGAACAGAAACAGTCACGAAAGTATGCTCGTTTTTGATTTGCATGACTTAGCACGCCTTGTAAATGATGTATTGTACATGTAATGGCGACTATTTCCATAAAAACGGGACGAAACCGGTGACATGACTATAAAAATTGTAAGTGAGGATTTATCTAATTAGACGTATACTCTTATTTAAGAATAGTGCGTATGTGTTGTTTTTTTTTCGTGCATTTACACTTGCAGGAGCCCTCGGACATAAATATTTATACAAAAAAAGAAAGAAAAATAAGTTCCAGTAAAAAGTCAAATATAACAAAAAACTCAGTCCATGAGTTAATTCATTGAATCATTTGCCAATAATAATTTGCTGTATTTTTGCGGGCTCAGACTTTAAATGTACTCTCTTGCTTTCGCAGACGTCAATGCGCGTTTAAACGTACATGAGTCGTAATCTTGTGAAATTTTCTTATTTTCAGAGGAATTTCTGTTTGAACTACAAATAAGCGTTATTGCTGAAAATGGTGAAAAAAGTCTCGACGGGAATCAACGAGTTTATGATGTAATGAAAGACTATATCCAAAATGATGATGGGTCTAATGATACACCACTCAATCACCTCCTGAATTACATCAAGGCCATAAATAAATGCCATATCGTTGATATTTCTTCCACTAGCCAATCATCAACAGAAATACACATCCAATGTCTCACTTCTGAGGCGATGGAAAATTTTCTGAAGGCTATCAACAGCAACAACTTTCAACAAGTACTGTTTAAGATTAGACGATGGCTATATGTGCGATATGGCATTAAATCGCACGACATAATAGCTAATTGCTCATCAAATGCCATAGAGAAAGCAAAGCAACGTCTTCGTAAGTTTAATTTTTATTATATTCTTTATATGTAATAATAGTGGTTTCTACGCTAACCGGTGTATTTACAATTAGCTTGTGTACATTGATTGTACTCATTGCCTGATTAAAGCAAAATCAATTCAGATTATTTCCTTTTGGTCAATATCGTTAAGATGTCTAATGATTTATTAAAAAACTGTATATAAAAGAACATTATACGTTGATATTATATATATTTATATATATTCTGTAAACTCAAAGACATGTACGGATTTATGAAAGCGTTTATTTCTATCTTCAGACTTTACTAACGTCAAAGACATGTACATATTTATGAAAGCGTTTATTTCTATCTTCAGACTTTACTAACGTCAAAGACATGTACATATTTATGAAAGCGTTTATTTCTATCTTCAGACTTTACTGACGTCAAAGACATGTACATATTTATGAAAGCGTTTATTTCTATCTTCAGACTTTACTAACGTCAAAGACATGTACATATTTATGAAAGCGTTTATTTCTATCTTCATACTTTACCAACGTCAAAAACATGTACATATTTATGAAAGCGTTTATTTATATCTTCATACTTTACTGACGTCAAAGACATGTACATATTTATGAAAGCGTTTATTTCTATCTTCAGACTTTACTGACGTCAAAGACATGTACATATTTATGAAAGCGTTTATTTCTTTCTTCAGACTTTACTGAGGTTATCAGAACTATGTCTTGTGCCGAGCATCAACATACACAGTGTACTCTCTATTGTCCTGACCATGACACGTTGTTATGTACAGCATGCAGGGAATCAAGACATGGGTAATTATACATTTCTCACAATAGGTTATTTAAAGTGGTTAATGTGGAACAAAAAGTACCACATTAAACAAACGAATTTAAAAGGGTGCGAAAATGACAACGTATCAATCAGAAACATTTAAAAAAAATTTACATAACTAACTTGTAAACAAAATATTTCTTGCTGACATAAAATGTCTGTGTATTTCTGAAATACATTTGTCATTGAGACATATTTTATTACACGATTGTTGGTAAAATATGGTTAATATTTAATAAAAACAAAATTGCCAGCAATTAAAGTTAAATATCTTTGAATAATGTTAAGCATTACATTGAAAAGACAAAACAACTTTTATTGACACTTTTATCCATCATTTAACCGTATTTAAATAATTCAAATTAATTTGTTAAGTAAGACGAATGAACTATAATATAGTAATCAGCTTTGATTAACATTTAACTGCAGGCAGAATTATAAGTATTCTTGTTAAAGCGATTTGTCGAAATCACATTTGGTCTACACTGAGGTTCAGGTATAGTGAACGAATTGACCAGTTTGTCGTAAAAGCAGACAAAGAAACTAACAAAATATTTTCAAATTCCAGATTTTTTTTATGTTTCTTTTTAATTTGTTTAACAGTTAACTTTCATTTAGAGCAATACATAAATTCCTTTTCATCTGAATGTGTGCCAGTTATTTATTGAAGGGATTATCTGCTAGTTTGTCTTTAGCATTGAAATATTCTAACATGCTTATTCTTATAATTCTAAGATAGTTTGTATGCAAACATATTAGCATGGATCTTTTCGTATATGATTAAAGAACAATATGAATACATTTCAATCATTATAATATCTTTTATCTTAATTCGTGTTATAGATTATTTTGTGATTAAGTTAATCATGAAACATGCATGATCTTTGTTTCATTCCATTTATTTTTATCTTGAGAATGAAAAAGTTATTGCTCATAATGAAAGTAACAATATACATTGAGTTTTTTTCTTGTAATTGCTGTTATCAATTTTTCGATATACATGCTATTTTCTTGAAACTAATCATATTTCTTTTATTTGGTAAACAAGCAAACTATTATTGCATGTTTATCATTTTAATATTTTAATATCTTATCAGTTATACATTTAGCGCTTTAAAATCAATGTGATGCACCTTTTAATCAAAATATTATATCAACATCGTTCTTTGTAATACACCCATACTTTCAATATGAACTAAGTAAATAACCGAGGTATATCGAGCGGAAAAAAATACGAGTTGTTTCCCTTATCTTCGAGTCCTATGCTAAAACAATACATATTTGACCGTTTAAAAACCGCTAGTTTGTTGTGATTATAAGTCCGATTTTAAGATTTATTACACCAACGGAATGCTTTGGCTCTTAGCTTCGTCACAGTATATACTTTAATACATCTTTTGACATCACAGTATTTAAATTACCTGTTAAACCAACCAACCATATGTCAGACCATTTTTACATACGATATATAGAGTGAGATACGCAACAAGTTATCTTTACTCGAAAAAGAAACTACTGATAAGAATAGCCATTAGTTACATGAGAATAGCAGCTAGTACATTGATTATGATGTGTTTGTGCTTTGATTGGCCCTTCTATTATAGGGCAGAAAAATCGTACAACAAAACTGAAAGTGACATCAATTCCCTGAACATGATCACAGGCGTACGGCACATTCCCATGCCAACAATGGTCAAATTATCATAAAATAATCACCCCTTGATAATCAAGAACAATATAACTACCCAGCACCCGTTTTCTATATAAAATATATACAAGGTATATAACTCGAAGTACTTAGCGTATTCCCAACACGATAAACATTTTGCTCTCGCATTTTTAACTAAGACATATATCATACTTTAATGTGTAAAATAGCACATTAGATATATCTTTCAGTAACCGTAACAAATATTGAGCCATCTTTTTTCTTTTAAGATAGATGAATACTCAAACGTGAAAAACTGCCTTAAAATTGCGAGGTCGACATGTTTTGTGCAACGGAATTTCCAAAGTCCACCACGAGTAAAAAGAAAGTTTTAACATTGAATTCCAACTGAAATATGCTATTTGTGAACGATATATGACTCTAAATTATGAATTTTAACTAAATTAAGTGAGTCGAAACTAGTAAAGATTACAGAAATATGTATTGTTTTGGTGTATTTTAACTAACTAAATTTTATCACATTCTTGTTTGTATAGATGATACCACCTTTACAGCACGTGCATTGAATTAGCCAATGAAAACCCTCCATTTCAGTTGACAGGAACATGGCAAACCTTTAAAAAAAAACATTATTGAAATTTAGTAAAAATGTACTTTCAAGTGACATTTAATATGCCACTATCGTGATATAATAACTTGAAATCAATGTTGTAACCTGCTTGGAATACTTTCTTACTAATGGGAAGCAACTAAACGTATGTTTACTCGTGGTAGATTTTGAAATGTGCGTGGCACAAAACATGTCGACCTCGCAAGTTTAAGGTCATTTTTCACGTTTGATAATTCATTGTTAAAGAAAAAATATGGCTTAAAATTTGTAACGGTTACTAAAAGATATATCTATGTGCTATGTTTACACGTTTAAGTATGAAAATATGTCTGATTTAAAAAAAATGCGAGAACAAAATGTTTACCGTGTTGGGGAATACGCTACGGCGAGCTTTATACCTTGTATATATTTTATAAAGTAAACGGGTGCTGGATAGTAATTTAGTTCTAGACGATAAAGGGGTGATTATTTTATGATAATGTGACCATTGTTGGCAAGGCAAATGTGCCGTACGCCTGTGAACATGATGAGTAATTCGCACGTTTTTGTCCAACAGTTTTCTTAGAGGTCAACACATGCTTGCTGATAATGGCCCGACAAAGTCCATAATGACCTGAGGACCGCAGACTCTCGATATCTGTGTCCCCAAATAGCAAGCAGCAACATAGTTTTGACGTCTTTAGTACCTTTCCTGGAAAAAAGGTGTTTAAAAGCCGCCGCTAATCTTGATTGTCGCCATTGGTTATCAATATAAACAAACATTTCGTCATTCGGTTTAAATAGAACTAGCAAGGGCGCAGACCTCATGCAGAACATATTCTTATATATAAACAAAAAACTTACATAATTATAATGTCGAACATTTTGTTCCATTATAATAGCTGCTGGTTTCTTTTTCCTCGCCAGGTTTTGGTAAATGCAACCGATATTTCTGCACGCTTTAAAAATGAATCCATACCAGAAATCAATAGAAATGAAGGGTGGAACTAGTTTTTACCCAATACATGTACATACGATTGTAAACGATTTTAATATAAAAGTATAGCCCGTTCTTGTACTTGCACATACTATAATAAATTGAAAGAATGTGTATGCATTTACCAAGAAATTATATCTAATATAAGGCCGCAAGCGTTTTCGTACATACTTTCAATTTTAATAATAATCCAATTTCCTCTAGCGGGCTTATACTTTCATAGGCACCGATGCCGCTTAAGCAGGAGAAATCATTGTAAACGGTGACAATCATTTGAATGATGAGATATAAATTACTAAATCAAAAAACAACAATAACATTCCAATAGTAATTTAAGCAAAATAGAAAACTTAAATTGTAATGTCACGAGGCATTTTAAATATATTGGTGGATATTACCTTCCATAGTTATTGTCTTTGTAAAAATGTTAACGTACTACACGCCCTTTAAACGTGCATATTGAACACTTATTGTTTCTACTTAATTTTATTTGAAGTTAACCCGTGAAGTACAAAATTACAACGTAAAACAGTTTACATATACACAACATATACACAACATATATACACAGACATCATATTTAAATATGAGCCATGTTATTAAATGTCTACTATTAATGTCATGCCATTTAAACTAGTGTAAAAGGTTTAAAGGCCAAAAAACTTTCTACTCAATACTAGATGACTGTATGGCTAGCGTTTACGATATTTATGATTATGATATATTTTTGTTGTATTCATAATCATAAAGATATATTGTGTTAATAAATAAGTTTTCCTATTTATACAGCACATGTCTTGGAATAAAACAAGTAACATCTGAAAGGTCTTACGTTGAACAGAAACGTCGTCTCGACCTCAAAAAATTCAAAGGAACTTATAACGTTAGGATAGGTAAATCTTTGATAAATAGAGACAACAACGATCAATTTCAATGTAGTGTAACTTGTATGTGTATGCTTCCTAATAGTGAGGTTCTTCTTGCTGATAAACGGAATAAACGACTTAAGAAATTGAATAGTTCGTACAAGGTAATAAGTCATTGTGATGTACCTGAATATCCCTATAACGTATGTTATATAGGCAACGATACAGCTGTTGCTGGCTTAAGAGATCATTCCGTGCAATACGTGAATTTGTCAGGTAATATAAACCTAAGACGATTAGTGAGGCTAAGTCATAAATGCCTCGGTCTAGCTTGTCACGGTGACACACTCTATATTAACAGTGGTGACACCATATACAAATATGACAATAACTGTGAACAGAAGAAGTCTCTCTATCATTATCGTGAAAATCTGCATATGTTCTGCAAACAGTCAATTTCTGTAAGTGACAATGCTGAGCGACTCTACTTCATTTCAAGTACAGGTTTAACTACAATAGATGCAAAAGGAAATCAATTATTAAGCGAACAATTTGACGGTTATGATATATATGATACTTGTATTGCTGGCGAAGGTATTGTTCTTGTATTAGGTAAAACAAACACTCTTCATCAGCTGGATTATACAGGCAAAAAGCAGCGGACTGAAAATAACATGACATTATGTCTACTTCCGAGTTCTATGTGTCTTGACAGACAACGATGTAGACTTATTGTTGGTTGTGATGTAGACAATATAAATGTCTACAAATGTGAGATCTTGCCAAGTTAGTTGATACAATTGTTTTGGTAATCCAAAACCAAATGAAAATGCATTGATAAACCACTGTTGATTATCAAACTAATAAGTTTGTAAGTTGGCTTACTTCTTCCTTAAGGCATTGCTTAACAGTTTGATGTCGCACTTATTTATCTTGAATGTATTTGTAATAACATGCATATTTTACAAAGCTTTTTCATAACAAAGGTTGAATAGTTACAAGTTTGAATCTGTTTAAATCAAAATCGAGATAATTTTACAACCGGACGCTATTGTTTAAGGGCCAACGAATGAATTGATGATTGAGATTGATTTATCCCGCATATTGTCATTTCTACTAATAGTCCTACACGCCAACTGTTTTATATCTTAGCAACAGGTTTAAGAAAAATATGCATTATGATATATAGCTCATATGAAAAAAGGAAACTTCATTCCAATTTATCAACGAAATAAGACACAATATAGGCATTTATTGTAAAGACTGCAGGATGAACTTAAATTAATGTCATATTTGATTTTTTAGTACTGTACAGTGGGTAAAAGAACTTTTCCGTACTTGCAATTTTGCTTGCGTCCATGTATTCATGAAGAAAGAAATAAACCATTCGAAATTAAAGATCCTGTAATACAATTTTTTATTGTTTAATATCATAAATATGATAATCAAATTAAAATTGATCTGCTTTGTAGGTTCCAAAAAGCATTATTTTTAAAAAATATTTTATATAAAGACTAAGTCAAATTTTTCAATAAGAAGTGAATGCATATAGTTTAATGATTACATATAATATATACAAATATTTGCAGTACATATTTTACATATTTTTCGATGTTTGAAAATTGTTTTATAAGCATAATTATATACATATATATAATTTCATTTAAGTGTGGTGTACAACCTCAATTACAATATACAGGATCTTCAAAATCGGTTTGACATGTTTTTATTGTTTGTGTATTTTTGTTGTTGTTGTTTTTTTGTATTCACCAAATTAAACAATATTACAGCACTATTTCCATATTTCATTTGTTATCATTATATAATCTGTTTGCTCATATTTTGTCATCGGTTTAGAGCTACATGTATGTCATGTTATGGTATTCGTCGTAAACATTGCATTTTTAAGCACAATGCCTCGTTAATCACTATTCTCCGTGACAACTTATCTCGGACACCAAGTCTAATTATCATTTTCCTTTCATCAATGATGTAAAAATTATGCATTATTAGAAGTAGTCGGTCGATTGTGGAGACACTGTTGTAAATATTTTTCATAGAGGAGTCCTTAATATATCTGGGTATATCTCAGTCTAAAAACCAACAAGAGCCGCCGTCAGGCGTGGGCCACGGTCGACTTGTTTTTCTTCTTCTTAAGTCAAACAAGAAATGTTTTCTTCAATAAAGTATAATTTGAATGAATCGGTTTTGTCATTTGTTTTCGTTTATCCAAGAAACAAATACCAACTTATGGAGAGTTATGCAAATTTCAAAATTTAACCTTTATGGTAAATGAATTATAGTCTGTTTTGTTATAAGCGTTCTATTGCAGAAGCTTAAATCAAGTCCATAAAAAATAACAAATATGGCCAACTGTGTGATAATTCACTTATTTGACCTTGATTAAGGTCAAGGTCAAATAAAACTTATTTCATATTTTGGTTTATTAATGTTTCCAAGTATAGACAATCCTTTTATATAAACAAACATGACGGTAGCAATAGCTACTTTTTCTCCAAAAAGGTCTCGCTAAAAATACGAACTTTTTTATTTCATTACAAAAAATATGTTCTTACATACGACAATGTCTACGAACAATGCTTAATGAAAATTCAAATCTCAGCAACCGTAGACACTCATCCATTTCTATTTCTGCATTATTTTTGCACATTCCATATGTAATTATTACCTGACTTGATATTTCGGGTTAACAAGGATGTGTAACTTGATAAACATTAAAGGTTATGACCTTCTGTTCATGTCAACGTCTTTATTATTAGTTTAAGTCACATCGACACTGTATAAGTCACATGTCTTGATTGATTAAGTAGGAATTAATTAATTAAATGTTAGAGAATGCATTTTGCATTTTAACTTGGAGTGTATCTTGGTATAAATCATTGGCATATATATAATGTACCTGGTTACATGTAAATCTCTGGTTGTTACAGTAACCAGTGTATAGTGTGTCACAGGAGACCTCCCTTCAGCAGTAAATATGAAAATTGCCATATAACAAATCAAGATACAAAAACATTAATGTTGTCATTTTAGTCCCCTACCGGTTTAACCGGAGGGGACTTAAGGTTTACCCTCCGTCCGTCTGTCCGTCTGTCCGTCCGTCTGTCTGTCTGTCAGTCCGTCAGCCCGTCCGTCCACAAAACTGGATCCCGCGATAACGCAAAATGTACTGAAATGTATTTTAATGAAACTTGATATATGGATAGATGGCAGTATAGAAATTATGCACGTCTTTTTCTTTTCTTCCTATGTTGAAAATTCTGGTTGCTATGGCAACTAATAGTCTGAAAATATGGCAAATTTAACACACAAACTGGATCCAGTGATAACACAAAAATTACTGAAAATATTTTAATGAAACTTGATATATGGATAGATGGCAGTATGGAGATTATGCACGTCTTTTTCTGTTCTTCCTATGTTGAAAATTCTGATTGCTATGGCAACTAATAGTTTGAAAATATGGCAAATTTAACACATAAACTGGATCCAGTGATAACTCGAATAGTACTGAAAATATTTTTATGAAACTTGAAATATGGGTAGATGGCAGTCTGGAGATTATGCACATTTTTTCTTTTCTTTTTATGTTGAAAATTTTGGTTGCTATGGCAACAAATAGACTGAATTTCAAGATGTCTGATTAAAATTGTTTAAGCTTTTTCACTATAAGTTCTTTATTTCTTAAGGTGTTTACTTCAAACTTTAAATATAAGTTTCTGGTCATCAACCACATCATATGTGACAAAGTTTACAACTCTAGCACAAATTAATCAGAATTACCTCCCTTGAACTTAGAATTTTTATGAAAAAAATGTTGTCTTTTTGAAATACCTTCTTTATTTCTTAATGTATCTACTTCAAACTTCATATATATGTTTCTTATTATCACTCAACATTTTTGAGAAGGTTCAATACCCTAGCAAGACTATTTTCAGAATTATGTCCCCCTTGAACTTAGATTTTTTTCGAGAAATTGGTATTTTTACTCCAACTTCTTTATTCCTTTAAACTTAATGTTCATAAATCTAGCATCTTTATTTCAAGAGTTATCTTCTCTTTAAAAATTTGCATTAAAATATGTTATATTTTGGTAATAGGGATGTTTGAAAAAATAACTTTAGAGTCTCCTTCAGTCTGTCTGTATGTTTGTCTGTCTGTTCATAAAAACTGTTTCCTGAGATCACTTTTAAAGATTTTTTCCAACAAATTAACTTAAAAAAGAGAAACGTTGAAACAATAGTTATTCTTATTCATCCTGTGAAAATTGGACCTTTTGATTATTTGTTTTATAAACATAATTTTTCTTACTAGGCAAGGAAACTTAACACAGACAAACTTAGAACTCAAAAGATTTAAGTTCATTCTTGTCATCATTCACTGGTAAAATTGAATGGCCAATGGTCCATCAGAATGTTGCTGGGGTTCTAACCGGTAGGGGACTGATAGATTGATAGGGACCTGTGATCTCAAGTCAGCGACCTTAACCACTCGGCCACGAAGGCCCCTGCGTCGTTTATTCAGGCGTTGTTCTCCGTAATTACTCGCCTTTGTTTTACATACATAATTATAATGTTTTCATAACGTGTATACTTGTGCAATAAGCTGGGAATGCGATGACCTCAACTTTAAACATGTTTGTAAAGTGAGAATTGCAAAATGAACTACTTTTAGTCAATTTAAAAATGCAACCGAAATAAATTTGGAATTAAAACTGGAAATATTCAAATTAATCTCAGAAACTGTGCAACGTGTTTTATGGGAAAATATGAAAAAAAAATATGTATGCGGGAAAGATAGACAATCTATGAATATTTAAAACGTATGTTTTCTGAAGCAGCATATTTTAAAGCAGAACCTATTAGGTAAGTAAATATATATAATAAGTATCTACTAGCTTTTTTTAAGTTTATTTTTTAAAATAAAATTGTCGAAGGAATACTATAATGGTTTTCAAGATTGAAAGTTATTTACCTTTAATTATAAATGTTTACTAAAGATATTTTTATCAGTGTATTTATCGATTGTTTAGGTTTCCTAATATTATACATTCCCCAACCTTTGATTTGCTCCGATTTAAAAATCCTAAAGCCGTCGTCATACAGATTTCTCAAGACTTTAAGTTGGTTGGCAATTGTCACATTGCCCCAGGTACTATTTGTATATCTATAATCCACAACACGGTTGCCACTCCATACATTCTCAAACCTATATCCAAAATGAATTTCTTAACAAATTTGTCTCACATATCTAAGGTCACGGGATTTAATGACGTCAGGTAACACTTTCCATTCAAATCCTTCAATATCGATCTTCAAGATGTCAATATATCTCTGGAATAAAATTAATGTCTGATATAAAATTTCTGATGTATTTAAAGAATTGTAAACGAGACAGTGATCACTTAATTTCTGACCACAAGGTAGAAAGTTTTAAGCTCCTTTTAAGACGCGCCATGGCCCGAGTAGTGTTATAGAAATTTGTTTAGCTCAAACTCAGATCTTAGGTTATTAATTAGTCAAAAAACATCGCAGAGTGTTCACTGACCAATGAAAATACAAAGATTTGAGACTGAAAAAGTTTTATTACACCGAGATCAGATGTTGCTGCATTCTCTTTTGCTAAGAGATATTGAAGTTTCTCAATTGTATGGGAAACATAAGGTTCTCTGACGCATCATTTTATGTAACCTCAGTTTTGAGACAAATGTTGTTCTTGTTTGACCAATGTACGCACTCATTTAATGTGACTATCATTTACATGTCCTGATCAACATTTCACTGCTTTTTATAGAGTATTAATACAGCGATGAAGGGCAAGTGGTCTGAAGACAACGAACATGACCTCTTGGCTACGGACATTCCTGACACTTAAATCATCATTGCACAATTGTTACTACCCGAAGACACTAAAAATAATCGTAATAATGCAAAAGCAACAGTGTTGTAAATAATTTTTTTACATTAACATTTACTCTTTATCTCCATGTCATGAACATGTTTTTATTCATTATTTCCTATCAACGACAGGGACCTTACTTTAGTTAATGAATGTATACGTGTATCTAAATACATTTGTAGTTGTGTTTTTTGTTTGCATGTAATTGCTTGTTTGTAGATAGAAATTAAATGGTAAACAGTAATATGTAAATGGGAAAAAAGAAGAAAGGAAAATTCAAATTATAAATTCAAACCTTTTCATGGCGGAATGATCGTTTAATGGATGAAAGTCTTTTCATTGGCCAAGTTGGAAAGTCTTTTAAACTTTCGGGTGCAGGGATTGTAGAATCATTATCTGAAAGTCCAATGAGGTGAAAGTTAACGCCATTTGGTATCTGTACACCTCTTTTTGTATGGCTGAAAGTATTAAATGACATCAAGACCCTACTCTGACTTTTTATTTGAATAATGATAAATTTAACCACAAACATTGGCATGTGCTCTAAAATTGTTAACAAATAGGTTGTGATGAAATCCCTATCGTATTCTCTAACCTGATAAGTAGAATGATCTATGCATTGCCTATGAAGATGAATACAAAAAAATGATTCTTTAGCGTATTATTTTACAAAGTTGTACCCTTGTCAGATTGAAAATAAACTTTTGTTGTCTCTTGGTTCAGTTTTCTTAGGCCTATTCTAATCTGATGACAAATAAAACTTTTGCAGAAGGTATGCTCCTCAAATATAAAAAAGAACAATTTAATTAATATTATTTAAATATCACGAGATAATACTTAATAAAGTACGGAGCCAATAAGGTGACATTGTCCAAACTTTTTTTCCCGCAATTAATTCGTTTTTACGAAATATTAATACGTAATTACGTAATATTAATTTGTTTTTACGAAATGGTAATTCGTTTTTACGGAAAATTGATTCGTTATTACGAAATATCAATTTGTTTTCACGAAATAATAATTCGTTTTTAAGAAATATTGATTCGTAATTACAAAATATTAATTTGTTTTTACGAAATCTTATCTAGGGTCATTGTAAGCTTGACATAGAACCTACTGATCTCACAAAGGGTTCATTAACAAGCCTGGATCAACCTTGCGGTTATAAGCCAAATGGTTTTCAAGTTTTTATATTTAAATGAGAAGTCATTCTCTATCTAAAATGGCCTCTTTTTCCTTTTTCCCCATTATCAAATACATGTTTGTATCAGCAATGTAATTTTTGAGGCAACTAATTTATTCTTACATGTTTCTTTTCTTCTTTTTTTGGGGGGGGGGGGAGAGAGGGCGGGGGCAGAGGGCGGGGGTCAAGACTTTCACTAATCTAATCAATTTAAAAAAAGTATATTTCCTGGCAATTAATGTGTGGGCACGTGCGGTCATAAAATCATAATATTTTCTTTCAAAACTCAATAACTTCGACAAAAACGAAACAGGAAAAAAATGTCCGTGTTTGTATTTGAAGTATAGGCCCACCATTTTAATAGAATTTTCCTAGCGCATGCACTATCACGGCTGTGGCGGCAACGCTATTGACATGCAATTATTTTAATTTATATACAATAGTGTTAAGTTATAAAACTTGAGGAGAAAAAAATCACTATTTATATTACATTTACATTCAGTCATTAACTGAGTTTCGAGGCCTTATTTATAACTATTACCAAAACTCTTTGAAACCCTAGAAAAAATTTAATTCGTTTTTACGAAATATTATTTCGTATTTACGAATTATTATTTCGTTATTACCAAATAACATTTCGTTTTTACTAATTAATATTTCGTAATTACAAAATAATATTTCGTAAAAACAAATTCATATTTCGTAGTAACGAATCAATATTTCGTAATTACGAAAAAATAATTCGTTATTACGAATTAATATTTCATAATTACGAATTAATATTTCGGAATAACGTATTAAGATTTCGTAAAAACGAATTCATATTTCGTGATTACGAATTTATATTTCGTAATTATGAAATAATATTTCGTAAAAACGAATTAATAATTTGTAATAACGAATCAATATTTCGTAAAAACGAATTATTATTTCTTTATTACGAATTATTATTTCGTAAAAACGAATAAAGTTGCGGGGGGAAAGTGTGGAAAATGTCACCTTAGGGGCTCCGTAATAATACATATATATCAATTTAATTTATGATTAAGAAAGGATCCGTATTACAAAACCTTACCTTGGGTCAAAGGTATGAATTTCACATTTGAAATCTTTCCAAATAGAATTTTCAAATTCAAAATGAAACTGTGAGCTGGAAAGAGATAAAAGAGAAAAAGTCAACAGCAGCTTATTGGATTGTTTGACATCACACTCGAATATTTCGTATACGTTATAGCTTATAAACGCCCCTTGACTCCGTACTGCATATAGATAGTTTCCGATTTTGACAATAGTTACCTCCAAAAAGAGGCAGCCATTTTTTGGAGTTGGGGGATATGTTTTAGTATTTCATCTGATTATCTCAGCTCCGATAATTAACGCTAAGCTTTAGAATATAATGGACGCCAATAGGAGGTCATCGCATGACCTTTCAAACAGTCAATCATCAGCAACCTTTCACAATTTTGGAAGCAATGCTGTTTCAAATTTTAAGCACTTGGAAAACGATACTGAGTAGGTAATTTTCAAGATTTCGAGCACAAGTATGTCGGTAACCTGACAAAACAGCATGCCCATTAAAAATTTAGTTCAATATTTCCAGTTTATTTGATTCAAATTACTTCAAACATTTTCTCCCTTACAAAAAAAAAACAACAACAAATTGGTTTACGGCAATATTATGATACTTGGTATAATGCATGTTTGGTTGAACGGCTTAAAATAGCTTTCCCTGGAAATCCGAATCGCAATAAAGGCGAAATAAATACGGAGGCAGTCAGATCGGCATGCAAGAAATAACTTAAGGTATTAGGACCCTAATGGGCACTATCAGGAACTAAAAAAATGACATCATAAGTCAGATGTATACCTTAAAGTACACCTGTATGCAAAATTTAAACAAAGTTTACCGTACAGAAATCAAGTTATGGCCACTTTTCTGAACTCAAGCTAGGATGTTATGAGGGCCCTCTTTTAGAAAGTAGGAACCTTTAAATAATCTACAATAACATTCTAGTGAAAAATGTTTCCCCATTAATTTTTGGTAAGAAACAAATAGTACCATTCAGCTAACAATCCAAATAAGCAAAATTATGGTTTCTACTTAAAATTTATGAAATCTGTATAAAAATGTTACCCCACCCTACCCATTTTTACCACGTGTCTGACCATTTTTCTACTTAGGGAGCCTAATTTAAAAAAAAAAACTTAAAATTTACCCAAATGATTGCCTGTTTTCAAAGTTTCCGTAAATTTTTAAAAAAAAATATTGGTTGATCTTGTTAAATATGAAATACTTTTACCGTCTAGTTTTGATTATATTACACTTTGAAAATATCAGGTACCAATTTTATTACTAGATTTAGCATACTTTAGCCCATAAATACCCATATAAATTAAAAAACCAAATTAAACACTTTTTACTTTCCAAATGGGACATGAGAGATACATAAATTATGTTAAAAGAAAAAAGAAAAAAAAGTTGACCCTTCTGGGGATTGAACCCATGGCCCTCATATTCAATGTAGTAAACAGTAGTTCTAGCCCATTTGAATACTCTTCAAAGCGGAGGTTATGCATTAGGGTGCTAATACCTTAAGTATATCTGAACTGTCAGATTGACATTCATTCAGTATTATTAACAGTATGAAAACAATCAATATAAATAGCTGATTAAGGTGATTTGTCAAATTCGTTTGTACATAAGAAGGAACATATAACTATAGCAGCAATATACGTATTAAAGATTTTTATCCGTTTTCATGAAGACGATGTTATTATGAGAGATTTCTATCTTATATTAAAGATCCTGTGTGTTGTTATGAAGGTTGTTACCACAAATTTTATATATGTATATAATTATGCTTCTAAAACAATTTTCGAAAAATCGAAAAATATGAAAAGTATGAACTGTAAATATTTGTCCACATAATCTGTTAATCATTTGAATATATGTATTCATTTCTTATGGAAAAAAAAATGACTTAGACTTTATAGAAAATAAATTTCTAATTACCTCCCTCCATTAACATGAAAATGTAAAGTTGGTAATATTTTTACAAGTAATGCTTTTTAGAACTTACAATATTGATAAATCTTCGTTTGAGGATTATATTTATGATATAAAACCATATAAAAAATTAGTTACATGATCTTTAAGTATATGATGTGTTGGAAACGACCCTCTAAATGGCGGCCAGGGGAGCCAATAAGTGCTATGTGAAAAGCATGTTTTAAGTAGCTAATTAACTTCTAGCAAACTATTCTTACCCAAAGGAGTAGACAAGGCAAGAACCTCTAACCTTTTGAAAATAGTCTAAACAAATGTTCTTGCCAAATGTACCACTAGATCCAGCTCTGCTTATATTGCAACATCTAATTTGTTGTCGTGTTAGATATCTGAAATTATTCTTTATTACAGGCATAGCATGCGAGTGACAATATTATATAAATAACACACAGGTTTATAACAACAGTACATCATCCTTTGGAAAATCTATTAACCGAGTCGTCAACAAGGGCAAAAGTACTTTTTACAAAGGGCACCATTTGTGCTGTTACTCAAAAACTTATTGTTACTCTGAACAAATTCTTCGTTGGAACACTGTGTCTATGGGTTTTTATTTTCCAGACTTTTGCTGTGAAAAAAGTACTGATATCTTTGTTACCTTACATTACATACATACATACATACATACATAGTTATTAGTTACATGGTACTCAAAAGTAATTAAGTAGTAATAATATGAAATGTAACTAGACTGCACAGCTGGTATGCAGGAAACATTTATCTTACCCTTGTCCTGCTGAATCTGTCCGGTGAATATGTTTTATAAATTGTTCTCCTGACTACTTATTGGACTAATCGCAGCTTAATTTAGATCATATTATAATACATGTTACAGATGTGTATGTGTTAAGTTACCTGTATAAGCAAGTGGATATTTACAGCTAAGAAAGTGTTATGAAAGGTTAGAAGTAAACAACTAAACGTACCTGGAAAATACTTCATACAACGTGTCTGTATCCATTTCGTCAATAACAGTATCGTTCGGTAATAAGAAATGTACACTTCCGTTGCAAAATCTCCTCCTTTCACTTAATTCTTTCACTTTGATTGTCTGTCAGAAAATATGTTGTAAATGTAGTTTTCTTATACATAGAAGATTTTCACGTTTTCTATAAATACAAGATTTATATACATCTAGTTGTATGATAATTGTCATACCACAAGATGAAAATATATCCTGTATTTATAGAAAAAAGACTTGAATTTCTGTTTATAATACTGTACATTTTTTGAAATAACAATTTGAAACCAATTTAAACTTAAAGACTTGTGTTCTGCGACAAATATGTTAGATTTTATGTGTGACGATACAAATTCCAAATTCTTGGATGTTACTTAAATCCTAAATGTTTTCAATCAAATCAAATTACATCACGTATATTTGTTTAGTGGTGTTCGTATTATCTATATACATTGATGCTTTAAAATTAAGAATTTCAATATATATTTCAATAATAATAATATTAATAATCATAATAATACTAATAATAATAATGCTACTGCTACTTCTTCTTCTACTACTAATGATAATAATAATTATGATAAGAAAAAGAGCTGTCACTAAAAAGTGATATATGCATCCGAAAGGGAGGTTTGACATATAATTAGATATGTAATTGAACATGAGCAAGATCAAAATAAAAAAACCAGAAAGATTTAAACTTTTCGATTTTCAAATAGCTTGGTAGCATATAACAAGCCTATGAAATTTCACTGAAATCCCCAAGTGGTTTTGGAGATTAGCTTATTTTACTAAAAATTAGACCATTAGGGGGCCATAAATGTGCCATAAAAATTCTGCCAGAAAATCAAGATATTACAACTGGGCATAGTGGTAAACACTCCTGTAAAGTTTTACTGAAATCCCTCATCGCTTTTGGTGATGTAGCGTGGACAAACTTGTTCTGTCCGGACAAGCGTTTTTCAATGACCTCCATAAGTGACCTTGACATTTGACCTGGAGACCTGATTAATGCGCGCGACACAGCGTCTTACAGCGGCGAACATTTTTATGAAGTTTCATTACAATCCTCCATGCTCGTAGGAGTTATGCTTCGGACAACTTTGGACGCCGACCACCCAACAGACCGCCCGCACGCCAGGGGAAATCAGGGAAACAATAATAAGACTTTTTTTCAAAGGGGCGTATAAAAAAGTAAAATTTATTCGCAATACTCACTCTTGAGATATTATAATATATGACCGTTAGTAAACGGTAATATGACGTGTAACAATTGCCAAGTGGCTCAGGTTATATTAATTGTATTAAAATAAACCGTTTTACTTGACCATATAACCTTGAAAATATATTGATTTTATAACTAATAATGTTACCCCGCTCAAATACAATATAAACACGTACCTTGGGTCCTAGACACGCCTCCATCACAAATGCCAACACATATAAAATCAAAGCTAGTGTACAAAATAATACGCCAACTGTTTGATATTTAGACATATTTCTTTTAAAACTCCACATTGCTCAAACTCCGTTAATATAAAAATATTCCTGAAGGTGTCTTACACTTTAAAAAAACAACATAAAATTTATTTCATTTGATAGGTACGCATTTTTGTCGTGCGATATTTAGTTTAATAGCACATATACCAAATTAAAGAAGAAAAGATAGCACATACTGTAGATTTATCATCAAGAGATCAATCAATATAACTGTATATACTTGTTTTATTTCAAGCGAATCTTCGATGTTTTTCTCATAAATATTTTCATTTGACCATAATACAACAATATTTATGAAACAACATTTTGTCAATAAATCAATTGCTGGCAGAGTTATAGATCTAGTATTTTGAAAAGAAAAAGCATTTTGCTGTCGGTGACATGTTCTTGAGTATAATATAATCGGAGTATTTCAGCTATTATTAATACAATAACATTGGACTTAACACGGATTGTTATTAAGTACATGTATTTATATCATGTATAAACAAGAAGCAGAGGGTGTGATAATGTAAAAAGAATTTATATATTTGAAATCCAAAGGAAGGCAATGTGTGTTTTGGTACAATTATGATTGAACGTATGTCTGATTATCACAATCAATTTAGAAATGCTCACTGATGTATAAATATTACCAAATCCGTATAAATGTCAACATTACCATTTGTATATTTGATTTCTACAACCACCATAGAAAGAATCAAAATATCGTACTGATATCTGTTAATTTACTTAATTTATGTGAAATGCACATTATTTGGATTCACTGGTAAAAATATAGTGTTCAACTCCTAGCATTAAAAGTACCATTTGTTTACATGTTTATTTTCTTAGTCGTTCTGTGAATTCTTACTATTGTGCTGAAGTCCTTTTCCGAAGACTGACGGAAAGGGCCGAAATGTTGCGTTTTAGAGTTATGAGTATAAAGACAATTTACCATATTTTATAAGTTTAAGTAATAGGTCTCGCAGCAGTAAATATTTAACATTAAAAGGTGTAGATGGTATTCTGAATAAATGTATTCATAATTTTGTTGATATGCACATTATGATCTCTTCAAATGCGAATAATGTAAATATATATTGTGATATTTTTTTTCATGTTGAAAATGTTATGTTGTTTACGTTGTGTTGTTTATGTTGTGTTGTTTATGTTGTATTGTTTATAAAAAAAATATATCCAGGAGCGTCATATAAAAACACTATATTAACGTCACGATTAGCCATTGAAAAGCGACGTTACAAACGTACACTATTTTGGTATGTGTGACCATGGCAGGTGCAGCGTTTAAATTACAAATTTAATGCATTGTTTATAGTATAAACAAACAAAAAAGTTGAAACGTGGAATAACCGAATTAGGCAGACGTATTCTTCATTCAAGAAAAGCGCTAATGTACATTGTTCGTGCATTAAAATCAGAGCAGCAGATTCCGAACTTATTACACCTTTCGGATTTTAAATGCGTTATCGTGCTTCCGCAATGTAAATGTGCGAAAAAACTAATAACATTTCGGGGTTATCAAGATGAAAAATTGAAGCTTGTCCGCCGACAGTTTAGAGTCTGGCCAAACTGCACGAAACTTAGATCACATTTGATTAAAGACGAAATGAGGGTTACAGAACACTCATTCTCACTTAAGTGCGACATATTATAAATTCTAGAACTGAAAAAAAAAAAAACTTTTTTTGTATGTTAAAATTCTATTTCATTCTAAAATTATAAGTAACTCGACATTTTAAATATGAAATATAGCCAGTACAAATGTCCTAGATTTTCCCCTATGACAGGTTTTCTAGATAGAAACAGAAAATAAATTTCGTCTTTTTCGAGACAATGGTCCTTTAACATGTGTATATGGTGTGGCGATTTTTTTGGTTTCTGTGCATCTATTTCTATGAACATCTGGGTATGGGAATCAGTCATTGAACTGACAAAATACATCTTTATGAAAACTATCCATGGACATGCACTTCATACTGAATACGACAGAAAGAAATGTTAATACTTTGAATAATATTTATAATATTTATTATGATTTAATATAAACTTATATTTTTTATGAAATGGAGTAGATATTCTTTTGACAAGATTAGGCTTTATTTATACAACTGACCTAAAACTGGTAACATATATAAGTAAAAGAGCGTATATATGATCTTAGAAGTACAACAAAAGTGCTAGGTCTAAATTAGTTTAAGCAAAATCAATAGTGTAGTTTGAATCATAACAAGCAATTCTTGTAACAGAAATATCTACGGAGCCCCTAAGGTGACATTTTCCACACTTTTTCCCGGAACTTAATTCGTTTTTACGAAATAATTATTAGTAATTACGATATAATAAATCGTTTTTACGAAATATTAATTCGTAATTACGAAATATTAATTCGTTTTTACGAAATATTAATTCGTAATAACGAAATGTTAATTCGTAATTACGAAATATTATTTCGTAATTACGAAATGTTATTTCGTCATTACGAAATATTAATTCGTAAAAACGTAATATTATTTCGTAATTACGAAATAATAATTCGTAAATACGAAATAATATTTCGCAAAAACGAATTAAATTTGTTTAGGGTTTCAAAGAGTTTTGGTTATTAATAAGGCCTCAAAACTATGTTCCTGACTGAATATAAGGCATGTAAATGCAATATAAATAGTGGGGAAAAAGAGACCATTTTGGATAGAGAATGACTTCTCACTTCACTTAAATATAATAACTTGAGAACTATTCGGCTTATAATCGCAAGGTTGATCTAGGCTTGTAAATGACCCATTTGTGAGATTAGTAGGTTCTTTGCCAAGCTCGCAATGACCTTACATAACATTTCGTTTTAACGAATTAATATTTCGTAAAAAGGAATTATTATGTCGTTATTACGAAATAACATTTCGTTTTTACGAATTAATATTTTTTAATTACGAAACAATATTTCGTAATAACGAAATAATATTTCGTACAAACGAATTAATATTTCGTAAATGCGAATTAATATCTCGTTATTACGAATTAATATTTCGTTATAACGAATTAATTTTCGGAATTACGAATTAATATTTCGTAAAACGAATTAAATGCCGGGGGAAAAGTGTCGAGAATGTCACCTTAGGGGCTCCGTAAATATCACTTTTATGGGAAAATCACTGTTTTATAATTTTCTTTAGCTCTGGTCAATTACGGGACACTAATATAACTATAACTATTCGAATATTACTATATATAAATGAACTGCAATACATTGTACATTATGCTTGTTTAAACAGTTATAAGTAAACTATTTTACATGCAGATTTCTCAATCATCATATCCAATTTTAACTTAAAATCTATGAAAAAGTTTTTAGAATTGATTTATTATTATTGGTATTTCAATGCTCGGAGTTTATTCAATAAACTCGTATTAAGTAAATTATAGAAGTAATATATTATACAGAAATTGAAAGAACAAAACGCCTACCTATCGCCATTAATATGTGATTGTCAGACAAATTTTCAATCAAATTTTATCGTAATATTCTTATTTTCCTTTGTGTGTCCGATACGAGTATATACATTGGTTATTTATTATCAAAAAGTACATCCCCTATTTTTGTTTACATATTAAATCACGTGGAAAAACTACTTTTTATCCGTATTAGATCCAAGGCTATTATGAATAATATCCGAGATGTTTCGCTTTGAATCGAGCGTATGATCTGATATTTTGCACACAAGCTTCATATATAACGCTATGAATATTTTCATCCTTTCCATGTCAACAAAATTTATCGGAGTCTGCCTCGTAGATAAAAAGTGGCCTTTGATTCTAGGCAGAATTTAAAAAAACAAAATCTTTTGTAAGCACTCTTCACATCTTTGACCCCTCTAGATAAAAGCAGTGACTGCAATTACATATGCTGCAACGTTTAGAGAAGAAAATACGTTTAAGCAATCTTTCATGTGCTATCTCGTAGAATGTCGGTGGTTCTACTCAGTTATCGAAGGTATATGAAATAGTTAGGATGGGCACCTGATGTTTTATTATGCAAGTTAAGCTGGAAAAAGTCGCCATATAACATGTACCGTGTTAATAGAATGTGAAAACACAACCAACTAATAATGAAATATCCTCGACAGGGCCTCAAATTAGTAACCAACAATTTAAATAGACATATTCTCAAAAATCTAATGAACTAGAACTTTTTATGCATGTTATAATGGGATGTTACCAAATGTATTTCGCAACCGTTTTGGGCCTTATAGTGTTTGGCAGGGAAATAGTTTTTTCTTTATTTTTTTATTATGAATTTATAATCTTATAGTTCTTCCAATTGCTATTTATCATGTTTATCATTTATAAAAAGTATTTTTCAGGTAACATTAAAATCAAAAGTAGATAGGTCTACAAAGGGTGGGCACATTGTTCATAAGTATTTCCAATGTCAATTTAAGCACTAGAAATGTATCATATTGATACTCTTATGATAAAGATCATGGAAAATTGTTAATAAATTTCTAAATGTTTCAGTATGGACATTTAAATATGTTGAATAATATTATTTCATTCTAGAAGTATTTATTATCAAGTATATAGAGGAAATTGAGTGTAGGGTTAATACTGAATCCATTTAACGAGTTCAATAAATTCAGTAATAAACTTACACGAATTTAAAATCCATTTATCACATACCAAAAATAAAGACAGTTTCAAGTGTAAAAGAAACTTTTTCATTGACGCACCAAAATATAATGCTAACATTAAGCGCGAGTTAACGCTATGCTTGTGTACGACAAATGACGTCACATCAAAATATATGCACGGCTGTGCAATACCATTTTTACAGATTCGCAAAAGCGACACGGGTGTGGTAAATAAATATATGTTATTTCGAATCTTGTATCACACACTCTTTCCAACAACACAAGTATATAATTCTGTCAATGTTTGTTGTTTCGTCTTTCTTTTGTGTTTCTTCCATTGTAGATCAATT